AAAAAGAACTGGAAGGAAAGATCTTGGCCTGCTGGTTTTCTAGGAGAAGATGGTTGCTGCAGATGGTTTTCCTAATGCGAACTAAGATGTTCTTGTTGAAGGAGGAGCTTGAGGCCTCACTGTTGCTGAGAATGGCTGCTGTTTTTGTCAGGGGAGCTCTGATCTTTACCGTGAGCATCATTTCCTGGCTCCAGTGTGGATCCCTCAGCCTGGTGGCACAAATCCTTCATCTCAACAGCTAGGTCTTCTGGCTTCCACTGCTGGCCTTTGGGCCTTGCAGCTGCAGATCCTCAATTCAGACAAGCATGAGACACTGCCGTGGGCTCCAGGCCACTGACTGGACTCAGGAGGACAGTGCCTTGGACTCTAAGCCTTTAGCTGGACTTGTGTGGGAAACTGCTGAGATCCAGGCCCTCAGCTGGTTTCCTTGGGCCCCTAGTGTACAGTTAATCTCTTGCACTCCTTTGCATTTGACTTTTTGGATAATTATCATAAAACAATCCTATAAAGTATGTGTCCTGTATTTGATGTATTCCCTTGTGAAAACCCTGACTACAACAGATGGCAATGCTCGAAGAGGAGAGCTGTGTGGATGTACAAGTTGCAGTCAGAGCCCAGAACCACACTATGGTAAGAGGCAGGAGATGGTGCAAACTGGGGACTGAGCAGCACTGCCCAGAGACCAGAGCTCCTAGGAGCAGAACCAGATGCAGACTTCCTCCTGCCACATGCTGTCTGGGCTGCTTAGACCCTCGCCAGTCCTCCTGGAGTCAGGGTTGCCTGACGAGCTGAGTCCCCCGCAGTCCAGCTAAATTCCTTATGAATGGGCACACCTGCTATCCCTAAACCCTGAGTGTCCTGGGCCAGTGGTCCAGGTGAGGCCTCATCCTTTGACAGCAGGTGGACATCGCTGGGGTCCTGCTAGATCAAGCAAGGTCCTCTACATGGTTCAGTTGCTCTCAATTTTTTCACAGTGATCATTTTTGTACCATTAGTACCTTTTCATTTATTTGCCTAATTATTTCCTTGGGGTAAATTCCCAAGAAATAAAATTTCTGGGTCAGGATGTCTGCACATTTTCAGTGTGGTACTGACGAGAGCTACTAAAGGAGCAAAACAGATCCAGAGATAAATACAAAGCTTTAAGAGAATTTAATTCTTAAGCTGTCATTTCTGATCAGTGGAGAAAAGATGAGTTGGTAGATGAATGGTATTGGAGCAACAGCTCAGCCATCTGGGAGAAATAATTCCACAGGAAGGGAAGAGGATAAAAAAGAATTAAGATGTGTTATGTACACATACCAACTCCCCATGAGGAATATGCTCATTGCATACTGTAAACACATACTAATAAAAGAAAAGTTAAAAAAAACCCTTCACTCTCATGCAAAAAATACATTCCAGCAGAAGCCAAGATGTTAAAAAAAAGTTTTAGAAAAGAGGATTTTACATGATCTTGATAACAAGGTCCCCTTTCTAGGCATAGTACAAAATCTGCAAGTCAATAAATAAAGAAGTGATACATTTGACTCTGGAAATTAAAAATTCCTAGGGAGAAAATTCCATAAAGTCAAAAGTCAATCAAAGAACTGGGAAAAACAGATCTGCAACATATATCACAGACAAAAGGTAAAATTTGATACTATAGGTCAAAAGCTATTACAAATCATAAAACAAAAGACCAATCGCCAAATTGTAAAAATTGGCAAAGGACATGAGGAGACAGTTCAAAGACAAGAAAATGGAAATCATTTTTTAACATTGTGAAAGACCAACGTGTTTGACAGCTCTCTGCGCTGGCTGGCTTTGGCGTGTGTGGCAGTGGCTGGTGGGGTTGACACATTCTTCCTCCCCCTCTCCTGGGCAGGACTGAATTGCGGGCTCCCTGCTGTGACCGGGGCTGGCATAGGAGTTCAAGTGAAAGAGGTGTGTGACCACTTGGTCCCTTCTGTGTCAGTGTCCTCATGGTTCCAAGTGATGATGGAGTCATGAGTCACGAGTTTGGTTTTGGGGTGAGGTAAACACTGCGGAGGATGTGGCGAGAGTAGCCTCCTTGTCATTGTGAGCCCTGGGATTGGGGCAGGGGTGCAGCAAAAGCCAGCATGTTCCGGCACCCACCAGCTTGCCAGTAGTGACAACGATGGAAAGCTTTTCCGTATCTTTTCTGCTCAAAATTCCATACATTCTAAGAATTTATGAAATGTGTTCACATGTGCAGAGAGGCAGGGAGAGTCCCTGTTGGCTTGACTTTTTTGTCTTTTCTTGTTTGGAGACAAGGTCTTGCTATATAGTCCAGGCTGGCCTTGATCTTATGTAGCCCAGGCTGGCCTCAAATTTGTGATGATTTTCCTGCCTCAGACCCCAGAGTACTGGGATTACAGGCATGCACCACTACACCCACTCCATGCAGGCTTGATTAGAAAGCAAGAGAGCACCCTCTACACTCACCAATGGGAGATGGATTAGAGGCACCGGAGGCCAGACAGAATGGCATAATCCACACCCTGAAACACAGGGAGCAGATGTGGGTACACCGAGGTGGTTTTAACTGCAGGATTAGGGATGGCTTCTTCCTAGAGGAGTCACCGCAAAGCGTTCCCACGAGAGTCCTGAGATGGGGTAGCTTGGATTCCAGAGAAAGCAGCACTACCACCAGGGAAGCAGTCCGTGGGGGTCCCTACTTAGGGAGCACCGCAGCTTTGCCAGGGAGCAGGGGTTGTGACTGGGTGTCCACAGCCTTGTCAGGATACAGTGTTTATAGGAGGGTTTTTAAGGTATTGGCTCAGGGCTGGGGCCAGTTTTTCAGTGTCTGGGGCAACTACATAGATACCTTTATTAGTACCTCGGAATGGTCAGTGCTCCGGCCTGGGGTCAAGCCTGCTGCTAAATTCCTGGGTATAGAGTGGTCAAGGCACTCTGTGATTTTAGGTCAGGACACAGAAAGAAACCTGGGCCTGGCGGGGATAGCTGTTGGACTCTACCAATCGGATTGTGACATTGAAGAGCTTCCAGTTAAGTCTACGTACTTACTATCTATCTCACTAATATAAATAAAAAGTTAAACCCTAAAATACACACTAAAAGTCTATTTAAATTTTAAAAATAAAAATTGGGTATCTCTGAAAGAACACTGTATAACTGGATATATTAGTTTCCTAGGGAAACAAGAAATAACTACAGATTTGGTGGCCACAGACAACAGCAATCTGGCTTTTTTTTTTTTTTTTGGTTCTGGGGATTGAACTTGGGTCCTTGCGCTTGCGCAGCAGGCAGCGAAACCACTGAGCTAAATCCCCAGCCCTGACAACAGCAATCTGTACTCTCGACGTTCTAGGGGCAGAAGTCTACACTTCCGGTAGGCCGGGCCACGCTCCCTCTAAACATGCTGGCGAGACCCCTCCCTGGGGTCTTCCACTCTGGTGGCCCTGTGCTCCCTTTTTTGTGTCCATGTCCCTCCAGTCCTTCCTCCACCTGTCCAGAGCTGCCTTCCTTGTGTATGTGTCTGACATGTTCCCCTCCTTCCAGCCCTTGGGTCAGACCCTAAACCAGGATGATCTCATCTGAAGAGTTTTAGCTTAATTGTATCTGCAATGACCTTATTTCCAAATGGGGTCACATTCACAGGTGCCCGGGGTTAGAACCGGGCTTGTCTTTTGGGAGACTGTAGTCAACCTACTACTATGGGTAACCAATTTCCTCTGGGAAGATGGGGTTCAGAGGCGGGAGGAACATGAGCTTGTCACTGCAGTCTCTGGAACTTGGCCACCTGGGCCTCTGGGGGAGCAGGCTGGGCTCGAGCGGCCAGGCCCGGGGAATGGACCTGGAATAGGGTGTGGGGGATGTAGTGGGGGTTGGGTGGTCGATGGAGGCCAAGCTTGGGAGGAGCCCAGCACCCACCAGGTGCAGTGGAGGATGTGGGATGCGAAGTGACTGCCCCTCTGGCTCCATCTGCTGTGGAGCCCAGGGCACTTGCAGGGCTTCTTTTCTCCCCCACCTCCACCCAAGCGTGCCATCCCCAGCAGAGGATATCTGTGTCCCTTCTCCGGGTGCAGACAGGAGCCCCTGATGGTGGGAAGACTGGCATCACAGGGGGAAAAGGGGAAGCCTGCTGCCAACCTCTCTTGCTGCAGGAGGAGACTTTGATGAGGAAGTTTCCTGGCAACAGGACGGAGCACTTCCAGGGCGACAAAGAAAAAGACCAAGGGAAGTGGCTCCGACCTCACTCCAGGCCCCCATCAACCCACTGGTGCAACAGGCCTCGGTCAGTGGGCTCTCCAGAGTGAAGTCTATGCGAATCCGTAGGGATGGTGGCCACTTCAGACTCCCAGACCTGGAGTCCACCCTGAGAATCAGCTGAGCATCTCCCAAGAGGGACCAGAAAGCCCCCTTTGTTCCTTCCTCCTGAGAAGTGTGCCCCACACTTGCCAGTCGTACCATCAGAGGAGGCCTGAGCTGCCCTCTTCCCATCACATCCTCCTGCCTGGCACATGGTAGATGTTCGCTGGACATTCGTCCTAGGGAGCTCCGGCAATGGTGTGTAAAAGGAATCTGCTAACCGGATTGCTTGGAACTCTGAGCTTGGGCCTACAGGAATGGTGAATGTACCTACAGGATATCTCTGGAGAGTTCAAAATAAAATCTTTGTCGAATAAATCCCTCCAAATGCCCGCAGGCTGGCCAGAAGAGCAGTATTTTGAAGGCAAAGCCATGGGGAGGTCAGGGCAGGTGTGAGGAGGGATCCAGACTAAGCGAAGGATGCCGAGTTAAGGCTGGTGGAAGGAAGTCAGCAGGGAGCTGGGCTTGCACAGTCAGAGGATTAGGGAGGGTCACCAGGCACAGGGGGAGGCGGGGGCGGCGGACAGGAAGCAAAGAGGAGGTGGGCATGGCGCGGCCGGCTCCAAGCGCGTGCCGGCTTCCAGCCCAATTAGGGTTTGAGATTCGTTTTTCCTCCCTCTGAGCGTAATCTGACGCTATTTGGGTAGGCAAGGCCGAAACCTGATCCTCCAGTCCCGGGGCTCCGTTAATGTTTAATCAGAGTGGATCGTCCGATGGGGTTCCGGTGGCGTGATCTCCCGGCCCCCGGGCGTCGAGCTCCCACACCCTAGAAGGCTTGGTCGGCGTCGAGGCCCGGACTCTCCCCGCCTGGACCCAGCTTCGAGCCGGGCGCGCGCCCTGGTCCTCCCGCTGTCGGCCCGGTCCCCGAGCTCGCTGCGATGCGCGCCCGCGGCTCTGCGCCGCCCTGGTGGCCGGTGCTGCTGCTCCTGCTGCTGGGTCCCGCGCGAGCCCGCGCCCAGGAGGACGAGGACGGCGACTACGTGGAGCTGGAGCTCGCCTTCCCGTCAGAGGAGGACGGCCCGGCCGACGCGACCCCGCACGTGCCCACCGCCACCTTCCACCGCTGCGCCAAGGTGCGGGCGCCGGGCTGTGCGGCGCCGTCTTCCCGGCCTCAGTTTCCCCGTCCACGCCACGGGTGGAGGGGAGACTGCGGGGCAGGGCGGTGGGGCGCAGGGGTGGGCGGCCTCGCGCCGCAGTCGCCTCCGGGGTCTCGGACCTGTGCGCACTGGGGCGGGGCCGGAAGTCCGGGCCGGGGGAGAGTTGGGTCTGGGGGGAGAGCGGGGTCTGGGGGGCGGGCCGGGGCAACGTCGGGCGCTGTGGCTCGGAGACGGACTGTGGGCGCTGGGGCCGGACCGGCGCCCACTGCCGGTCACCCGGGCACCTGCCCAGGGCTGTGGGGCGCCTTCGCCTCGCGCCTGTGCCCGGTGCCTCCGATGAGAACCCTGCAGGACCCGCCGAGGTGCTGTGGCCTGGCCTGGAGCAGAGCTGGGGCGGAACCTGGCTGCATCTGGCCAGCTGTGGGGTGCTTGAAAATCGCTTACCCTTGAGCCTCCGTGAAGGGAGGCGGCCGCCCTTCCCGCCCGCTCCCCCGCGTGGGGGTGAGGCCTGGCAGCTCTGTGGACCCACGAGTGCCCCAGGATCAGGCCTGGAAGGGAGGCCCCTTGTAGGAGGTAGTCGTGTCCCCAGCTGCCGTGTGGCCTCCTGGATTCGCCCTCTTTGTCCAGCCCCGGGTGGAGGGATGTCAGGCCCTGCTCAGCTCACAGACCCCGCCCCCCCCAGTTTGTTTTCTGAGTTTTTGGTCTTCTACCGGGGGTGGTGGGCTGTGGGCAGAACACTTAAGGACATTTCCTGTCGCACTGCCCCAGAACCACTGCTCTGGAAGTAGTGATACTCACCCGGGAAGAGCTGCACGACCCCCGACCAGGTGCTGTTGCTGCCTGGCGGAAGCGTGGAAAAGGAACTTCCTGAAGTTTGCTTATTCGTTCATTCAGTGGATATTTTGTGGGAATTGAGGGGCCAGGGATGCAGCTCAGTGGCGCTGCGCTTGCCTGGCAAGTGCAAGGTCCTGGGTTCGATCCCTGGCACTGGGGGAAAAAAGACAAGAGGGAATTGAATTGAGAATGAAAATATTGTTGGCAAACTGAAAAGAATTTCAAACCAATCCTTTCGTTGTAGTCACAAGCAACTGGGGTACAAAGAGGTGAAGCTGCCCCCCACCCCAGTACATTAGAATTAGGCTTCTAGAGCTCTGGTTCCACTCCAGAATATCCTCCCCATTCATTAGATTTTCATTTAACAGAGGACATTTCAGATAAGCCTTTGAAGCATAAATAGGAGCCCAACAAATGCAGGTGGAAGGAGAATTTTATTTTCGGGGGAGGGAGTAGCATGAACAAAGGTACAGAGCTGGGCAAGACAGGTGGAGAATAAGGTGTAATGTATTCTGAGCTCAAAGTTTTTTTGTAACTGATGTGATGGTAAAATCTGACCTGCGCTGACCCAGCGTCTCGTGTGCATACGCATACTCGAGTCCTATTACTGCCTTTCTGCGATCCAGTTGTGGTCCTACACCCACGGGCTCCGAGACTTTGGGTGAACGGTTATGGCCACGCTCTGGCCAGAGTCTAGGGTGCGCGCCCAGTTGTGGGGGGCGAGGCCGCAGGGGAGGTGATGAGGGGCCAAATAGGAGCGTGGAGATTGGACTTTGTCAGCTGGCCATGGGGAGAAGGTTCTTGAGCAGTGAGGGCGGCTGGAGCAGACAAGAACTGAAGCCAAACACGCCACCCGCATCTGCTCGACGGCCCTTCTCCCTGCGTCTGCCGAGCGGCAGGGGCGCTCTATGCCGAAACTCCGCTGGCCTCCCAGCAGGCCTGTGCTGTGGGTACAGTGTCCTGACACCCGGAGGAGGAGACACTGAGGCTCAGAGAAGTTGTGTGGCTGCTCAGGGCTGCAGAGCCTGTAACTTTTGGAGTTGAGATTCAGGTCCACACTTTTTTGGCCCCACAGCCTGTGGGTTTTGTCCTCGGAAAGGAGGTTCAGGGGTGCGGGGGGGAGGTGCTAGGGAGGCAGGCGGGACTAGGACAGGCTCAGGCGCGCCCTGGAGAGATCTGGGTGCGGCGCGGAGGGCAGCCGCGTGGGGCGCAGCCCTGGGTCCCGTGGCCGGCTGCTGGCTCTATGGGCGTCTCGCAGTGGTCAGCGCGGGCTTCCGTGGCTTTCGGCCCCAATTCAGACTCTGTGGTTTCCCGTGTTTCTCCCGCTACGACCCTGGCGGGCGCGCGGGATCTGATGTCTCTTGTCCCTCTTCGTCGCTCTGGTCAGACTCTGTGATTTCCCGTGTTTCTCCCGCTACGACCCTGGCGGGCGCGCGGGATCTGATGTCTCTTGTCCCTCTTCGTCGCTCTGGTCAGGACGCATGGAGGCTGCCGGGCGCCTACCTGGTGGTGCTGAAGGAGGGGACGCCCCGCGCCCAGACGGAGAGCGCCGCCCGCCGCCTGCAGGCCAGGGCCGCCCGCCGCGGCTACCTCACCACCGTCCTGCACGTCTTCCACCACCTGGTCCCCGGCTTCCTGGTGAAGATGAGCGGAGACCTGCTGGATGTGGTGAGCCACCCTCGCCGATCGCGTGGGCCGTCCTCATCAGCGTGTCCGTGTGCGAACCGAGGCACGGGCACGCTGGGTTCCAGCCCGGTGATTGCAGCTCAGCTGCAGATGCCGGTGAACGGGGCCGCAAGCCAGAGTTCCCTCCATCTTCACCTGAAAAGGATTCCAAGCCTGGTCTGGTGGTGCGTGTCCATAATCCCAGCAGTCTGGGAGGCTGAAGCAGAAGGATTGGAAGTTTCATCCCAGCTGCCAACTGAGACCCTCTCTCAATTTTTAAAAAATAGCTAGGGCTGTAGCTTGGTGCAAAGGCCCTGATTCCATCCTTAGAATTGCGGGGGCGGGGGGGGGGAGAAGAAAAAGAATTCCGAGGCACAGACAGGGCCACCCAGACATTGGGCGCAGGGCTGGGGTCCAGCCCAGGGGGCTGCCTGGGGAAGCACATGGGGACAGGCCCCAGGACATGACAAGGGGTGCACACTTCCCATGGAGCTGATGCTATGAGGGTGGGGCTCCTCTCCTGCGTCAGAGTGGCCCCTCTGTGCAGTTCGTCCAGAGTCACAGGGCTGACCACAGGTGTGGGTGGCCAGGACCTCCGGCCTCCCACCCTCCTCCACCTGAGGCCGGAGCATCCGTGTACATCGTAGTAGTCCTTCTGGGTCCTCTACATTCATCCTTTGTGCACCAATTCTCTGCACGGCTTTGGACACTGAGGCCCAGAGTGGGGCAGGGTCTTGCCTGAGGCCACACAGCACTTACGCAGCAGGGTGCCGGTGTGGTCTCCCGTCTCCTAGCTCACTGTACCTCTGTGTGTGGCTTCACACAACCTCCCATGGTGGAACAACTGTGTGCCAGTCTGTCTTGGGGCAGTGGCAGAAGATGCTAAGTACAGAAACTCACAGAAGCAGTGTGGGCAGGCGAAGGAGCCCTTGGGGAGACTGAGGCACCGGAGATGAACTGGGCCTCTAGGTGGGGAGGGTGAGGAGAGCCCACTGGTGGCATGGAGAGGGCCTAGTTCCTGTCCGTGTCCCCGGGGCTGAGCTCGGCCAGGCCGAAGTCGCAGGGCAGAGAGCGGGAAGGCGCGGGGGCGCGGTCACAGCCCTGTGTGGTGCTCCTGTCCGTCCTGCCTGCCCCCAGCCCGGCCAGGCCTCTCACAGTGGAGGGGTGGCGACACCGATCCTGGTCCTGTCCCTGCCGCCCTCGGGATGCTTAGGAAGGGGCAGGACTGGGGCCCGCGGACAGGGTTCCAGGGTGCCGGAGCGGAGTCTGCTGGCTTCTACAGGCCCTGCGGCTGCCACATGTCGAGTACATCGAGGAAGATTCCTCTGTCTTCGCCCAGAGCGTCCCGTGGAACCTGGAGCGCGTCCTCCCTGAGCGGTACCAGGCGGAGGAGTACAGCGCCCCCAGTGAGCACCGCGGCATCCCCATCCACTTTGGCTCTGCGCCATCCCCATCCACTTTGGCTCTGCGCCCGCCCGAGGGACGTCCTCCTTCCGCCCTCCTGCCTTGTGCAGCACGTCCTGCTTGGGCTCCTCTCGCTCCTGTGGAACGCAGGCTTTCCCCCACTTCCCAGCCGTTCCGCGGCCCCCTCTCCATTCGGGACGGCCTGGCAGGCCGCCCTTACCCGAGGTGACCCATGGTCTCTGGGACGCCCAGCCCCAATCCAGATTCATCAGACTGCCGAGCCGCGTCCCCGAGGGCCTTGTGCCCACCCTGACCCTGTCCTGTGAGCCACCTGTGGAGAGGGTGGGAGGGAAGGTCGAGGATGGCCGCCCGGCTCCGGCAGGGCCTCGAAGGTGCTCTGAGCTGGGAGGGCTGCCGGTTTGCCCGCTGCGGGCACCGCACCGAGGTTGAACCTGGGGTCCTGTGCTCGGAGGTGAGGGGTGAGCTCAGCCGCCACCCCTGAGCTCCTAACTGAGCTCTTAGGGCACCACCTCCCTCTCGGCATCTTCTGGTCACATGGCCAGTGGGCACAGTGCCCCGTCCATGTCCTCACAGGGTGGCCTCGAGGCTCCAGAGAGAGATCACGACTCCTGTGGGGGTCTGGGGCCTAAAAGTGGAGCATCTCCCAGCCCTGGCACCCTGAGCCCCACGTGCCACAGAGCATGCCAAAGAGCCGGCTGGTGCCCAGTAGGGCAAGGCACTGGGCAGAGCCAGAGACCCCCAATCCAGCAGCACAGAGGGGCTGTGCCCCGAGTTGTTTCACACCACAGACAGCTGGGGGCACCAGTTTCCTCTCCCCGGTCCTAGAGGCTGAAGTCGGCGGTCCCCTCGAGGCGGCCTCTCCTCGCCTCGGGTCCTTTCTTGCCTTTCTTCTGCCTGGTGGCCACAGCGTCCCTGGCTTGTAGCCCGTCACTCTCCTCTCCATTCCTATGTAAGGACCCTCCATGTGCGCTTTCAGGCCTCTGGGTATCTGGAGATCCCTAACTTAATGACTCTCCTAAGACCCTTTGTCCAAGTAGGGCCCACACAGCCCTGGGGTTCAGGGTGTGGACATAGCTTCCTGGGGCCACGGCTTTCAGGACTTCCTCCTGCCCTCGGCAGATGCCACACTGCCCCGAGGGGTGTGTGGAGTGGAGAGGATGGAAGCCAGGTGCGGAGCCCCACCTTTTGGAGTCACGGGGCGCTGAGCTGCAGTGAGGCAGGGGGTGCACCTGGGAGACAGGGCCTGGGCTGGCCAGGCCCAAGAGCAGACCTTTCATTCACAGGGTGACAAATGTGACTTCAGCACTCTTGAGCTGTGTGATCTTGGATAAGTCACTGGCTCTCTCTGAGCCTTAGGCTCCTCTACCAAAGGCAGGCAACGATAGTTCTGGGAAGGGGGTCTATTGGAAGGCTAGAGACCTATTGTGGTGGCACAGCTGAGTCTGTCCTGTACAGCGAGGTGCTGCTGTGGCCTGTCGCCTCTCTCCTCCATTCAGCAGTACCACTCTGATGCTGCTACAAGATCCCATTAGTGGACAGCCCGCCCGGGGTCTCCACTGGCCTGGCTGCAGCCCGAGGCTCCTCCCGCCTCCCTCCACCCTTCTTCCAGAGCGTGGCCACCTGTAGGTTCTCTCTGTCTTCTCCTGCGTCCCTCACCTGTCTCACCCTGCAGCCTGCTTCCTGGGGATGCCACTTCCTGGGAACCCCGCTTCCTGGGAAACCCTGCTTCCTGGGGACCCCTACTTCCTGGGAATCCCACTTCCTGGGAAACCCTGCTTCCTGGGGTACCTCACTTCCTGGGAAACCCTGCTTCCTGGGGACCCCCACTTCCTGGGAAACCCCGCTACCTGGGGACCCCCACTTCCTGGGAAACCCCGCTTCCTGGGGACCCCACTTCCTGGGAAACCCTGCTTCCTGGGGAACCTCGTTTCCTGGGGACCCCCGCTTCCTGGGGAACCTTGCTTCCTGGGAAACTCTGCTTCCTGGTGACCCCACTTCCTGGGAAACCCCACTTCCTGGGGAACCTTGCTTCCTGGGGACCCCGCTCCCTGGGAACCCCTGCTTCCTGGGAACCTCACTTCCTGGGGAACCTCGCTTCCTGGGGACCCCGCTTCCTAGGAACCCCTGCTTCCTGGGGACCCCACTTCCTGGGAACCCCTGCTTCCTGGGAACCTCGCTTCCTGGGGAACCTCACTTCCCAGGGAAACCCCGCTTCCTGGGAACCCCACTTCCTGGAAACCTTGCTTCCTGGGGAACCCGCTTTGCCCCAGGAGAAAGGGTGAGATGCATGGCGGACTCCTGGTGGACTCCTGTAACCTGGTATGGAAGAAGCGGCCCCTGGGGCCCTCCTGGCACCTATAGAGAGAGCACATGGCCGCAGAGCTGGCAGACCCAGACCCGAGCAACCTCTTGAGTCTGTTTCCTCTCTGTGCAAGGAACTGACAGCTCAAGCAGCTCTGTATTCTCCCTTCTTACTTCCAACCCTGTTCCGTCTCCCTCGGACTCCGTGAGCTAGGAAAGGATCTAGCCAGGCTTATTTCACAGTGTGCTGCTGACTCTCTTCTGAATGCTCCTGTTACTTCCTGGCTCCCTTCCCGGCTCCATCATTTGCCACTGACGTGGCCTTGGACAGGTCCTACCCTCTCCAAGCTGCACTGTCCCTGTCTGGAAACTGACACACATCACATATGGCGCTGTGAGGCTGTGCGTGAGACGCCGTGAGTTAGTGTGTTTATAGTGCTAGCTCGCACACACAGCCTTAACGCCAGCCTCTGGTTATTCTGCCCTCTCCACGGTGCCGAGAAGGTGGCGGCGGCCTGGTGGAGGTGTACCTCTTAGACACCAGCATCCAGAGTGGCCACCGGGAAGTCCAGGGCAGAGTCACGGTTACCGACTTTGAGAGTGTGCCTGAGGAGGACGGGACGCGCTTCTACAGACAGGTGTGCCACCCTCCTGCACTGGTCCTGGGCCTCTCGGCTGCACCCCCGACTGTCCCTGCCCCTCCCTGGCTGTCAGTTGGGGGGTAGGGGTGTCGGTCCAAGATGGGGGCCCTTTCTCACAGGGTCCTTGTGTTGGTCGAGCAGGCGAGCAAATGTGACAGCCACGGCACCCACCTGGCTGGCGTGGTCAGCGGCCGGGATGCAGGCGTGGCCAAGGGTGCCAGCCTTCGCAGCCTGCGTGTGCTCAACTGCCAAGGGAAGGGCACGGTCAGCAGCACCCTCATAGGTGAGTGGGGCCTCGCAGGGAGGGGCTGAAGGCCCGGGAGCCCTGGTGCCCTTGACAGGGGAGCAGAGGGGACCTTGGCCCAGAGTTCCAGAGGGCTAGAGCCTGCAGGGGTCATGAGCAGACAGGGAGAAACTGGCATTCCGAAGGGCAGAGGCTCAGCCAGGTGGGCCCCTGGCTCAGGCACTCATGATCCCACACTATTCCCCTCTCCAACTCCTTTAAACGTTCTGTCTTCTTGGAGCCTGGTGTTGTGGTGTAATCCCATGCCTGTAATCCCAGGAGGATCGCCATGAGTTCAAGGACAGCCTGAACTACATAGCAAGACCCTGTCTCAAAAGCAAATCAAACAAACAAAAAGTTCCATCTTCCATCATGCTGTCTTAGATTGGATAGACTGAGGTGATCTCAGCAAGCTTTCTCCAGCTCCTGTTTGGTTACCTCTCAAGCCAGGAGACTCACGGCTGGGATGTCTGCCAGCGCCCTGCAGCCACTGTGGCCGGGCAGACTTGTTAGAGATGCTGGGAACAGACTTGCCAGACTCTCCAGGGGACACCATCTAGTCTGCCAGATGGGCATCCGAGAGGTCGCACTCAGAGCTAGGACAGGGGCCTGGGGACAGAGAAGATGGAGGTGCCCTGGCTTACCCCATCCTGTTGTGGCCAGACACCAAGCAAAGGGCTTGTATACCTCGAGCCTGTGCCAGCGTGGGGCACCTGTTAAAACAGCTGCTGAAACTGGCCAGAGAAGGTGCCTTGCCCAGGCAACACAGCTGAAGCTGGCGACGTCACTGGGGACAGCGCTGGCTCTGGGGAGTGGCTGGGCCCCCATAGTGAGCCCCGGGCCATGCGAGACACTGGCTCCCACGTGGCCCTTGAATCTGCTAAGACCTAGGGGCCACCTGAGCAGCAAGCTCGGCCCGGGGCTCTTCTGTCCTGGGTACAGGGCTTGGGAGGCTGGTGAAGGATTATGCAGGCTGGGGCGGGGCCTGAATTCCTTCCTTGGGAGCTCGGTCTTTACTCTTTAGGCTCCAGCTGATGAATGAGGGCCACCTGTGTTGCAGAGCTCATCAGCTTAGAGTAGATGAGATGCACAGAAAAGTGGCCCCCCAGCAGCACCTACTGGGGGTTGGCCACCCTCGGATGCCACCGTCCGCGCCTGCAAGGAAGGGGCCGCAGGGGGAAGTGTGTCTCTGGGAGGTGACTTGGCTTTGTCCTCCCAGGCCTGGAGTTCATTCGGAAAAGCCAGCTGGCCCAGCCCGTGGGGCCGCTGGTGGTGCTCCTGCCCCTGGTAGGGGGGTACAGCCGCACCCTCAATGCTGCCTGCCGCCACCTGGCGAGGGCAGGGGTGGTGCTGGTCGCTGCAGCTGGCAACTTCCGGGATGACGCCTGCCTCTACTCCCCAGCCTCGGCTCCAGAGGTGGGTTTCAGGGTGCTGCCCCATGGCGGGGAGCGGCGGGGGCCTGTGGGCCTGCCATTGTCCCTCCTGAAGGCCCCCTGCATGCCCTGCAGATGGCACCCTGAGCTCTCTCCTGTCCTCCTGCCTCCTCCCCAGGCCACCCAGGCACCCCTGGAGCTTGGCCTAAGGCACAGCCAGCCCACCCCCTCCTGCCCCACCTTTGGGGCCCCGTCCTGCAGCCCCTGCCCAAAGCTCATCACCGCTGCAGTGAGGAGGCCACAGGAGCAGGGGACAGAGGCCCGGGAGGCGGCACAGTGGGGCACCGCACCCTCACCTGACTGACATCAGGGTCCCCGCTATGTCGGGCCGTCTGGGTGCCGGGCGCCCTGGCTAGCCTCGAAGCCTGGCTCAGTGGCAGGGGGAGCAGATGTAAACCTGGCTGTGTGACCTGGCCTGGAGGAGGCTTCCCCAGCCGCCCATGTAAGACGGGCTGAAATCAACTGGCCTGGTGGCGCATGCTTGTACTTCCAGCCCTCTGGGAGACTGAAGTAGTAGGAATTCGAGTTTGAGGCCAGCCTGGTTAACCTAGCAACTTACTGAGACCCTGTCTCAAAATTTAAAAAAGGGCTGGGGATGTTGCTTATTGCGAGGGCCCTGGGTTCAATCCTCAGAACCCAAACAAGCAAATGAAAAAGATCACCCGAAACCTATCACACTTCTCTGCTTTGCCTGCTGTGGCTTCCCCATGGTGCTTAGAGCAGGATCAGTCCCCTGTTTGTCATGTGTCTCCCCACGAGACTGTGCCCAGCACAGGCGCCTTGGGAATGGGTCTGGGGTATGGTGGGAACCACAGGTATGGGCCAGGGCAGAGGCACCAGCGTTCTGCCTGGAGTCAGATCCCCCAGCGGAGGCCATTTGGATGGGACCTGCATCAGTGTGTAGGAGTTGGCCAGCCTGGCTGGCAAGGTCTGCCTGTCCCTGCAGCCTTCCCTCACTGCCTTGTCTGCCACCCACCTCCTCACCTTGCCAGGTCATCACAGTTGGGGCCACCAATGCCCAGGACCAGCCAGTGACGCTAGGGACGTTGGGGACCAACTTTGGCCGCTGTGTGGACCTCTTTGCTCCTGGGGAGGACATTATCGGCGCCTCCAGCGACTGCAGCACCTGCTTTGTGTCACAGAGTGGGACATCGCAGGCTGCTGCCCATGTGGCGGGTGAGTCACCCCATCCCTGCCACCTGACGCTCACGGCCACGTGGACAGACAGGGTCTGTGCCAAGATGTGCATGTGCAGGCTGCACTGGGATCAGCAGGAGCAGCCACAAGGACCCTGTGTTGGTCAGCTTGGTGTCCCTCTGCTAGAACCGAGGGAGGCAGTGAGTGGAGGTAGAAAGGGGAGGGGGAGGAGAGGGGAGGGGTGAGGCTGGTGTCCGGGTGACCTGACTTCCTTCCGGGAGGCCCCACCTGGCCTTCATACCTCCCAGCAGTGCCGCAGGCTGGGGACCAAACCTTTACTACTAGACCTTTGGGGGACACTTGAGCCAGACCTCAGCAGTGGGAACACTCAGCTGGGGAGGCGGGTGCTTGAACAGAAGGAGTTTGAGCAGTCAGGGCTCCATCAGCAGGAGCCCAGAGGAGGCACCAATACAGTCTGGGGGCAGGGAAGGCTTCTTGGAGGAGGGACATTTGATCTAGGCATTGAGGGATGAATAAGTTCACTTGGAAAACACCACGGCCCACTGGGAGGCGGGAGATGAGCAGGATGGCTTAGTAGCTGGCTTTGCCTCAGCAAGAAACCGCAGGTGGCTTCCCTCCTGGAAGAGCAACTTGGTGCGTGGGAGTGCTTGGTTGGGAAGGAGGGCCAGGCCACCACTACCTCTGACCACCCCATCCCGCCCTAGGCATCGCGGCCATGATGCTGACGGCCGAGCCGGAGCTCATCCTGGCCGAGCTGCGGCAGAGACTGATCCACTTCTCTGCCAAAGATGTCATCAACGAGGCCTGGTTCCCTGAGGACCAGCGGGTGCTGACACCCAACCTGGTGGCCACGCTGCCCCCCAGCACCCATGGCGCAGGTGGGTGGCAGGGTGGCAGGGTGGGTGGCCCACCTGCAAGAGGGGGAGTGTCACACCTCCACGGGGCTCTGCATGGCTGGGAGCAGTCACCATGTTACCTGCAGGGAGCGAGGCTTTGTCCCCAGCAGGCACTGAGTCCTTCCAGGGTCCCTGGGGCTGCCTCGCCGATTCCCTTCTCACCCCCGGACTCATTGCAGGGGGGCAGCTGCTCTGCAGGACGGTGTGGTCAGCACACTCAGGGCCCACACGCACGGCCACCGCTGTGGCCCACTGCACCCCCGGCGAGGAGCTGCTGAGCTGTTCCAGTTTCTCCCGGAGTGGGAAGCGGCGGGGCGAGCGCATTGAGGTGACCTGCCCTGTGTGTCTGTGGGGACGTGGTCTCCTGGCCTGGGCCCGAAGCCCCAGCCCTGAGTGCCACTGAGGGGTTGGGCCAGAGCTAGAGGAGGCTGCTGGGAAAGCTGTGCCCAGAGGCCCCAGGGAGCCCGTGGCTCGGAGGTGCCAGCCTAGCATGGGACAGCACGGACCAGGGCCCTCCCCACTCAGATGGCCTGTGGTCCTAGGGGTGGGGACTCCCACACCAGCAGAAAGGCCAGTGTTGGAGCTGCAGGGGCACACGGCCGGTGTCTGCCAGCTGTGTTGGGGTAGACGAAGGGCGGCAGGCACGTCCATCCCTGAGTGCAAGGTTGGGTGGTGGCAGATGGGGAGCAGGCCTTGCGCCCTTGTTCTCTGACTCCAGTATCTGGAAGAACTTCAGGAAACAGCTGCCCACTGGCAGAACATTGCGCCCATGCAGGCATGTGCTCCTTGTCACCAGAGGGCTGGGAGCAGAGACACTGGCGAGGGGTCAGGGACCCCCTGCGTGCCTGCATCCTGGTAAAGCAGGTTCTGGTCTCTCTCTCTGGCCCCAGGTCCGCGGAGACAGGCGGGTGTGCCTGGCCCACAACGCGTTTGGGGGTGAGGGCGTCTATGCCGTCGCCAGATGCTGCCTGCTGCCCCGGGCCAACTGCAGCATCCATACGGCTCCGGCGGGGGCTGGGATGGAGCCCAGTGTTCACTGTCACGAGCAGGACCACGTCCTCACAGGTAGGGGCCGGGGCCTGCTCCTGACACCCCTGGCCCAGCGGGGGTGGTACACGTGGGTGATCAGGCACACTCTGCAGCCCGGGTGCCCATTGCAAGCCCGGGGTGGGCACTTCCATGCCGGGGACTGTGGGTGGTTGGCTTTGCCTTTCCCTGCCTTGGCTTCCTTCTGCCGAAGAGGGACTGAGGTAGCACCTGCCTTGGTGGTGGGACAGAGAACAAGGCCTGGGGTGCTGGATGGGCCTCACTGGGGCGTGGCGGGGCGGGAAGGATGGGCTCTGAGGCCTGGTCCACAGTGGGGCAGACCTGGCTGAAACTTCTGTGCCACTCAGCAGCTGGGCACATCCTTAGCAGGTGTGTGCCTCAGTTTCCCTGTCTGAAATGGCAAAGATGAGTGCTGAGCCGTTGGCCTGGTGCTGGACCATATACATTCTCGCTATTGTTACTGTCAGCACTGACTGCTTTAAAATCCATTTCCTGGGCTGGAGATTTAGCTTAGTGGTTCGCCCGCCTGTCTCATAAGCGCAAGGTCCCGAGTTTGATCCCCGGTACCAAAAAAATCCCAAAATAATAAAATCCATTTCCTGGTCCGAATGGGGCACTGTGGTAAAGTATGCTCCAAGAGGTGGCAGGAATTCCCCCCAGAGGGAGCAGGGTGGTGGTCCTCGGGTCGCAGGAGCCTGAGCTGCCCTGCGTTGGTGGAGCCCGAGTGTCCCGGGAGGGTCTGGAGATGGCAGGGAGCTGTGAATGGTTCCGGGACAGGAGCTGCAGCTTGGACCTGGAAGAACAGGTCGTGTGCTAGCTGGGTCCGAGAGGAGGACCCAGGCAGGGGCTCCACTGTGCTGTGCTTCTGTATCAGCATCCCGGCCCCTTGAGCATGCCTGGCAGAAGGCCCAGGGTCTGGGCTCCTTTGACCTTTTGAGCGACATAGACAGTTCTACCTGTAGGCACAGCCCAAGGTGTTGATTTGCAGCGAAGGGGCCTGTGACCCCGGCACACTGAGTGACTTTCCCAAGGCCACGAGAGGGCTAGGAGCCAGGGCCCTGCGATGGGTCACGGACGGTGCTGAGACTTCACGTGTATGTCTGTGTTTCATTGTCACAGCGTCCCTGTGGGTGGGCAGTGTTACTCTCACCATTTCACAGGTAGGGAATCTGAGGCTTGGTATGGCTGCATGACCATCTATGGTTTTGCACCAGTGGGTGTATCTGATGTCAAGCCCATGAAAGGAGTGCCCAGGTGCCCAGGCTCATGCCTGAACTCTGCCTGGTGGCCAGGTGGGGCAGGAGCCTGGGAGGCTTTGAGTATCAGGCCTTGGAGCCCTCTCCTGTGGCTCCGATCTCAGTGGCAAAGAGACCATGTTTTTACTGAGCACTAAAGTTCAGAGAGGTTGAATAGTTTCCTCAAGGTCACACAGCAGGTCATCCTCAGAGTAGAGGTGAGAACCCAGGGATCCTGCTGCTCAGGCCTGCCTTTCTTTCCATCCTGAGCTGTTCCTGGTTATCCCCAGGCTCAGGCCTTAAAGATACGGGGCCAGGAAGCAGGTCTCCAGCATTCCAGTGACTGAGCTGATCCTCCTCTACCCAGGCTGCAGCGCCCACTGGGAGGCTGAGGATTTTGGTGCCCACAGGCAGCCTGTGCCAAGGCCACGTGGGCCTGGCCAGTGTGTGGGCCCCAGGGAGGCCAGTGTGCATGCATCCTGCTGCCAGGCCCCTGGCCTGGAGTGCAAAGTCAAGGAGCATGGGGTCCCACGCCCCATGGAGCAGGTGAGTGGGCTGGGCGCATGCATCTGTCCCTTAGGCTTTGGGGTCGGTGTTTGTGCCACTGCCACATTGTCATGCATCAGGGTGAGTCAGGGTGGGGTGTTGGGGTACAGGCCATCTTTGTGGGTGGTATGGCCAGGCCCTGCTGCCCTTAGAGAACATGGCAAATGTGGTGCACGGAAATGCCACACGTGTGGTTTAAGGGCCTGCTGCGAGGTTGCTGAGGGCCAGGAGCTTGGATGCACTCTGAAGATGCAGAGGTGACACAGCCATGACTCAAGGGAGGGACACTGAGGGCAGGAAGGCCCTGCCTGGAGGGCAAGGATGCATGGGGAGGTGGAGTAGAAGGCCCCAGCCAGCCTCCCCTGCAGCCTGGATCCCTGGGTGAACTTGCAGGGTGAGGGCTGGACGGTGGAGGCCATGCAGGGAGCATGTTCTGCCTGCGCTGGCTGAGGGCAGGGCCATCCCAGATCCAGTGTTCAGGGACCCTGGCCCCGCTCCCCAGTGCCCCTGGCCCCGCTCCCCAGTGCCTCTTCTGGTTCTACAGCACTGAAAAGATGCCATGGTGGATGGTAAAGCGGGGAAGGGAATGGGAGGAGGGTCAGGAGAGGCCTTGCGGAGACGGGAGGGATGACAAGCTGGGGACATCACAGGGAACACCGTTTTAGGCAGAGGGAACAGCTGAGCAAAGGGTGCACACCTGTAATCCCAGCACTCTGGGAGGCTGAGGCAGGAGGATCACACATGTGAGTCCAGCCCATACAATTTAGCAGCTCAGTGAGACCTTGTCTCAGAATAAAAATAAAAAGGGCTCGGGATGTGGCTCAGTGTGAAGGCCCTGGGCTCAATCCCCAGCACTTTGATCAGGAGGCCAGAGAAGCAGGAGCAGTTAGTAAGGAGGGGTGGTCTGTCGAGGGTCAGGGCCAGGTCAGCAGGTCCCAAGGGTCACAGGCCTGACTCTGAGTTGTGCTGAGTGGGTTGGAGGCTGGGGCACAAGCAGGCTCCCTCTAGCTGAGCTGAGGCTGCAGGGGGACAGACAGCAGCAGGGCCACTGGACAGGTTCCTGTGGTGGTACAGGCCGGGGCGTGGGGCGCAGGCTGGAAGGAGCATGTGAGGGAGGCGCTGGGATGCAGTGGGTGGGTGGGGGAGCAGAGGACGGCCAGGCTGAGTTGTCCTTATGTGGCTGGCGTGGGAGGTGTTTGAAGCTTATCAGTTGGGTTGGGGCTGGATGTGGGCCACCGGATGTGAGCTGCAGAGAGGTCCATGGCCCAGAGCGAGGGTGAGCCCTGCAGCCCCGCCCGAGAGTTGTTGGGAGAAGGCTGGGCGGTGTAGACCTGACATGTGCTGTCTTCTCCCGGGCTCTGGCAGGTCACTGTGGCCTGTGAGGATGGCTGGACCCTCACGGGCTGCAGCGCCCTCCCTGGAGCCTCTCTGGTCCTTGGGGCCTATGCCATGGACAACACGTGTGTGGTGAGGAGCTGTGACACCAGGGCAGCGGGCAGGACCAGCGAGGAGGCCGTGGCAGCCATTGCCATTGGCATCTGCTGCCGGAGCCGGCCCTTGGAGCAGGCCGCCCCGGAGCGCCAGTGACAGCCCAGCCCGGACGTGCACCTGCGCAGGGCCGGGGCCTGGGCCTACAGAGCAGATGTGCTTCTGCCTGGTGCTGCTCTTGCCTGGGAGAAATCGGGGTCTTGCCTGGACATCGTCCTGCACTGCAGCTCGCCCGCATTCCCCCATCCCCATCTGACGTCACAGCAGGGGAAGCCATGCTCTGCCTGCCAGCGTCCCCATGTTGCTGCCCGTGGCAGATGACCCACCTGTCTGAGCTCTTGCTGCCTCCCTGCAGGAGGACGTGGGGGCTGGAAGGGGTTGAGCGCCAGGCCTGGGCAGCAAGGATGAGAGGAGCTGGTGGCCTACATTGCCTGCCCACTTTCGAGAAGCCCCTTTGGAATCCCTGGTTGATGGGGGACCCGTTTTCCACACCCCTGGGGTGAGGGTAGAGATGCGTGCGATCCATGACTCAGTTTCTCCCAGCTGCCCTCACTCTGCTCCCTGCACGGCAACACTGGCACCCTACTTTATGGAGGAAGAAATAGGGACTAGAAGGGGGGTGTCCACCAGCGCACACAGTAGGAAGTGGGATGGTGCTGGGATGTGCTCCTGAGCTTGGTAAGCAGCCAGGCCTCTGCTCTGCCAGTCCGGGCACCGGCTTGCAGGTTTCCTGGAGCCCGGGTTACTCCTGACAGCTCGGTGGGCTGTGGAAGGGCACAACTGTCCCTTCCCAAGTGCTTGCCCAAGCCAGTGTACAAGCACATGCCTCCCTCTTGCTTTCTTCTCTCTGCTGCCTTTTTATAGCAAGAAACTTTTCCAGACCTGTTGGGCTTTTGTAAGTTGGTATTTATTCTGGGTTTTGTAGTGTTTTTATTATGTGACTTTTTAAAATAAAAGTAACTTTGTCACGATCTGGCCTGGACCTTAGTGCCTAGGCTGACACTGCATCAGGGAGTCGGTGGTGGGGTGACAAGCCTTGGAGGAGCCTGGAGCAGGAACTTGCCATGTGTACTCTGCCTAGGAACACAGCGGCCTCAACCCAAGCCCCAGCTTCCTGGGCCCACTGGTGGGTGCGCCTGTCTGGGGTGCCCTCCCAGCCTCTCCCTGCAGCAGGCTCAGGGCATAGAATGGATGTCCTTGGGCTCACTCATAGTGCACCACTGCTTCTGGAAGGGCCGACACTTGTGCACAACTGCTGCTTGTAGTTGGACAGGAGTCATCTCAGATTTGTCAGGTTTGCAGACTATACTGCTTGGAGTAGGACTCTGGCTCCTTGCTGGGGTTGGGGAGTACGTCTTATGCAAGGTCTGTCTCTACACAACCCATGTCTCATATAAGGGATCTGACACAAAGGCAAAAATCTTTCCAAACTCTTGTTTTCTGACAATTCAGTGTCAGGTGTGGGAATGTGCTCATGGCCCTCTGGCCCCACACCTGCTGTGCCATCCAGACCCCCACCCTCCCCAGGAGATGCTGTGTCACCTGTCCGGTGGTTAGATACCTACAACAGCTGTCACTTGGGTGGAAGGGACAACTTGGTTTTTGCAGGTTACCTGTAGCAAACATCTCTGTCCAGAACTAGTATGCTGTGTGTGTGTGTGTGTATATATATATATATGTATATATGGCACATACTTGCTTTTCCATAATTCAGCTATACTGTTTTTATCTTAGGAGTCTGACAGAAGCTTTACATGACTCAAATGGGCATGTCAGATAGCAGAGCTGGGCTAGCATTGCTCCTCTGCTAATGGCTGCTACTGAGACTGAAGTTCTAGTCCTGAAGTAGCAGGGCTTGGCTGAGTTCACTTCCAGCCAAGATCAACCTGGCTCCAACCAAATCCCTGCCCCTGAATTATGGCTTCTCACTGACCTGATGGGTTGCTGGTTAATTATAACCCAGTCTCAGCACCCTTTGATCTCTCCAATAAGGCTTTACATCCCTGCTTGGATACCAGATATTCCTGCCTGCATATCAGCCATTGTCAGATGCTTCCAGACTCTTCACACTGTGCCACTAAATGTCTTCAAAGCATACCCTTCTTACCTTCCCATGCTTGTAGTCAGTAAAATACTGGGTGCCTTTCGTGCCTCTTGTCTTTGCTGCCCGGAGTAGCTTAGATCAGCCCAAGACCCAGTTCTAAGTCTTGTCTTTATTCTTGTCAGCATGTGTTGTAGTGCCTCACAGGAGACTGTAGACTGCAGAGGTCTACAGTAATGTCCCCTCTCCCATTTCCTATAGTTACCAGGCACTGGTAGGAAGGATCTGGCCTGTAGGGAGAGGGAGACCTGGAGTAGCATGTGGGAAGAGACCCACATAAACAAAAACACAGGCCACAAGAGCGAGAACACGACTTAGGATGGGGAGGGCCACCTTAGGAGAGCCAGAAGCTACACGGGAGATGTCTGTAAGCCAAGACCTTGAGGTCCACATCCTTGACTATGCTTTGCCAAGGAGTCCTGAAGTGCAATCAGTGAGGGCTCAGGAGACCCAAAGCCCTGCAAAGAATCACAGAACCAGGTGATGCCAGGCCTCAGGCCCAGCGTGCCCCCACCATCGCCAAATTCCGGCATTTGGAGAAAAATGTTGGTGAGACTCCAACTCTGTATTTTTGAAAAATTTATTTTGTACTTTTAGAAGCTAAGAACTCTGCCACGCATGAACCAAATTTAGAATTAAGATTCTTTCCTAGTTTATCTACTTTCTTTTGAAATTTTATAAACAAGATTTTGTACACAAAGAGGTAGCAGAGGATAATTCCAGTCTGCTTGTTCCAAGTTCAAAAGGTACTGCACATGTCTTGAAGTCAGCAGGGAGGGCAGGGCAAGCCAGGGAGTGAGGGCTCGGTGCTCTAGGTCCTAGACTTTCGCTAGCTGCCAGTGGCTACATGCGTCTACCAGGAGCATCGTGGGAGAGCTGCCCCAGGATGCCCACTTGTGCCTGGGATGGTCAGAACGGCCTTCACTGCACAGCTTTGACAACACAGAGCATTGAGTCCTTTGTGCAATTCTTGCTCAATTTGCAGACCATTGTGAAAGATTATAAAAACATCTTCAAAAAATTGGCAGTAAAAATGACAACTTTTCCAAGACAAGCCTGTCACAATTGTCACTTTGTGGTACTACATTAAAAAAGTCCTCAGCAGGTTTGTTGACTGCAGCTGTTGGAAATCAAGTGGTTACTGGCATAGTGGAATCAATGCTCACTGAAACAACAACATAAGTGAACCGAAGCTGGAGTGAGGTAACCCTGATGCAGCTTTGCATGAGAACATCAGGGCCGGGGGCAGGAGACGTCGTTTCCATAGGAAATAAGGGGACTAGAAGTGGTGATTTCACTCCTGATCTGGGGCTCCTGAGAGTGCAGTTGCCAGCGATGATATTCCAACATGTATCCTCGCTAGCGTTTCACAGTCCCACACAATCTTTATGTGGAGGTGGGTGTGGACAGAAGGTGAGGGTCAGAGGAGGGACACAGTAGGATATGAGATATTCAAAATACATCACATTCAAAACTGCAAAAACACCAGAACCATATCAAATGTGCCACTTGCCTACGTCTGTTTCTCTGGCCCTTCCACTTTGCTGTGTTTGACAAAAGCGGTCAGCAGCCTGTGCTAAGTTACGAAAGTACAAACCAGTCTGAGTAGACAGGAACTTCCACAGCTGCACAGGCAAGTGAAGAAGGGTACCAGAGTGCACAGCAGTGAAGCTGTCTGTCTGGCACACGTTCCCACAAATCCAAAAGCAATCAAAAAGGCACTTCAGGGCTGGCTGCGCCTCTTTGACTTGCAAGTCCGACAGTGGCGACCTGGCACTTCCTAAGGCTGCCCTAGTTCTGCAGGTGGTGAGCTGAAAATGAGGCAGAACTTGTAACTAGAGGAAAATAGGGACAACAAGGGATGATCAGTTCAAAATACAGAATGTTCCAAATACAGGAGGGTTGGTGTGACCCCACCCCTGCCCCAGAAGGGAGCTAGTGCCCAACCTAAAAGGAGGGAAGGATGTTACGTGGGAACTGCAGCTCAACGGGTGATGTTCGTTTCTCTCCAGTGACTTCTGGGAATGTTTTCCACCCTGCTTTTTCAGTGCTGATGAGTCAGGTTGAAGAGAAGCAAAGTCTTAAATCCCTTCTGTGCACTAAAAGGATCATGAAACTCACAAAGCAGGGTGCCCCAATTCAGATACTTAATTTCATATATGACCACTACCAAGGGCTTTGGAAATTGTTTTTAGTAAAAGCAAATGATTGCAGATCACATGACTTAAGACTACAGTTTATTCAATATGTCTCCAAGCATTAAAAAGATAATTTTATGAAGTCAGACTCAATAAAATTGTATCTTAAAGTGCTTTTTATTTTGCTGTTTTTAAAATTTGTTTTGGGAACCATTCATAACTTCTTTAATGACTGATGTCAAAGAATGCATCCTGCACTTCTGAAGAACACAGCTTTTTATGTTTTATTGCTCTTTTCAATCTTAATCATATGGGAAAATACCTTGAAGAGCTTAATAATTTCCCAATTTTTGATCCTGGTAACGTTTCATCAAGGTTTAAGCTTATGCCCAGGGCTCTCATCAGACCCATCAGAAATTCTATACAAAGAGGGAGACATATTAAATACAAAGGTCTGTGTAAACTGAATTCTTTAACTACTATTTTACAACAAAAAGGAATTTTACCACATTATCTTTACATCATTTAAATTGGATATTCCTATTCAATGTTACTGCAAGATTAAAAATTTGCCCCCACAAACCTAAAGGCAGCTTGCTTTTTCCTTTCTCAAAATATAAAAAGCAAAAGGAATTTTTTGTTGTTGTATCATGGAGAAAGCAACAGCTTTTTCGTTCGTGTAACAAAAATCTGCCGCCAGCTTTATTTCCTAAAGTCTCCACAGAAACGTCCATCCACGTGTGTCGGTGACCGGAACAGCTGGCCCCCACTGGCCTCCTCCTGGCCTCCTTGCAGACAGGGCACCTTCCTTGAGGTCGTGGTCCCCAGAGTCCCTCCTGGTCCCCAGCAGCCTCCTGGCCTGTCCCCAGGCTCTGCCAAGATGAGATTCTGTTTCCAGAAGGTGCTAACACCCAGTCTCGTCAGGTGCTGGGCACGTCCCTCTAAGGATCGACATCGTCGAGGTCACTTCTTAGCTCACCAATCATCATGGGAGATTCTGAACCCTGTGGAAAAGAACAGCAAGTGAAAATCTGTACAGTTTAAGTCGGGGGGCGGGGATTTCTACTCTGACTTCCTATTTATGTTCTGTAATTAAGTATGTCCTCATCTAGCAGCTTGTTTACTAAAGGATACTAAAACACAGGGGTAGGTATTATACCTTCCATTTGACATTTTTGATTCTGCAGAGCACTCTGATGTCTACGTCACTTAGTCACTGAGGCAACCCAGTGCCTCGCCTGGTGCCACTGTTCTCCTCTGTAGCCACAGGCAGGCTCTTCTCAGAACTCTGGGGAGCAGTGGAACAAAGCAGAGACTAGTGCCCAGTGTCACCTGCTCTGTGCTGGGTACTTCACCTGCAGGTGTGCTCTGGGATATTCTCGGGTCTGCATTCTGCCTTTGTCACCAATAGTGTGGCCTTTGGTCTATGCACTCAACAGTTCTGAAGACCTGTCACGTGCCCTGGGACTGATCTGAGTGGCAGTGGGGACGGGAGGAGAAGGGGACGACCTCTGTGGAGGTGACACGTGGTGGGAGTTGGATGGAGTGAATGGGAAAGACCTGAGGTGGGAGAATGTGGTATATTTGATAAACTAAAACCAGCAACTACTGGGGAGAGGTGTGCAGGGGACAAGTCAAGCAAGACTGTGGAGGATTCTGGCCTTTAGCAGCAAAGGAGAGCTACGACAGGCTTTGCAAGTGGACCAGACAGCAGCCAGAGTGGCGGCAGGTGGTTCTCAGAACACAAGAGACAGGTGAATGCTGTGCAGAGCATCTGTGGAGCTAGACATGCATGGAGCTGGCCAGGATGACCCCTGAGCACGCCAGCCTGCACCAGTACACAGGTGCTGAGAGGCAAGGCTGGCTTGGGTTTGGAGTGTGAGGTGTCTTCCTGCTGGCAGCAGGCACAGCTGCCAGGAACGAGAGCTGGATGTGCGTGTCTGGAGCAGAAGCAGAAGGATGTAGGACAGACGGACCTGCGGGTCATCTACTGGGGACCTAGAGGAGAATGAGGTGTCAGGAGAGGACAGGAAGAGGGCGTCTGAAAAAGGGAGGCATGCCCAGCAGCATCAACACATGCCACTTGCTACCCTAACGTCGGGTGAGAGAAGACAGCGGGGAGTCAGGCTGGTCTGGGCTGAAGAATGAGAAAGAAGCAAGCACGATAGCTCAGGTTATTCTAAAGGAGAGGGTGGGGTAAGAGGAAGAAGAGAAATGTTTTAAGAGTCTGGGAGAGAACTGTGTTGAAATACTGCTAGAAAGGAGGGCAGAGAGGGAGAATTCAAGAGGAGTGGAGGAGAGAAAGGTAAAGTCTGTCAAGATGGGTCAGTGAGGGCTGGAGGCCTCCGGAGCTCCACTGTGGCAGGAGAGGATTTGGGACAGAGCAGATGCTGCGACTTCAAGTCTGGAAACCAGTGGAAGCTCTTGTCTAACAGCTGTCCTTTTCTCTGCAGGTAAAGGAGGTGATGTGGTAACCTGCTGAGAGGGACCTTGGGTCGGTGAGGTCCTTCTGTGAAATCATCATAATGGCTACTCATAGGGTTACGAGCCCCAGAACGGCAACACTGAGGAGAAACGACAGACACAACACCAGCAGCACGCACTGAATGGGAAGCCCCACGTGACGGGCCCACAGGGGAGACTGCTAAGGAAGGCCACAGATTGGCAGGGAGGATGGAATGAATACAATCACAGTCATGCTCAGCTTGTATTTTGCACACAGGAGTGATGAGTAATGAAAATGCTCTTTAAGGAAATGGGCTTAAATTAGTCTGAGCCCCCTGGTGAGTAGGTCTACCACAGAGGCACCTGCTTCCCTTTCAAGGGTCCGTATGTGCAGAAAGGCAGACAGAGAAGCAGGAAGGGCACGGGAACCACATGTGTGGCTGGCTCCTCAGGACCACCTCCAGGCTGACCCCAAGGCCTTGCCCTGGTTGCACACTGCAGTGCTCCCCGTCTGACAGCAGGACAGGCCACGCGGTGCTACCTTCACATGCACACCCAAGCAGCAGCTTTCTGATGTGACTGTGACCGTGGAGGTTGTTCAGAGAAGCTCAGGAGCGCGACGCCCTTTTGGCCAGAGATGGGCCCCCAGATGTACCTGCTGCAAGTGCCTTTCTCCGTTCTCATTGGCAGGACTACTCTCTGACCCATTACTGCTTCCAGATTGCTCTTTTTCATTCAGCAGAGCTGTGGCATATGCTAATGTGTCCTGCAGGATATTAAAGCACAGCAGAAAAAGTTACAGGCTGTCCTTACAGCAGCCACCACCCTCTGTTGACCTGTGGCGGCACTGGCAGCCTGGAGAGAGGCGCTTTCACCTTGGCCACGAACACCAACCTGCTTGCCCTGCCAGCCCAGACCAACCAACCACCTCTACAGCATTTTTCTAGGCAAACGCTTTACCTAAGTGTACAGCAATCTGTGGTCTTTTCACAGAAATCGGATCACTGCCTCTGCCTGTTCACATCTTCACCCCACACCTCTACCCCTCAGGCTTCAGTTTCTGAGAACCCTGTGCAAGGGGATTCAAGGCATACAAAAGGGAACAAAGGCAGCCCTCACCTGAGCTGAGATGGTTCGCTGAAAGGTCTTTCCAGTTGATGTTTCATTAGAGACGTTGCTCTGCGGTGCCCAGTAATGTTCTGACATCTGAGATGAGAGATGAAGCACATTGTTAGAGGAGACAGATGAGCCCATCAATACCACAGCCTAAAAGCATTGTATCTGCTTCTCCCCAGGCCTTTCATACCTCAGGAGATCCCTGTACTCTCAAAACCTGAGGCAAACACCGCTTCTTAAGTATCATCCCTACCTTTTCACCTATAAAGTTAAAGACACATTTGTCAGTCCCCTCATCTTCAGTTCTACTTCTCTTAATTTCAATCACTTGTGACAAGCCACAGTCCAAATATAGTAATACCTTGCCTTATGAACACTTCTGCTCGAAAACAATTCAGTTCTCGAACAGAAGCGTTCAGCAAAATTTGCTTCCATTTGAGAACTCTGAATTGGGTGATGAACACGACTGCGGTCATCTTCCCCAGAATCGCAGAACAAATTAATTGGTGAACTGAGCTACCACTGTGTGCCAGTCCGAGTATCATGAATCTTGCACTGTCCCTCCGTGGATGTAAACTGTTTGTCGAGCAATATATCCACACTATATATTCTTCCTGGCCAACAAGGTCACAGCTCAATGATCCTTGTCACTGACAGTCTGTAAGAAGGCAAGAGAAGCATAGCTACATGACAGTGCCTGTGTCTCTTACCTCATCACAGTCACTGTGTCATTTCACAGTATCACAAGAAGGTGGGCAAGTAAAGAAGAGTAAGATATTTTAAGAGACACAGACCTGTTACAGCTGTATGTAGATATCCTTCCAAAGCCTCATGCACTCATGGGTGAGGTTTTGGGAGTAACTGGATCATGGACGTGTGACACTGGATTAGTTTACTGACTGGTTTAGCATAGTTCCAGGTGTGGGTGGCACTAACCGACAGGCTTGCAGCCTGGCTGGGATAAAAAGGGGAGGAAGGGCTGGGATAAAAAGGGCTTCCTGTCTGCTGTGCCATGAACTGTTTCCCATCACAGCCTTTGCCCTGCTGCCAGGTGACTACAGAATGAAACCTCTGCAAACTGTGAGTAAAAATAAACTTCCTCCTTCCACTTGTGGGTATCAGGTATTTTGTCCCTTCAGGCAGAAAGGAACTAAAACAAGACATATTCATTTAACTTTTATAGTATGCTGTTGTAATTGTCTATTTACTATTTTCTTCTCCCTATCCCCCATTTTATTATTAGTTAATCTAACTGTTCCTAATACATAGATTAAACTTTATCACAGGTTTGTACATCTAAGAAAGAGGAGTGCATAAAGGGTTCAGTACTATCTATGGCTTCAGGCACCATGAGTCTTGGAACATATGTGAGTAATGGGACTCCCACATTAAGATACAAATTTAATGCATACAAGTGGGTATTGACTGTATTAAATAGCTGAAGAAAGAAAGAAAAAAAGGAATAGCTGAAGAATAAAAGCACTTTAGGGTCAGTCTACAAGTTAGGGGTAGGGGATTTTTTCTGATGTGCCATTCTGCCGCTGATTCTTACGTTATTAGAAAACTCAATTACCTTCTTCTGTAGCCACTGCACAGCCCAACTCCAGTGATGGGAATTCTCTTTGAAGTATTCTTTAGCAGCAGGACACCTAGTGATTAAGGAGATTGCTATCAGCCAAATATTTTTTTGTGCAAGTATTAATTTTTCAGTAGCTTTTTGTTTTGAAACACAGCAATTCTACTGTCATTAAAATTCAGGTGTCTTCATATTAAATTTTTATTATTTTAAAAATTTGGATAGTAATACATTTATGTTTAAACTTCCAAAGGCATAAGGAGGTATAAGTGTAGTCTGAAGTCTCCATCTATCTCTCCCTCACTCAGTTCTATTAAAATTCAAAGTTGAATAACAAAACCAAAGCCCACAACAAATATTCATTTAATGAATAACCTTTTGGGCTGTGGATGTATTTTAGAGCACTTGCCCAGTGTGTGGAGGACCCTGGGTTCAATCCTCAGCAACGTAAAACAAGCACACAAGCAAACCCACCCACTGTTCTCAGTCTTTGATTTTTGTGATCTGAGTACGAAAGAATGACATTATGGAAAACAATGTAAAGCATGGCCTTGGCAGCGCCTTTCTCTTCCTATTTTTCTTTGCTTATTGGTGAGCTGTCCTTATCTGGAGATAGCACCAAGGGGAAGGTGCCACTGATGTGTGTCTAAGATGCATGTGTGAAGGATGCAGAAGTACACAGACACTGACAGCTGACTGAGCGTCTGCTGCCATGAGACCTATCAAGTGGCCCCAGCACTACCTAGAAATGCCACTCCTGACATGCTGTCACTATCAAGTCTGCTTAGTGAACCTTTGGAGGAAACAAAGTGGTGGAGTAGTGATCAGCAGCAAAGTACAGCCTCTCCAGGACCTGGAATCCAGACACCTGGAAAATAACAACTTGGTGAAGAAAAAAAAGACAAAAAAAAAGATTTCAGGGAACTGGGAGGGAACTGACAGGAAAATCAGAAACCACACAGAAGCTGGAGAAACGGCATAATGGAGAGAAAGAATAAAGCAATCTGGAAGCTCAACCCCCGCTCCTGGGGAGGGGCACCAGTCTCTACAGACACAAGGTAGCCCCAGGAGGTCCTTAGAGTCAGGAGTTCTAAGGAGAAACAGTAGACCAGGCCAGGAGCACTAGCCCCATGAAAACCTTAATGGCTACTGTAAACTGCACTGTGTGGGGTTTTATTCCAAAAGCAACTCTTGTGCGGCAGGCTACAGATGGAGAAGAAACCCAGTGCACTGCCTCCCACACTGCCAGAGTGTTTAATCAGACACCATTCTGGGAAGGGGTTGATTATTTTAGGTTAAGCCGCAGAAGACCTAAAAATCATCTTCACTTCAGGATTCCCAGTGTTACCTTCCTACAGGGACTCTGAGAGACAGCCAAGAGGGACAGTCGTGGAAAGGGTGTAGACTGGATACAGATTCACTGTGAAGTTTAAGCTTAGACCAAGAAAGACATGGGTCCCCGTCGTTTATGGTGAGAAGCCAGGCCCAGCTTGTGTGGCTTTCAGAAGGGGCTGAGTCTGAAAGTACTGGCCTTAAGTACAGAGGTTTAGGGCCAGGGATTTGGCTCAGTGGTTCCACTGCCAAGCACAAGGTCCCGAGTTTGATCCCCAGTACCAAAAACAAACAAACAAACAAACCAACAGTGGTCTGCTTGAACCCTCTTCCTGCTGCCTACATGCAGCACAGGTCAGTGGTCTGATTGCTTTCTCTATCTACTAATGTGAGCAAGGACACACCTCAGCTGGGATAGTTGCCATGGCCTAGGGTGACCAGACAAGAGGGGCCTCTGGAAAAAGAGGGACACCTCATAAACCCACAGGCCATAAAGCTAGGTGGAGAAAACCAAGACTTGTTGGATTCCAAAACTGCAGATCTTGAAAAGAAATCAATCATTCAAAAATACAGGGGAGTTCTCTGTTCTGTTTTTTTTCTTTGGACTCATTTCTTTTTTCTTTCTTTCTTCTTCACTGGTTATATGTGGGGCTTGGATTTTTTCCACTTTGTTTTTATTCTTATTTTTTCTATTATTTGTTCTTTTCTTTTAACTTTTACCTAATTCTATTAATTTCCTTTTACTCCTTAGTCTCTCCTTTCTCTCATCTTCCATTAATTTTTCAGTTTTCTTCTTTCATTCTCCCACTGTCTTCCCATCTTTATTAGTATAACCATTAAGATTTATTAATCTTTATATAGTTAACTCTACACCCTTGCTGTTGAATTCTTTTTTTTTAGTGGAGGTATAGTTGTTGCACCTAGTAGATATTTACTATATGTCAATATTTGGTTTATCTTAGTGTTTACACTATAATTATAGATCTCTTTTCTGTGGTTAACGGTTGTGTATTATTGGTTCTTAGGGTGTATAATATCCAGTCTATCTTTGACACTCTGTTACTGATTTTATTACTACAGTCAATGTGACACAGTCAATGCTATTAATTGGATTTCTTGGGATGCCAATATCCAACTGCCTTTGTGTCGTTAACAGAACTATGGTCCGTTCTTGGAGAACTGGGTACAAAACAGATCATATACTATCCCATAAAGCATGCTTACATAAATGCAAATAATCAAAATTATGCATACTGTTAGCTCATAGCTCAACAAAACTAGAAATCAATGGCAAAAGAAACCACAGACATTATGTAAATGCATGGAAATTAAACAATACACTCTTGAACAATCAATGGGTCACAGAAGAAATTAGCCAGTTTCTGGAATCAAATGACAGTGCCAGTACAACATACCAGAATCTATGGGACACAATGAAAGCAGTCCTAGCAGAGAAGTTTATAGCCATGAATGCCCACATCAGAAAAACAGTGATAACCTAATGATGCATCTGAAGGTCCTAGAAAAACAAGAACAATCCAAATCCAAATTCAAAGCTAGCACAAGGAAGGAAATTATAAAGATCAGAGCAGAAATTAATGAAAAGACTAAAAAAAATTTACATAAAGAATCAATTACTTCAAGAGCTGCTTCTTTGAAAGAATAAACAAAATAGACGAAACTTTACCCAATGTTACCAAAAAAAGGGGAAAGACACAAATCAATGCAGTTAGAAATGAAAAAGGCAAAATCACAATGGACACTGCCAAAATCTTAGAAGAGTAGAAACTACTCTGAGAACCTGTACTCCAATAAATTAGAGAATATAGAAGAAATGGGTAGATTCTTCTATATATGAATCATCAAAATCAAACCAAGAAGATAGAAAAACTCTCTTTTTTTTTTTTTTGGTACCGGGGATTGAACTCTGGTCCTTTCGAAGAAAAACTCTTAATAGTCCAAAAACATGCAATGAAATTGAATCAGTAATAAAAACCTACCAACTAGGAAAATCCCAGTGGATTCACTGCTGAATTCTACAAGAACTTCAGGGATAACGCCAGTATTCTTTAAACTCTTTAATGAAATTAAAAGGGAAGGAGTACTCCCAAAATCATTCCTGAAAGCCAACATCACCCTGATTCCAAAACCAGAAGGAGATCCAATCAAAAGAGAATTTCAGGCCAAACTCTTCCATGACCATATATGCAAAAATCCTCAACAAGATACTAGCAAAGAGAATGCAACAAATCATCACTACCAAGTAGGCTTTCAGCACAGGGATGTAGGTGATGGTTCAATATATGCAAATCAATAAACGTAATACAACACATAAACAGATGCAAGGACAAAAGCTACATGAACATCTCAATAGATGCAGAAAAAGCTTTAGACAAAATCCAACATCCATTCAAGATAAAAGCACTGAAGAAAATAGGACCTATCTCAATCTGACAAAGCCATTTATGAAAACAGCCAACATTATACTGAATGGGGAAAAGTTGAAAGCTTTCTGTCTAAAATCAAGAATAAGACAAGTATGTCTACTATCACCACTCCTGTTCAAACATAAGCCAGAGAAAACTTCAAACTGCAAACATTAGCCAGAGAAATTAGACAAGAGAAAGAAATAAAATGGATACATATAGAAAAGGAATACTTCAAATTATTATTATTTGTAGATGACATGATCCTCTACATAGAAGACTCAAAAATTTCACTGAAAGATTCCTAGAATAACCAACTTCAGTAGATCAGCAGGACACAAAATCAATACACAGAAATGGACAGTGGCTGGGTGTGGTGTCACATGCCTATAATCCCAGCATGCAGGAGGATCGCTGCAAATTTGAGGCCAGCCTGGGCTACATAGTGAGTTCAAGGCCAGAACTATATATCAAGACTCGAACTCGGGTCCTTGCACTTGTGAGGCAGACAGCGGAACCACTGAGCTAAATCCCCGGCTATAAGACCAATTTTATGAAGCACCTAGAATAGTCAAAGTCATGGGGACAGATATTAGAATGGTTGCCACTAGCTGCGGGGGGGGGAGTGGGAACTGGGGAGTTAGTGTTTGACAAGTACAGAGTTTTAGTTTGGGAAGATGAAAAGAATGTTGGAGACAGATGGTGATAATGGTTGTACGATATGAATGAATTTAATACATACTTAGAAATGGTTAAGACAGTAAATTTTACATTATGTGTACTTTATCATAATTCACACTTTTTTCACTTTGAAATTCATCAGCCTGTGTTCAAGTCTTAGCTGTACGACTCTAGGCCACTTAAGCCACCTGTGACCTACCTCATGTGGCTGTTGGAAAGACTGAGTGAGGTGATACAGAGGGAAAATACCTGCCACAGTGCCTGGGTTCATAGTTCTCATTAGCTACAGGTGACAAGATTTTGTCTCAAGAGGCTGTTTTGTAACGTGGGACCCAGAGCCTAAAAGAGTTTGTAGTTAGGTCACATTAAGGAGAAAGACCTTGGGAAGGTCTTCTTGCTCTTAGGTTCCCCACACCTACCTTCTCACATTGGGCCAACTGGCTTAGCTTTTTATCTTTTTAAAAGTGCACAAGATCTGCTACTCTTACACTATTCCCTCTTCACTCTTTTGAAAAGCAACGGAATAGACTTCTGCGGCTCCCAAGCACACGTGCCCACACTTAGCCTCTTCAAGGTGCCAAAACAAGGCAGATTTTTTTTCAGCCATATCTTACTTGTACTTAAAACAGCACTTCCTTCCCACATTTTTAAGTTAATACTTACTTTTGAGCAAGAGTTACAAGGAATTTGACACACTGGTAGCAGCGACTGCTGTCCACATGATTACTGTGGTGCATCAAAGCTAGAGGAAGAGAAGAGGACATCTTAACAATGTGCTGAACTCGAAGTGCGTCCAAGTACTAACAAACTTGCTCTCTTCTAAAAATACATATTCTGCCAAGTGGACCAGAAACAACTAAAATCATGGTGATGTCTTACTCAACAGAATTCCCCAAAGTCTAATGGGTGGAAATGCTACTTTATATACACAGTGGTGAGTTTGGCTCTCAGAGGAACTGAAAAAGAGCTATAATTTTTTTTTTTGGTACTGGGGATTAAACTCAGAACGTTGTGCTTGCCAGGCAGGTACAGTGCCACTGAGCTACATCCTCAGCCAGGAGCCGTAATTTAAACTGGCCGAGTATTCAAAGTTTTCCATACACCATACTGGTGAGAAAAGAGTAGTTATAATAGTTTGATAAAGAGAAATATATAGCTAGCTCTGTTTAATAAGTATTTCTTGCTCTAAATTTTAGGAATTTAAAAACAAATCCCTGTTAGGCGTGGTGGCATGCCTGTAATCCCAGCACTTGGGAGGCTGAGGTAGCAGGACTGTTGCAAATTTGAGGGCAGCCTGGGCTACACAGTGAGTTCAAGGATAGCCTTGTCTAAAAAACCAAAAGAAGGGCTGGGGATTTAGCGCAGTGGTTTTGCCGCCTGTTGCGCAAGTGCAAGGACCTGAGTTCAGTCCCAGGTTGCGCCCCCCCCCTCGCCCCTGCCCCCCGCCAAAAAAACCCAAAAGAAAACAAAAAAACCCAAATCTCAGTTTAGTTTTTAAGTTCCAGAGCACCTGGGTGCAGCTCTGACTAGAGTTCACTGTTCCAAAGAAAGGGCCTAGAAAGCTGGTGCTGCATGGCTTCTTAGCTTAGATCTTGGCAGCCCTCAATCTCTTCTGAATATAGTCATGTGTTTCTTTTCTTTTTCCTGTACTGGGGATCAAACTCAGGACCTTGTGCTTGCCAGGTAGGTGCGGTGCCACTGAGCCACATCCCCGGCCCTAGTCATGTGTTTCTCAAGGAGGGTGCTACCTTACAAAAAAATGCATTAGGCAATTATGTCACCATGGCACATGATAGAAAAAACTTTACAAATACAGACAGCTACCATGGCCTGTATGAGGCAACATAATTTTATGTGACATCACCATATATGTGACTCATTGCTGACAGAATGTTAAGTGGTGCATGACCACACAAGATCTAAAGTAATGGAAAATTGAAACTGCAGGTGGGGATGGTGGGAGGTAGGTAAGATATTTTTACTTAAACCTTTTTAAATAAATAGCTTATTAAAGCTAAGGTGGGCTTCTGAAAAAGAAATCCCTGATTAAAAAACCTTTTATGGATAGACAACTGAAGTGCAGGTACTGATACCATAGGTTAAAAGATAGCCATACTTCATGTGCTTGAGACAGCATTCTAAGTCTGAAGCTCTTTTTTCTCTCTGATGGCTGTTGAATGGAAGGAAAGAGCTCCAGCACCAGGAGGCCTTATCTTGTAGGAAGCATCACAGCACCCCTGAACTTTCCTGATCTGCAGAAAGGACCCCAAACTGCCCCTTACTGCCTAACGGCGGGAGAGTATTCAGGTATGAAGATTCAGGTGGGGGCTCTGCCTGCCAAGACAACACACCCACTGCAGATCTGTGTCCAGCAGCCAGGCGTTCTTACCCAGTAATCCATTTTCTGTCTCAAACACAAATTTGACTCGCTCCACTTGTATGGGATCTTCAATGACCTGTGAGAGGAAGGAAGCAAACTCTGGTAAATGAAGGAAGAAAGCAGTGTCGTAGCTAGTGGTGCCTTCTCCACAGTTCCAGTAGAGGACTAGGTTAGTTTCTACATAACGAAACCCAATACACTAAGGGTATTCTGTCACTGCCACATATCTCAAATTTAAACTAAGACATATGACTATTAAATATATTTAAAGACCCATTCATTTCCAACCTACATGTTCCTACAGCACAAAGTCCATTTGCCCTAGCACTGGTAGAAGACTTTCCACACCTGGACTGGTTTTCTTTTCTCAGCTCTACTCAGTTCCCATTTTTTCCTCTGGTCATTCCAGTCATGACAAGTCACAGAGCTCCTCAGAAGCCTGATAAAGAGACAGGGCTCTGAGCCCTTCCTGAGGCAACTCACTCCACTTCTTTAAATCCCAGTTTTTAATAATACTGTATTTTGCTAATTATAACTTTTTTTTTTTGCTTTCCATCTTTTTGCAACTGGAAAACATTTTATACAATCAATTACATCTCAGTTTCATGGATCTCAAAATATTTTTAATAGTACATGTACAATTAATGGTGTCTAAGATTTGATGAAGTGTAAGCCCAGCAATTCACCTGTGGGGTCATCCCGGGGCTAGGCACAGCAACATGCACTTAGCGAGATCCACTGCTCCTTAGACCTCTGCATTCTACCTACCTGTGCACCTGCCCAGCTCCCTCACCATGCTGCAAGCTCCCAGGAGGCACTGTTATTACTGCTCATCTCTAAGTCAGTAATGCATACAGAACAAGACTGACAAGAAGAGGATTCAGAAAGTGCATACTGAGTAAGTATGAAGCAATGAAAGGGCTAATAACTTGGAAACACAAATAACTAATGAGTACCCATGTATGTGAATCAAACATTTATGACTTACCAGTATCTCATGAAGGAGCTGGAATGTATTCTTTAACTCATGGGGTGGAGCAGTTTCTAGTTGGTTCTGAAATTTTTTGAAAGCATAAACATTCCAGTAAGTTTTCCATGGAAACTACACTGGAGCAGTAATCAACAATGGCAGATCCACATCCTAGATGTACCAGACCTGGCTGACCTTAGGGAACGCAACTTCCCCTCTCTGGTCTCAGTTTTCTCAAACACTAAATCTAGAGACCAAAATAAACTTCTGAGATCCTCTAAAGGAGCTCTACACTCCATGATGCTTTACTATGAAATCAGAGAGAGAGGAAGAAAGGAAGAATTTTAAGTCACTAAAGAGATTCCAATTTAAATATATACATACAAACTCTATTTTCCTTTCTAGACTATGCTGTGTAGCTAAGATAAGGCAAATAAGAACACTGAGGTAAATATGCTTTCAGCCAAGTATATAAAAAAGTCAGCTTGTGAAAGAAAAATCTGCTTGTATACACTAACTGAAGAAAGCAAGGTTAGCAAAATCCACACTCTTGTGCATTTTAATTAATATATATAAACATATGGTGGGAAAGGACATTGTGTGGTAACACCATTACTTCCAAGGTGCCACATCTGGCACTAAGTTAGCTCTTCAAATGTCACACCTTACCAAACCTGTACATGCTGCTCTTGGAGAGGGAAACACCCAAGGTCATTTAAATAGTGTACGGATGGGCTGGGGATTTAGCTCAGTGGTTCTGGCTCCTGCCTCGCAAGTGCAAGTTCCCGAGTTCGATCCCCAGTACCAAAAAAAAAAAAAATGAACTAGGGTACAGCACAGAGAGGAGCCTAATCCCTCTGAGACAGGTATGCACACAAAGGCTGAGGGCAGGGGCTGGGGATTTAGCGCAGTGGTTCCGCCGCCTGCCTCGTAAGCACAAGGACCTGAGTTCGATCCCCGGTACAAAAAAAAAAAAGGGGCTGAGGGCAAAACATCTTAGTCAACCATAGTCTCCTGCTACATGTTAACATCACATGTACATCTCCATTATTAATGCGGTGCTAGAAAGAAGGCTCAGTAGAATTTCTGTGGTGAGAAACTAGTACATATAGTGTGCATCCACAGAGAGGATGAGGAAGGAAACAGTCATGCAATAGTGCTCCTTGGGGCAGAGTGGGGAAGAGGGACAAAGATGACCGGTTGTGGTCAAAGCAGACTCTGACCTTGTATATGCTTGACATTTTCACAAAGAGAATGTATGTATAATCCATGTAAAGAATAAAAAGCAATAAAAATGACATGGTGTACTCTGCTTTACTAGTCATACTGAGGAAGGCAGTAGGCCGAGTGTTAGGAGACAGGCCCTGGAGCCATGCTCCTAGGTTTGAAGGCCTACTCTGCCACTGACTAGTTGTGTGACTTGAGCAATTTCCTGCCTCTATGCCTCAGTTTCTACAACTAGAAAATGGTGGGAACAACAGTATCTTCCTCAGAGAACCGTGTGAGAATTCAGGGAGTTAAAATATGTAATGCTTTGGAACAGTGTTTAGTGTCTACTAGGAGTAATTACAAACGACAACGATCATTTTCCTGATCTGCGCTTCATAATTACAAACTATGTTAGAAGGTGAGCAAACCCTACTTTTGATTCTAAAAACATTATGTAGGGGAAACTGTGAAACTGGAAAAGAATTCTGCATAATAATGGTCATCACAGCATTATTATTAACTATAAAATACTATTCTTACCTAGTTAAAAACTGAAACCAATGTAAATGTACATTAATTACTAGGAAGAAAAGGGTTAAGTAGATTACAGTACACAAAAGGATGAAACAGACTCAGATAACTTTTAACGACAGTATTTATAACATCAAGTGAAAAAGACACAAAGCTATGAGCTAATAAAATCCTGATTATGTTAAAATATATGAATATAAAAAGATAAAATAAAGGATAAAGAATGTTCATGGGGATCACTGAATAATGGGATTATGAAGTTTTTCTTAAGCTTTCTTTAAAAAAAAACATATACTGTTCTATTTAGCAATTTGGAAAACAATGTTACAGAAGTAGCATGTTGTTGGAAGCTAAAGCCGAACTGAGGCTGTACCTTAATGAAGTGCAGCATGGTGAAGGAGAAGTGCTCGTTGCAGAAACAGCAGTACACCACCATCTCAATGAGTGCCAGCAGCGAGCCCGTCAGCTCTCGGAGAGCAAACATGACCTGGCGAATGGACACCGTAGAGTTTGAGCGAGCACCTCCCATGATGGTTAATGTCAGTCTGTTCTGGCTTTAACCAGAATATACTCAGATTCAAGAACATCAACACTGCCTTAAAACAGAGTTTCTAGTTAGAGGATTCTGCAGAAGATTACAGGCTGAGTTTGTTTGGCCTTTTATACAATTCATTATTGCAAATGTGTACTTTTTTCCTGGAGTCACTTTCCTCAATTTTCAAAGGCAAATGACTTGAACAAGGGTTAAAATAATCACTAGTAGATAAAAAAAAAAATAACATTAAGCTTAAAAGGAAAAATATGTAGCATACCATTGTTGATGTAATTTAGAAAGCCAGTATGGTATACTGTTCACAGGTTCACATACATGTGTATCAGGCTTTGGAAGGCAGGATTTAGAGGAGGGACGCTTGCGGGGAAGGGAGGCACCCATTCAGGATGGGCCACACCCCCCCACATCCCCAGGGTTAAGCACACCTGTGGTCAGAGTTGTAGTTTTCCAGAACCAGAGACACACATGAGACCAGGAACTAAACCCTCTGATACTAAAATAATTCTGACAGGTCAAGTGGCCCTTACCTCCTTCCCCCTCCTGTGGCCTGGAGTGGTAACTGGCTTGGCTGGACCTGAAGTCCATGTCTTGGTTGAAGAGAGGACTAGGAAGACTGTCTTCTACTTTACTGACTGACTGATGGACTGCAGTGCTGAGGATCAAACCCAGGGCCTTCCACATGCTAGGCACGTGCTCTACCACTGAGCTATACCCTCTCCCCCAATTATGTCATTTTGACACAGACATAGGAAAGAATCCTTCTCTAACAGTACTCTTCTTCATTAGAGTAACATGTAAAATATGGCAACAAGTATTTTTCCTTAAATAGGAGAAAGTAACAACAAATGAAGAGCTCAGGGATAAAGCATAATAAGCATGTACCTCCAACAGGTAAGGCTTCCCTTCTGACAGGAACAGCAAGGCTTCTACTTCCTCATGGAGGGGCAGCAGGGGACTCGAGGGAGCAATGCTGATAGGTGGCCGTTGTTTAAATATGCCGGGAGCTTTAGGAGACCAAAGAAACGACACAAAACAAAATCCATCTCACTCGGTGTTATTCCATGAAATGGACATCCACAGTAATGTGCACTGTCAGGACACACACACACACACAGCGCTGAGTTCTTACACCTGATCCTTCGCAGTCTGGTGGGGAAGTCAGGGTGTAGTAAAAGAAAACATTTATCTAGATCCTTCAAAGGGTGCCCCACCCGGAGCTGGGCACCCCTGGTGATCCCCAATCAAGATAACCTTCCAAAGAGATAAAAATACAAGTAGTATATGAAAAGGCCCAAAGCTTCTATTAGAGACACTGGGTAAGACATTTTTGTTCCTCAAGTGTCCTCAAACAATGGCCAACATCATCTAGGTTAAAGCAGATTCAACCAATACAGCACGGGTTACCTCATTTTCTAGAAAAAGAAAGATGCAGAGATTCTCATTTTCTTCTACAAAACCAAGCTCACAAAATTAGGTAGTTATGGTACCGGGGATCGAACTTGGGATTTTACGCTTGCGGGGCAGGCGGTGGAACCACTGAGCTAAATCTCCAGCCCCTAGTTTTTGTGTTTTTTGAGATAAGGTCTTGCCATGTAGTTCAGACTGGCCTCAAACTCACTATGTAGCCCAGGCTAGAACTCTCAGTGATCCTCCTGCCTCAGCCTCCCGAGTACTGGGATTACAGTTGTGTGCCACCAGGCCTGGCCAAGTTTTGTTGTTTTAGATGAACGAGTCAGAGTTTAGGAAGCAAATTCTACCCTACCACTATCTGAGTGTTTCCCCAATGTCCCTTTAGAGCCAATAAGCACCTTTCTGTCAGAAAGATGCCTGGAGATTTTTCTCTAGTTTCCTGCCCTTGGGTCAGTCACCCTGGCCAAAGGACTACAACTCTACCACAGCCTTTGATCAGAGGCTTGCATTCACACCTGGGCTATGCTATTATTAGCCATTGACCTCGGGGAAACCACTAAACCTCTATTTCTTACTTTCCTCTCCTACAGAAAGAAATAATTTCTCTTATAGGTCTGCTGTGGGGATTAAACAAGTCTAAAATGCTCTATAGAAGGAAAGCACACAGGAAACACTGAACACACCTGCTCTGCTGTTTCACTGTTGTTACTGTCATGACAAAGCCTAGGAACGTATAAAAACGTGGTGTCTTTGTGACCGTGCTACTAGTGGGTGACAAAATAGGGAATGCTACCAATTCTATCTTACTTTATATCTGAACCCCCTTTTTACTGAAGTTCTTCAATATTTTATCTCAATCCTATTACACCTAGGGAGATATACACTCTTTTTGGTACCGGGGATTGAACTCAGGACCTTGCGCTTGTGAGGCAGGCGTGGTGCCACTGAGATAAATCCCTGGCCCTGGGAGCTATATTTTTAGTATTTTCATTTCATATTGAGGATCAGAGAGGTCAGATAACACGGTAAGCTCAAATAGCTAGGAAACTCCACCCCATACCTTCCTCCCTTTTCCCACTATACACTGTATCAGTTGTTCAAGTTATTGTGATGAATGAACTCTGAATTAGCCTTTAAGGCTAAAATGTTATTAAAAAAACAAACAAAACGACTCCAAGTAAATGACTATTTTCTCTTGTGACAAATTAATAAAATGTGGTGAACTTCAGTAGGAATTACCACAAAACTTTCAAGTGTTCCTCAGATACTAGACAGTTAAGAAACAAATGATATCCATTCAACTGCAAACATGAGGACTCTATGCAGACACAGCCAGCCTCTCCTCCTGTTTCTGACATATGAAGACATGGGAAAGCTCACCAACATTCCTTTGGGAAGAGACATCTGAATGCAAGACAAGTAATGCCACTGCATTGTGCAGATTCCCAAATTCTCGTGCTTGTGCTGAACTCCAACGGCGTATCTGTCACCAGAGAAGACAGAACACATTAGTGGTGTGCAGAACTGGGGTGGGGGTGGAATTTGCTGGTTCACAAAATATTGGACAATTATTTAATGCCTGCAGAAGAGGTCAACATATAAACAGCCACAGGTTTAAAACCTCAAAGGGTTTCCACTGAAACATATTAACTCAGATTGTACAACCAATCCGTCCGTCCATCCGTCCATCCTCGAGTGCTCATGACAAGCCAGGCAACTTTCCTGCACTTCAGCATAATGGGAAAACCCACGAGGCTGGAGACTGGGTGTATTCTCCATGACTTTGCATATAATGGCCTACGTGCCATTGCCAGGACCCAATGAATCATGAAAAATGAAAATGTTTTCAAAAGCAATGTGTTCCACAAATGCAAAATAACACTAATTTTACGCATGCCGAGGTGCATTGCATTTAAATCACACACCAGTGTCAGTGGAGGCCTGTGAAGAGCTTAGAGTGAAAACAGAGTATTACAATCTCAACACACAACACCCAAAGCCTGTTGGGGTGTCAGCACTTGTTTTGAACAGCTGAAGATTAAGACAGCAGGGTGCTGTGGCAGGAAGCCGAGGAGCCCAGGATGCAAGTCTCTTGTGACAAAGAAAGAAAACCTGCCCCTGCAGGGTCTAGTACACCAGGGAAAGGCTCTGGCCTGGAAATCTGCAGCACTGGGTCTGAATCCCCCATTCAAACAACACATTAGCTTCAGGACCTCGAACAAATTGCCTAACATCTCCATGCTTTAGCTCTTGCCTGAGAATGGGGAGGAAACTACCAATTTTACTGAACTGTGAGTGTACAAAGTCCCACCACAACATGACCAGTTGTGGCTGGTACACAAGAGGCACTCTATAAGCTGTAGTTAGCATTACTGCATACTAACATTCTATTTATTTTAAATCTGTCATACAAAAGAAATATAGTGATATCTCAGTTGTTGGAATCAATTCATTCCAGCTTTGTGTTCAAACACTGAAAAGTTCAAGAACTGAATATAGTTTTCACATAAGAAATAATGAAAAATCAAATAATTGGTTCTGAGGCCCAAAAGTTAGTTATAAATTCACTTTTCCAGGACTTTCACAAATTTCGCTGTGATTTTATTTTTCTTTTAACTCTGTCACAGTTCCTCTTAGCTTTATTGCTAGTATCACTTTCTTTGGAGCCAGGGTTACTGTATTTTATGCAAATAAACTGCAAAAACAAGCACAATGACAAATGTGTTAATGCACTAACACAAGCACTGTAAGTCGCCTGGGCGAGAGCTGCGCTCAGACTAAAGCGTCGCCCCTTTGTGCCTCGGTGTGTGACTCACTCTCAGCCCGTATAGACTTTTTCAAGTCAGATTTTCAGTTTGACCATTAAGCAAAGTTATGAATACTGAGCAGACTTTTTTTTTGAACTCTGCTGTCCGAGTAGTGGAGAGTTCAAGCTTGCAGCCATTCAACAACTGAGGTATCACTGTAAAATGGATGGAGAAACACACCAAAATAAGAATTTCTTTTTTTGGTACTGGGGATCGAACTCGGGTCCTTGCGCTTACGAGGCAGGCGGCAATAAAATAAGAATTTCAATCAGTAAAGTCACTTGTGGATACAGCTAGCCCTTTTATTATAAAACAACTTGCCTTTCATTTGACTAAGAGTATTATATGTACTTGCAACACTGTGTAGTTTATAACTGCACAATTCCTCATTTGAATTCCAACTGCCACCAAAAAATTCCCAGCCACCAAGGGGAAGCAAGGGACCCTAAACCTTATTCCTTGAGGTGTTTCAAGTCCTCACCCCCTCCATTATGATCCACTCTTCCCTCCTATGGCACTCCCACTTCACATGGTGATGGATATTCCAGCCAGTAATGGCCATGGGTTATTACAGTATCAGTCTAAAATTCTATTAAGAAGTTTAAAAGTAACTGACCTCCAAATTAACTTTAAAGCCTAGATACATTCTACCTGTGCTTGGACTCTTATGAAAGTAAGAATCGAAGTGAAATCTCGGGCCACCCTACTGGAGACAGGCTTCGGTCATTACCTGGTTGTTCTGCCGATTGGCCCCAAGGAGGAAGCTGATCATGTGTCTCAGTGCAGAGTGCCGTAGAAGAAGGTCTCCAGCCCTGATACCTTGCTGTCACGAGACATGAGGATCACAAGTCACAGTCCTACCCAAACACTTGTTTTAAAGACAGCCACGTAAGAACTTTTATGGATTCAAAATATTTTAAAATGTTACAGCAAGTATTTGTTAAAATCTAATACAAATCTGAGCTGCTTCATGATGGCTATCAAACACACAACCACTAGTTTTTCTTGTTACTTGTCTGTGGTATTGGAGACTTAAACCAGAGGCGCCCTATCACTGAGCTACAACCCTAGCCCTTTTTAGTCTTTATTCTGAGATACCAGGTTGGGCTTGAACTTGGGATCCTCCTGCCTCAGCCGCCCAAGCAGCTGGAATTATAGGCATGCACCAATGTGCCCAGCTTAACCACGGAAAAAAACTTCAACTGCTATTCATGAATAAATAAATTTGTCTGCATCAGAATTCTTTTTTTTTTTTTTGGTACGGGTATTGAACTCAGGACCTTGTGCTTGTCAGGCAGGTGCTGTGCCGCTGAGCTAAATCCCTGGGCATCAGAATTCTTCTAAGTACTCTTAACTCATTAATTTAGATTTTCTAAGATGAAACACTCACAAAGCCATATCACATAGAACGTATAATGAATGACCAGTCTAAAATTTCTCCATGTATAAAATTTCTTTAGACAATAAATCTGCTGTATGAGGACAGGATATTAGAAAAAAAACCTTTTACCTTTTGCACAAAGGTGTTGAACAGGAGAAAGTACTGCGCACAGTTTTTGCAATTTTCTGGGACATCTTTATCCAGAAGGGCAAGTAGTACTTCCAGTAACTGATGAAGGCTTTTTAACTGTTTAGAGGAAAGAGGAGATTACACAAAGAAAAAGAACATAAGACAACTATAACAGGGTTACTCTGAAGAAAACCACCAGAAGAACAAAAGGAAATTGGTACAATCAGTCTCATATTCAGATGGATTTATGCTTTGGAGAACAAAAACAGAATTACCAGTTTTACCATCCAGGGAAAGATTGATTGGTTCTATGTTAATAAAGAAAAGCTTTCTTGTTTCCTACAACTGTGGTGTCTAACAGTCACATTTCTCCAGAGCCAATTCCTCCCTCTCTTAAAAAGGCGGGTGTTCTGGGGAGAAGAACTTCTGCATCCCTCCCTCCACTATGCTGCTTCTTCACATGGTCACAGATGCAAAGAATAAAAACACAGACACAGGCAGAGGGGCTGGAAACCAAGCCAATGGAGCGAATGGAGAGCAACAGCCTGACAGGATGACACGGCAATACCGACTCAACTGGGAACTTACTTGGAAGCCCGCTGACGCCTCATGGAAAGCTTTGAAAAACATTTTATTTGTTTAGAAACCATTTTGGTTATGACATTGCTTCTTCTTTCCCTCCCACCCCAAGTGTTTTTTGACAAGGCCTTAGAAATTCATCTGTGAGCTGAACATCAAGATCAGACTTCCTACTCTCATTATTTCATTCCTCCAAAGACTTCTGAAACGCTCCCATCCATCCTGTCACACCCATTATAAATATAGTAAAACTTAGCACTATATATTATATAGCCCTTCATTTTCAGTAAGTGAAGTATAAAGTGGGTGGCAAGAGGCATTTCCATTATGGAGAAAAAAACAACATGAAAAAATATGAACTGGGATGAACTGTGTATGAAACAGAATTTCCTTAGGCAATGGCTCCCCCCGTTTCTATCACCTGCTGTCCACCCTTAGAGGGTGGTGGCTGTGATGCCTGACCCCACCTGCAGGGAGACAGCACTAGCTCTAACTTTTTCCTTTGTCTGGGGTGATCCAGGGGAGGAAGGAGGAGAGTAAGATGGTCTTTATGTTAAAGATTCTTGATGCAGCTTAGTGAACTTCCACAGGAGAATCTCAGAGCAATGGTATTCAAACTGTGCTAAGCTATTCCCAAAGACCTACTTAAGAATATTCTGTGTCTAGGTAAGGTTTGAAGAATGGTTCTGCCATTAAGCTAATGGAAAAACCACTGCCTTACAGTAACTCTCAACCGCTTGCTTCTTGGAGTAGAGAGAAGTCTTTCTGACCTCCTGCTCATTCTAGACTGAGTAAAGTTTCTGAGCTTGTCTAGTGTAACAGTGTACTGAGTCTGGCAATGCCGAAGGTATAAGTACTTGGTGCCAAGCACTGAATCTGTATCAACATCCTCCTCAAAGGATTTGCTTAAGGTTGTACAGCAAAGTCAACACCTGAAATTGAAGCAGCAATTCACAGAATTTGTATTTAGTTGAAATGAGACACACTACCTCCAGCCAATGTTTATAAGAAGCCAATTTGTTCTGAAAACATTTTTCAAAGTTTTCCATGTAGTGTCAGCTGTTTGAAACAGCAAACTTAGGAATAACTCTGTGTTTGCTAGGACTTAATAACAGATGACTGATTGGATTTATAGTGTATGCCACTTATTTCCCTAAGACTTAAAATCTTTGGAGACCAAAGATGGGAATGAACACCACAGTTTATTTTAACATGTGTATATGTGGAATTGTGAACCAGAGAATATACTGCAGAAAACAAGGTTAGAAGGAAGAAAAAAATTTAGAGGAACAGAAACGAAGCTTAAGGAATAACAGAGACCCAGGAAGGAACTGCTCTGGCCAGTTCCTTAGACAAACAGTACTATTTGGTCTGGCTGCTGACCACAGGTTTAGGTATGGAAAACAGTGCATGAGGAAAGAGAACACCAGGGGTGGTGCACAACATCTGGGCCAGAGTGTTTAGACTCAAGTCAGTCTCAGTTCTGAGGCCCAGCACTAGTTCTTGACAAGAGGACTCTGAACGGTGCTCTGGGGAGAAATCCCAAAGCAGACCTGCTCTCCTCCCTTGCCTGCCCTGGTATCTGAACTGTAAGAGGGGTCAGAATGCCTTTTTCTCTGGCTTATTTCAGAAAGCAGTTTACGGGAGGTGCACTGTGCGTGGCAGGTTGTCTGGACTCTAATGTTAAGCTGTCTTTCACATTACGTGCAATTGTGAACATGTAGTAAGAGCAGAATGTGTAAACAAAATTGTAAAAGTGAGACTGACCTTATCCTGATAAAACAAGGCACTGTCTAAGGTTTTCTCCAGAATGGTGGCCACAGCAACTCGTACTTCTCTCACGCTGCACTCCAACAAGAAAATCCTACAATAAAGAGGAAATGCAACGTGAAAAATGGCAGCAGCCTGCAACCTCAACCTGCCAGCCAAGCAGCATCTCGATGCAGAGAAGCAAGCTCACATCTCTCCAGCGCCGTAGTGCTCACTCACAGGCAAGTGGGGCTCCCAAGCGCCTCTACCTGTCCTCAGCCTTGCTAGTGCTGTGTGAGCCAGACAGACGAGGCGAGGCTCAAACCCACTAGTCTCCTACCTGGCAATGGCAAGACATTTCAAGGATCACAAGTACTCCTGAAACACTCTCCTGGGGCTCAGCCAGGCTCAGGTACAGTAATTTTGTTGGGGAGTGCAGTACGGTTCCTATCAGCACCACAGACCGAGAGAATGCCGACAGGTCCAGAATGCAGGAGTCCCAACTCCTTGCCCCCAAAATGGGAAGGAAAAGAACGGGGTGGGGGGGGGCAAAGGAGTACTGATCCCTGAAAGAGTCTTCAGAGACACAGAAAACACAGGCCAGTGTAGACCTCACTGGATCCAGATCTGTACAAACCCGATGGCAAAACAATGCTCTCTGAGATGTCTGGGGAAATCTGAATGTGGACAGAGTATAAGATAATATAAAGGAATTATTTTGTCCGGTGTGATGATAAATTGCTTACGTATTTTAAAAAAGTTTACTTAATAGAACACATTCTGCAAAATTTATAGTAAATCTTATGTATACTGAAATTTAATTTAAAATAGAGCAGGAAAACGCATTATGTGTGAATGTTCATATGTGAGAGAACTGGGCAAGACCAGAAAAATGTTGACAACTTGAGCTGGGGAATGGATACACAAGAATTCATTATTCTGTGTAGTTTTGCATACATTTAAAAATTTCCAGGGCAGGGCTGGGGATTTAGCTCAGTGGTTCCATTGCCTGCTTCACAAGTGCAAGGTCCCATACAATCTCCAGTACCATAAAAAAAAAGAAAAAATTCCAGGGCTGGGCATTTAGCTCAGTGGTGCTGTGCCTATCTTGCAAGCACCAGGTTCTGAGTTCAATTCCTGATACAAAAAAAAAAAAATTCCCCAAGTAAAAGTTCTTCCAAGATGGAAAAGTGGTGGTGCATGCCTGTAATCCTAGCTACTTGGAAGGCTGAGGCAGGAGGATCCCATTCAAGGCCAGACTGAGGAACTGAGAACTTGGATCAAAATAAAACGGGGCTGGGGCTGTAGCTCAGCGCTAGAGTGTGAGGCCCTGGTTTCAATCCCCAGTACTGGGTGGGGAACATGTGTTAAGTACCCTTCACGTTAGTAGTTTTACTGTATTTAGATCAATTTGCAAGCAATATTTACTTTTAATCTTTTAAAATCATAACTACATTTAAAGACTGTCTGAAAGCAGTAGTACACAGAGGTGCTGATGTAACAGACGCCACCCTTTTCGTCTAGATGGTGGTACTGGGGACAAAGCCAGGGGCATTCTACCACGGGGCTGCATCTCTAGCCCTTTTATTTCTGAGGCAGGGTCCTGTGACCCTCCTGCCTCAGTCTTCCCCAGCACTGTGTAACAGGCACAAGTCCCTGTACCAAGCTTCCTCTTCATGTTTACAGTTACTAATATCAGTACAGGTCTAGCACCCTTAATCCAAAATGCTACAGAATGTGAGTTTTTGAGTGCCAACATGATGCCACAAGTGAAAAATTCCATATCATCAAACTATTTCAGGCACAAAATGATCAACAGTATTGTATAAAATTATTTTGGGGCTATGTGTATATAAATATTCCAAAATCTAAAGTAATCTGAAAAACTTCTGGTTGCAGAATCTGAAAAACTTTTGGTAAGGGCTACTCAACCTGTTCCAATATATATATATTTTTTTTTTTTTTCCAGTATATATTTTTTAGTTCTAACAATAACAACCTCAGACGTCCTGAAGGCTCTAAAGAAGTAATTAGAGAAAAAAAGATTATTAATTTCTTAAACATATGAACACACAGCAATTGACAGTGATGAGTAATTAGTCCTTATAAAGAACAGGTAATTCCCGGGGATTTCTGACCACCAGAAATACTAAAAAAACCAAAATATCTTACTAAAGGAAGACTGTTTCTCAGGAGATACTCAAAAACATGACTCCTTCGATATAAAGGAATGGGTGCAGTGTTTGCGGTGTTCCTTCCAAATTTTCATCATCTATGACATCTAACATTTAGCATAATACTCAGGTTTTTTTTTTTTTCCTGGTACCAGGGATCAAACTCAGGACCTTCTGCTTGCCATCCATACAGGTGAGGCACTGGCTGAACTACATCCCCGGCCTCTCATACCCAGGAGTTTTATGCTAAGAAATTTTACAACTGAACTGGGAAAATAGGCGAAAGACTATCTCTACTGCTAAAGGGTCAGGCACATAATATTTCAAAGAAGTGTTAATTAGTTCTGTCCTTCCGAGCTACATTCATATATGCAAGCCCAAGAGACTTGGCTCCTCCCTGCAAGAAGCTGCAGATTAGTGGAGGAGACAGGAAAAACCACAGGGAGCAGACCAACAGGGCAAACCTACTACAGACTGAGTGGTCAGAAGCAGCCTCTGAAAAAGTGTTAGTTAAGCTGACATCTGACAGAGCAGAAGGCACTTACTATGCAGAAGGGAGAGAACAAAGTTCCAGACAGAAGAAGTAACAGGTGCAAGGGGCTTTAGGCAGCAGAAAAAGCTCGGCATGTTCTGTGAACCAATAAGCCGAGATGGCCAAATCTTGATAAGCTGGGAAGTAACATAAGGCAAGCCTGGAAGAACAAAGACCAGATCTAGTAAAGGCTTGTGGATTACAGTGAACATTTTAGACTTTATCATAGTGCAACAGGAATTTATGGAAGAATTCTACAGCAGAAAAGCAAAGTCATTTAATTTGCTTTAAAAAGTATGCTTTGGGTGCTGAGTAAAGAGAGTTCAGAGGAAAGAGAAGTGGAGCCATCAAGTAGGCAAAGGAAGGCCTGGAGTTCAGACAGAAAGGAGACAAAGATTAAGAGTGCTGACGAGGGGTGTGATGCACTCAGTGGCAGAGTGCTTGCTCAGCATACCTGAGGCCCTAGGTTGAAGTTCTGATCAGGCCTCTAACATCACCAGACTGTAGCTGCCTAGTGGAAATGGATCTGAATTTCTAAATGTCCTAATGTGTTCAAGTTGGGAGATACCAGAACAGATCTGTACGGAGTGACTTAAAAGGTAAAGATGCAAGAGTGAGAGTTGATAATTAAAGGGCCAACTTGCTTGAGAAGATTTGCACATGAAGAGATTAATTCTGAGAGAAGAGAGGACACTCCCTCCATGGTCACAGGAATAAAGCAGAGGATGGGAACAGACTGGATGGCATGTGGAACTTGTGACAAGGGGGCACTGACTACCCTCAGCGAAGTCTGGGGCCTGGTCATTAGGCAGAAGTGGGATGAGTTAACATGAAAAGTTGAAGACCAGGACAGAGCACCATCTCATGACACTGGAAGTATCTGCTTCGCTGTCCATATGAATGCTAAATGCTCCAAGGAAAAGTGAGGCTAGGCTGGCTGAATGAGGATGGCTGGGAATAAAGTGTGAAGATTCATAGTGTCTGGAGCATTCTGAATTCTTACAAGAAAAGGTAAATTATTCTTTAAAATCATACGTACATGGGCCAGGGATTTAGCTCTGTGGTACCATGCCTGGCTTGCAAGTGCAAGGTCCTGAGTTCGATCCCCAGTACCAGAGGGGAAAAAAAAAAATCATAGGTGCATGGATAAAGTACTGTCAGGTAATGTACTTTCAGTAGATGTCTGAAAAATAACTTTCAGCCAGAATTCAAAGGCAGTCAGACAAAAAGTGGACAGTGTAATAACCTCAGATTGCCTGCCTATTCACCTGCCACTAGACTGCGGGTCCCTGAGCCCATGAGCACCTGGGCCATCTGCCTCACACGAATGCAGCCTGAGTCTAACCCAACAGAGATGACTGGAGTGAGTAATCCCCTCACTGCTTCAGCAAAAGAAGCCGGAAATGGACTCCAATCAGAAAGGTAACTTCAAGGTGACACACTTTTTGGGGGGCGGGGTACCAGGGATCAAACTTGAGTCCTTCTGCTTGCGAGGCAGGTGGCGGCAGCACTGAGCTAAATCCCCGGCCCCAAGGTGACACACTTTCAAATCATAAGAGATTTCTTTTTATTAGAAGATCCTGATACTTACTTTATCAACTCCCGTCCTTCAGAACTAATCAAATATTCAACAAGCCACTGGCAAGCATCAAAACTTTTTGAAAGTAATGCTTCAATAGTAGCAATCCATTCTTCAGTGTCAACCCTTTTTACAAAGCAAAGAGTGATGTTAGGGCCTAGCAACCAACCCCACAGTGCCCTCCTGTCTGTCTGCCTGTCCACCTGCCCATAGAGCTATGGTGTGCAGGGTGGAGGGTCAGCTAAATACTCACTGACTACCTACTTCCACAGCTTAGTGTACCCCGAAGTTCTTTCTATCCTTTCAGGCTTACCTGTGTGACTGTTTTCTAAAGATGCTTAAATTTTGGATTTCAGTTTTTAACTACATCTTCATCAAACAATTTTTATTGGAAACAAGAACTAGATTTACAACATTTTGTTTGGCACAGTTAATTCACATGAAATGTTCACATCAACATTTTTTATACTGTATTGCTACAACTATTAATATACTGCTTTATGGAATATAAATAGACAGAAAAAAGTGACAAGACTATATCACTAAAATGGCAGGAAATAGTGTAATGTGTAGACATTACATGCAAATTTCATGACTAAAAGTAGCCAATTAAACTTCCCTAGTTAATCCTATGCAGATATTAAAGGAGCACAACATTGTCTTCTTTTTCAATCAAGTAATAAAGCCATATCATTCAATGTGCCTTTGGTTATTACACATAAAAATGAAGCTGCCAATATATTAGTGTTCTCAAGATTATGAGTGCAGAATCTTTCCCTAGCCCCATGCCCCAACCCATGGACAAGAGAGAAAAGACTAAGAACTCAATGTTCAATGGGGAAGCTCACTGGTTTCCCCATCCCCAGTCCTGCCTGTAGGTACATCTCACAAACCAGTGGTCAACTCTCCTTCTCTGTCACTCATTTACTCACAGAACAATTACTTACCCAGAACCTATGGACCAGGTGCTGGAGATAAAAACCAGTGAGGAGTTAAGATGCAATCAATGCGCATCATTAAATGTGCTCCAGGTCAAAACCCTTTGGGATCTCTCACTGAACAAATCCCAAGCTTCCTCCTCTGGCACTCTGGGCACTTTGTAGGTTCCCAACCAGGTATCTGGTCTCAGCTCATGGAGTCCCTCACAAGTACTACAAAAATGCAGCTCTGGTCATTCACTGTTCCTGAGGCGAGTCTTCTTCTGCTACTCAGGCTCTCCCCTTGTACCTGGAATGATCCCTCTGTGTTTCCCTTTTTGCCTTTCAAAATAACTCAGGGAATGCCGATGCCTTCCTTTAAAGTTATCCTAATCCCTGCATCTGCATCTGTTTTGTCCAGTTCCCAAAGATGTATTAATTTATGTCTTGCACCAGTTATTTCTTGTTTTTACCTACCCTTCCCATTAGATTAAAAATTTCTGAGAGCCCATGTCTTGGCCATCTGACTATATCAGGTAGTCACCTTTACCATATTTTAAAAAGCTAAATTTGTAAATTGCGCCTTTTGTCACAACAAACTGCCAAAACATACCTGAGTTTTTTCTTTGTCCGTAGGTAAGTCTGGAAAAGGAACTGAATGGCAAGTTGCAAGCTCACCTTTGCCATGCAAGGATAGTATGGATGCTTTAACTTAGTCTAAGAGGGAGAAAAAAGAGGGAACTTGTTTTTTCTGCAGAAATTTTATACATTATTTATGAACTGATTAATGACACACAGAGAAAAGTTAAATAGTAAGAAAAATTTGGCCACTTCATTATAGAAAATATTCCATTTCAATTTTTAAAAGGCTTAAGAAAAGATATCCTCTTCATTTTTAAATTAAGTATCAAAATAGAGCCTGTTAGCCACAGGATGTTAAGTAATCAAGAAACTAGCAACAAATTTTCCCCTTTTTGGCAGATTATAATAATGGCACACAAGAAAAAAGAAGTATTTAAAAGTTAATCTTGGGTTTAACAACACGTGATTAGAAATTAGAAAAACATTCATCTTTGCAAAGCTCAGTATCCACTGACACGAACCTACAGCTATTCATTTTCATAGCCACTCTTGGATTCTTTACAAAACCTAAATAAACAAGGGCACTTAAAAAATTTAGTGCTGTATTAGGAAACACACACCCACTGACAATCCGCAGGCTGCCTGCACTGTTATTATCACCCAGTAGGCGACACATTTATGGAAGTTCTTTTTGGATTTAACCTGAATGCTAACAACTAAGACAGAAGACGTTACTGAATGCATTAGCTAAAAGGCATTTAACTGTAATCCTCATTTTTAAAAGTAACAATACAACCAGCTACTTACAGCATTCAACGAAGCTAAAGACAAAACAAAACTGAAATAATCACTACTGTACACATCTCTATTCTTCATAAACTTGAGGTTTTCATCTCTCACCATCTAAAAAAGAAAATTAGCAATTATTTTTAAGAAACAAGGAAAAACAGCATGTGGTTATTTTTACTAAAATGTTTAGGAAAAGAGGTTTGTAAAAACTGAATTATAGGTAATAATTTCCTTCTTTAAAGCTTTGAATTTTGAAAAAATGCAAGAGAAAAATCTTCCTTTCAAATGTTAGAAGCTGTGGGAAGGTGAGCAATCTTTTATTATCAAACTCTTTCAAGAAATGTGGGAAAGCACCTGTGAAGGACAAGGCATTCAAACCTGACATTCTGACAGGAAGGGAGAGGGCTTTCCCAAGGGTCTGTGGCTCTATACCTCCCTGGATCAACTGGTCCAATTTTCTTTCTTAATAAAAGATTGTATATTTTTCTTAAATTCTCTGCTTCCGGCTATTTAGCTTTTGGTTACTTAGTGAAAAATTCTGGACTGGGTAACTGGACAGTTCTGAATGTAAATCCTTGCTTTATGACACAGTCAAGCCATTCCCACTTTTCTGAGCCCCAGTTTTTCCATCTGAAAAATAGGAGTAAAACTTGCTACAAGTCTTCTAAGAATTAGTTTTATTTAAAGTCTGTAGCATAGAGGAAGTAGTCAATAAATGTCATCACTGTCACAGTAGTTTTATGTAAAGACTATGCTCATTAACTTGGTTTTCTCTCCAGATTAAAATAAGCTAATTTCAACAATGTTTCTTTACCCAGGGACAGCGCTGAGCTATCCTGAGTGTATATTCACATGTGTGTTCTTACCTTGATTCACAGCTACTGTGACCTGGCACAAAAGCCTTATGAGACAAGAGAGGTTGCGAAGGTGACACACGAGGTACAATGAATTGAGAAAAGAGCCAAGAAGACTCTGGACCTACACAATTTGTCTACAACTTTCTTCTTAGAACTGCTTCTGTGGTTCTTACCTGGTATATTCGAGCAGGCATTTTCTCCACAAACAGTCCTTTCTTCTCACCTTTTTTAACCAGCTTGGTCAGAATAGAGAGTCGGTCATTGTTAGGCCTATGGGGCCGAGGAGATGACTGAGGTGAAATCTCTGGTGAAGACGGAGCTGATCTGAGAGAGGGAAACAGAAAGCTGTCTAGGATTAAGTGGTTATTGTTTTAGGAGTTACTAAAACTGGCCAACTCACAAACAGGGTTCTAGAATTATACATAAATTGTATTGCTTTCCTGATCCTATATGTTAAAAGGCAAATTTGCAGACAAGAGAACCTTATAAATACAACTTTCTGACAGTGTCAACACAGTGATATGCTTTGGACCTAAAGTGTAATAAATAAATGTTGCCAAAATGTTTTAAAAATCTCAATTTTGGAGTGAAATAACATGTATGTTTCTAAACACAAAATAACTTCTTGACAAGAAATAATGTCCAGGCAGCAATGTAAGAGGGATATTTTTAAAAGGGATTATTTTCTTTTTAGAACACTTTCCAGAATTTTTCCCTAGCTTAGCTAATTCTCTTTACATTCTCAAAGATCACAGTATCACCTACTGAAATCGAAAAGCAAATGATACACAAGAGGACTTACAGAGACAGATCTTCAGCTTCCTGCCTTACAACACTGACTCGACTTTTCTTTGGTAACACTGGAGAATTTTGATCAGATACCCTTTGGTAGAAGAGCATATAGGCGTTCCAGTATCTTCGACGTACATCAGTGTATGGGTTTGCTGTTTTATGGTAACAGAGAAAGAAATAAGTCTTTGTGAATAAAAAAGGGTTTCTTTTTTTCCCCTTTTTTTTGGTACTGGGGATTGAACTCGGATCCTTGCGCTTGCACAGCAGGGGGCGAAACCACTGAGCCAAATCCCCGGCCCCTAAAAAAGGGTTTCTTGACAGTCTAAAGCCAGGAGCCCATAAACTCAGCAAGGAATTACGTACTAAATTTGTTAAAGGCAAAGTGTAAGCATAATATGGTTCTTTTTAGAGTATTGTTTAGAATAGAAGGCAGGACTACTCCAGTTCTTAGATTGGAATTAGATCACTTCCTCTGGAGGTGAGATGGGATAGGAAGGGAAAGGAGGCAAATGTCCAGGGGAATCCAAATAAGCAAAATGCAAGCAAAATTTAAAAATATGATCTATGACATAGGATGGGATCATATCGTCCTTAATTAGCCATTTCTCCAAAGATGGCCAAATCCAGGTCAATTTTGGTAGTGCTATGAGCCCTTAGGGGCCCATTAGGTATTGCATATGGCCACGTGGAGCAGCAGCAACGTCTAACACAGTGGATCTAATACAAGTAGAAATTTAGAATGGCCCCTCAAAGATTTCAAAATCAGGTTTCAAAATAAAAAGGTCTGAAAAATGTTTTTTCCAAAGATTAAATCCTGACTGGGTTTTGTGATGCTCATACCCTTTCCCTGGGGGTGGGGTGGGGGTGGGTATAGAGGGAAAGACTGCTTTACCACACCGCTTAATAAATATGGTGTTAAAAGCACAGCTCTTAGAAGTGTCTTTTCTAATTGATCTATTTCTATATAAGTAAAAAGGAAATCTGAAAACTTTAGTGGACTACTACTTCTCCTGAAACTATTTTTAGGGGTAAAATTCTTATTTATCATTTTTTCTTTGACATTATTTCATCCTCTTTACTCCAAATCCTGTATGTAAAAACCTTTTTATAAGTGCTTGAATGTTTTTCTTTTTCATTTTCTAAATGAATTCTTTAAAAAGTTTTCAAATTAACTGTTATTAGTGCATATTAGTTATATAGCTTAGTGGATTTCATTCTGGCCTTCCCGTACATGTGTGTAATGTGCTTTGATCAGTCCCCTCTCCTCCCTCCCTAGTCTCCTGCAGCTTGAACATTTTCATTCTGGCTGTCAAAGAGTTCGCGGTTCTGTTGACAGAACTGCTGTATTGTAAAAGGAACAAAATGTATTTCTACATAAAGAATGTTGCTTCCAACTTGACAGAAAACTGTGTATTAAAAATTAGTGGAAAATATCCAATTGTAAATACTTACTTTGATCGTAAACTTTTGGTCTATATTCTCCGCCAAAGCATTCATACTCCAGAGTCTCATCATTTAGATCAAATTCTTCTATAACTGTGTCATTAAATTTATACCATTTTCCTTTTCCACACCCCCTAGGGCCCAGAGAGCAAACATGGTAAGGTAAAAAACCAAACATCCCCTCACGTTTATCTCTATGCATCATCTACATTTAAAGCAAGTGATTAGCATTTGAAAATATCTATGAAAAATGTATCAATAGCAATTTTAGTTTCTAAAGCAAGTTTTCAAATTGAAGAGCTAAAAACAGTTCCAGAACACTTTAAAAACTGAAAATGAAGTAAGACTGAAGAATCCTGCACCACTGTGGTGAGTGCGGACAGTGAAGTGGGGCAGAGACAGCAGAGGGGACCACCACAAGGGCAGAGAGGGAGTGAGGGCACAGTGTTAAGAAACCCTTACCGCCTGTCCTTAATGAAAGAATAGTAGTGGCCTGCGTGTGCCTGCCCACTGTGTACAATGACACCGACAAGTTCATAGTTTTCTGTGAGGGCAACTTTCTTCCGTGGGGATCCTCCACCTCCCTGATCCATACTTCTACCATTTTCCCCAACTTCAGAAGATGAATCCTGGCGAGCCATTCCTGAAACTGTGTAGGGCTCCATGTTTAGCATCCAGGGAAACTGTAAAAGGAAAAGGACCACTGTAGTGTTGATTAGGAACACAGACAGCATACCCAATTAAGTCAGATACTTTAATAGAAGGCTGTTTTCTTAGTTAAGTGAGGGCCACCCATCCGATTCAAGCGTAACGTCTCAGACAGGCTGAGTCTGGGCAAGTACAAGTAGCTGCTACTCCAAATCTTATAGAAAGCATCACACCTCACGGCCATCACTAGGGTGGCTTCCAGAAACGAGACACTCCAGTACGACTAGCTTTGCAAGGCAACGGCTGTGAACTCCTAATGATACATTTCATGGGGCAGACAGAATGTGAAAACAGAAGAGAAGGAGAGAGGCAGTGAAGGCATGGTGGGAGACGGCAGGAAGGAGAAAAGTTACCCTTATTTGCTCATCATATTTAATGGAGCGTCCACTCTCCCAGTCAAATCCAAATCTCATCAGGTGAATGACTAAGACAGTAGGTAAAGACTTAATGCAGGTCCTTTTCACTGTTATTCTCTGAAGGAAAGCAAAGAACACATTATGTTGATGGAGAAAACAAAACAGCAAATAATTACCAAAAATTTCCCAACCATGTAAAACAAGTAATGACCCCATCGAATGGGAGTAGCAATAGGACCTTAATATGGATCTTACACAAAACAAAGGCATAGTACATGAATAACCAATTAAGCTTGCTTTTAAAACAGGCAAATGTAATACCTTTTCTTTACATTTTTCACAGTAGTACGCATTACTTCCCTCTAGAACTTCTCCTCTAACAAACTGATCCAAAGAAATTTCCAGACTCTGACAAGAAGTAACTCCTAGATTAAGTGCCATGAAAGCTTCCTCACGCTCATACCTGATTAGGAAATGAGAGAAAACCAATGAATTTACTATGATACATGAACCTGAACACAGAACTACATTCACAATCAGTGAAATCAATATATACCTCAACCTTTTAAAAGTACACTATCAAATAAAAACACAAAGTTGTGATAATTTGAAATTGCTTAAAATTAAGAATTTCAACAAATATTTTCTTAGGGCCACAAAGAAATTCTGGAAATAGAAACCCAAAGATTTTAAATTTAATCCATTTTAAACACTTGTAAGTCCACTGAGAGATATATCAACAAATGCAAAATTTGTAACATTATAGAAGAATTATTTAAAAATGATGATCTTTTTTTCCCCCAGTGCTCAGGATCCTATGTATACTAGACAAATGATTTACCACTGAGCTACTCCCCCAGCCTGATGATCAATTTTCACGTATCAGTGTCACTTCACTAACCTGTGAGGACAGTCTTTACAGATCTTCTGATCAGAATAGATGCCCTGAAAAGTATTCTTAAAAATTTGGTCTCTCCCCATTTTCTGTTGGAATAAAAAGTTAAAATTTGACTCCATGCCCCTAAAATTTACAGGTCATTTCACACCCAAGATGAAACACAGATTTCAATTTAACCACGAAAATAAAAGGGGCCATTGTGGTAGTTTCAGCTGGGAACTAATGGAAGGCTAATAACGCACTCAGACCCATGTCTGAGTAATGCAGTAGGAAGAGGAGAAGAACTGGGTCATTCAGGGCTGATGACAAGGACTATTCTCTGCGATGATTCCAAACCCGCTTTCCTGTGCTACAAGTACCAATTTAGAAGCAACTCTATAATCTTTTCTTTATTCTTGTGGACCGAATGCTATAAATTGTAAGTTATTTTAAAGAAAATAAATGGATTTGTGCCTACTGATGAGAACCCAGTGCTGGCAGTGACACAGGCAATCTTAAAAGTCAAACGACTGAAGGAGTCTGTTACATTTTTCACTGGGGAGAGGTAGAAATCTTTGGGCTTAAGTATCATCATAAATAAATTCCTTTTTTTTTTTTGGTACTGGGGATCAAACTCGGGACCTTGCGCTTGCGAGGCAGGCGATGGAACCACTGAGCTAAATCCCTGGACCAATAAATTCTTGATCTGGCCCCCTTTTCTGCTTTTCCCGAGACACTCTGAGTTCCCAGACTGTCTGCAAGTGCCATCAGTTCACTGGCATGCAGCATTCCTTTGAGGTCAGACTACCTCAAGGGGTACAAATGATTATTACTGTGGAGTAGAGATTAAGAATTACATACTTTATCATGTGTTAGATTAAGAAGAAATGGGTAATTCCAGTGATCCATATGTTCTGATGTTTAAACCCCCAAGAAAGACTGCACCTGTGATGTTGAAGATTATAAATTTCTGATTTGTCAGTTTCACAGTAATTGGAAATCCCAAGGCATTGTTCTCACACTGTAATTAGAGACTGGGGGAATTAGAGGGAAGGTAAGACTTATTACCTTGAGATATTCATCCATCTGATCAATGAGACTAGTGAAGAATTCATATGCATCCTGCTGTTCTCTCACGTAGAGTTCTTTGTTCCACATCTTGAAAATCTATGCAAGAAGAATTAAATGCATTTTTTCTTTTTGGACTGGGGATCAAACTCGGGTCCCTGTGCTTTCGAAGCAGGCGGCAGAACCACTGAGCTAAATCCCCGGCCCTTAAATGTATTTTTAAAGAGAAAACAGTAGCTTCTGAATATAGTAGAAAAGGAATGTGAAAAAGCACGTAAATGTTTCTAAAAACCAAGTTCACTATTAGGATGTAGAAGTTTTTACTGGAGTGGGACAGGCTTAAATTCAGCCATCTATTCTTTTCTCTGGTCCCTGTAATCATGATAAATCTCTGAACCTACAGGTGGGCACGGGGTGAAACCTGCAGCCACAGAGCAGGGGCTTCTCTCTTAGAAACTAACCAGTGTCTGCAGAAAACATGGTGTAACCCTCCATTGTGTGAAATCAAGCAAAGCAAGGTTTAAAAATGGTGCTTGCTACTTAAAAGGCATTAGTGAAAAGAGACTGGGTGCAGAGGAATGATTTGAAACAATATTTCAAAGACCTAAAAAGCAATCAAGAGACAGACTTGAAATAATTAAGATTAGCAAATCTCTGGGAGTTATAAACTGACTACTCAACATTCTAATCATTTGAGACCAAGTGCCAATTTCAGCAAGTACTGCATACCCCGTTTTTAACCGGTTCTCAGCAATGGGGTTAATCTAGAGTTAGCAAACCATTATCAACTAGGGAAAACTGTACCCAAATTCCAAACATCTAATATCTTTAAATTTACAAAAAAGGACTGAGAAATACCTTCCAGAAATTCTCAGGCACGTAATACTGCAGCTTGCTTTCCATCAAATGCCCAAAAAGAGACTGTACTTGGTAGAACACACTATCATCTGGATTGTCTGTGTCATCATCCACTGAAAGTAGTGACTGAAAAGAAAGGTATCAAATGAGAAATATTCACTGCTTCACACGAAACCCTGACATATGTACACAGGAAAGCCACACTGTTTGAGAATGCTATGTATGGTTGGATACAACCACAATTCTGCATGCATTTAGCTTGAATATCTTATAGCTGGTATTATAATGAACAGATCATCTCTATGTGAGTCGGAAAAACTAGGACTAGTAATATCAGATCTCTAAGAAATAAGGACAACGTACATGGAATACTCTCAAAATACTGCCTGCCATACCATAAGTTACTACTGTTATTATAAGACACTGGTGACACAGCCTAGCCTATATATTTCTCAAATATTAAAATGCTAGTACAGTACTTTTATGGAATAGAAAGTGAGAATTACTGTGGAGTTCAAAAATTGCATTAGGTCAAGACATTACAATATCAAATTTATAAAAATGTGTGACTGTGAACAACATACAATCCCCACTTATATCTAGCTTTTGCAAACCCAAGAATAAATCAGTATGTAATGATTTTTAGGCAAAACACATGTTATTTCTCATGCCAAACAAGTCTAAAGAAGGCAATCACCTCAGGGAGCCCAGGCTGCATATACAGCTGCTGGAAGACTGCGTTCATGTAACAAGTTGCACCGCCGTTCCTCAGCCCCACAAACCCTGAACTGGACCTACTATCCACTGGGGGAAGGTACTGGAAAAAAGAAGAAGAAAAAAGTAGGGAAGAGAATTAATACCTCAGCCACAGGCCATTTCCAGTATAGCTATTCAGGATGTCTAAGAGGAAAAAGAGATACAATCAGAGATTTACTCATCCAGTGTGTTAGGAAATGTAGTCACGATGTACCTCTGTCGGCAGCTCTAACACAATGAGAGGAGTGTGACTGCAATGCATCTTTTTCTTCATAACATACCTGGCACAGGGCAAGTGTGTGTGTTTTATTAACTCATGTAGCCATGCATGCAGTCACCTATCATTCAATACATACTTATCAATGGCCTACCCACTCCAGGCACTGTGCCAGGAATACACAACAACAAAAATGAGCACAGTCCATGATCTCCAGGAGTGTACAGGATAAATGGGTAAGGCGTTTATCAAGCAAACAGACTAAAAATATATTAATAACTGAGGCAGCATTGTGGGGAAAAAACCCCAATATATGAAGAGTTTACCATGAGGAATCCTGCAGTACAGATGGTCAAGGAAGGCTCAACTTATTTTCTTTTTTTAGAGAAGGCAATATTCCTCTATTAAATTCCTTCTAATAAGCTAACAAACGAACAGGTAAACACTCATCATTTCACTTATAAATGTTTTGAAATACTGTAGATCTGAACACAGTGCTTTTCTGCGTAGAAAAAATCCAGAAAAGGCATCTTGGCTAAAGTTCACTGTGGCACCTCTCCAAGTGGAAAATGGTATTATAACGAGACACTGAAATGTGCTTACAAAAGGAGCTCAGGTCTCATGCCAGACTATAATAATCCTGTTACCTGCATTCGTCAAGTACAATATCTGTACCCATGTAATAACAACCAACCAGAAAAAAACCTGTAGGTCTTATAATGTTAAATAAATCAGATAAACTTAAATAGTAAAGGGTCTCTCTTATATGTGAAACCGTAAGTATAAATACAAGAGAAAAATAAAAGATACATACTAGGAAACGGGGAGATATAAGATGTTTAATGGCACGATAGCTCTGATCATACTTTTCTCACTGGTGGAATGGAATGACCTTCCCACCCTGCTTCAACTGGCTCAATAGTCTTTGATCTCTATTTCAAATTTTGATTTCTCTAAGAAATCAAAGATAAGATACCACCTCCAGAGGTGAAAGTGCCTCCCTGTCAGAGCATTCAGGACATGCCTCTGTCTTCTACTGTATCACATTATACTGAAATGATGTGCTTTGGGCTTGTCTTTGCTACTACACATACTCTCACCTTCTTAAGGGCTGGGCTCATCTTTTCATTTTTGAGCTCCAGAAGCCTCATATAGCTCTGAGCATATGGTAAATTCTACAATCTTTGTTGAATTCAAGGGAACATGAAATGTGTTGTGACAGAGCCTGGCCCTATGCCAGCATAATGCTACTTTAAAAAAAAAGGTTGGTTAAAAAAAAAAAAAAAGGTTGGTATGGTACTTTCCACTGAGAATAACTACTGACCAATTTGAAAATGCCCCTCCTCTTTAAAAGGGTACCATATCGTAACATACCAGAGTGGATCCACATGATAATGTAGTTTATAGTTGATTTTAATATGTCCACACAGTAAGCAAAACAATATAACTGACCTTCTTTGTTGCTAGGAGAATGCAAACAATCTTAAAAGTTTTATGTTTAAAAGATCATTTTATAAAAAGTAAGTGCATCACAGTCTAGAAAACTTACATCAAACTCTTTGGTAAGAGCAGGGTCAGGTTGATGATGCATAGAAAGCAGTTCTTTTGTAATAATTTGAAGATTTGAAGGTGAACTATCAGCCAGCATTACAAGGACTTCATAGGCTGCCAAGCGGCTATTCACTGTACTACACCTAAAAACAAAAGGCACAAGTCAATTTCAACACTGAATATAATCTACTCAAACTTCTAATTAGACTATATCAACACCTGAAATGAAAACACAAGAGCTGAAATTCCTCAAACATAGATTAAGACTGAGCCAGAAACTGAATAATCTAGAGACCATGAATACAAGAGAGATAAATATGGTTTATAGTTAAATATTTCCTTGGCTTGAAAATTAAGTAATAAAATTCTTTCACTTATGATTCCACAGTGATCTTATCTAAGGAATGAATCAAGAATGGAGGGGAAAGAGTTGGAGAACTTTGTAATAAACACAACAGGGGAATGATTATCTTTCAATCAAAGTAGGCAAGAAGAAAGACTTTTTGCAGCTATTTTCTTGAAATATAAGTGACAGAAAAAGAAAGCTATGCAAATCAGGATACTCACAAAGATTTTATGTGCTTGAGGATCAAAAATTCTCAAGGACATGAGTGAACTTACTACTTTGCTGAAAAAGCAGACAGAAATATATAGCTTGCCAAATCAATTTATTTCAGGTAACATAAAAGATAATTAGCAAGCATTCTACAGGAAACTAGACTTCCTATACTGCCTGCCTTCGGGCATGCACAGTATTATTATTATTATTTTTTGGTACCAGGAATTGAACTCAGGATCTTGCATTTGCCAGGCAGGCGCTGAGCCTTTGAGCTACACCCCTGGCCCCAGGCATGGATAGTATTCTTTACTGCAAACTGTGCCAACCTGGCACTATTGAGGGGGTCACACTGCTGGAAGGGTTAGTATGCAGTGTGGAGGTGGTCAAGGGGGGCTGAGGCTCCTTGATAAGCACTGCACTGGGCACTGAGACAATGGCCATGGGGCCAACACTGTCTTTTGCTTCTTGTCTAAGATGTACAGACTGAAAAGTAAAGGTAAGAAATGAGCAAGGAGGGGCTGGAGATTTAGCTCAGTGGTGCCACACCTGCCTTGCAAGAACAAGGTCCTGAGTTTGATCCCCAGTACCAGAAAAAAAAAGAAAAAAAAAAAAAGAAATGAGCAGGGAGGTATCACATACATGGGCTAAAGAAGTTGTTCTGTTATTGTAATATAAGAATAGCAGCACTTCTCAAAAGAGTTTTATGTATTTTAAATCTATTTTCTTGCTTTAAGCTTTTAGTGGGAAACAGTTGGAAGAGACTGTGATTAAGTGACCAGCATTCAGCACACTGGAAGAGGTTGAAACAAAATATTTCCTTTTCTATTGGAGGCATTGTACATGATTTAAGAAATAAGGCAAGTGTGGTAACACATGCCTGTTATCCCAGCACTCTGGGAGGCCAAAGCAGGAAGATCCCAAGTTCAAGGCTGGACTGGGCTACTTAGCAACTTTATCAAATCCTGTCTCAAAATAAAAAAATAAAGAAATAAAGGGCTGGGGCTGTAGCTTAGTGCAAAGGCCCTGGGTTCAATCTCTAGTACCCCACCCCTAAAAAATAAATTAGAAAACCCCAAAAAACACTTTGTATCAAAGTACTACTTTAAAAGGAAGGATTTAGCAATACAAATGTCACTAAAATTGAAGTTTTTTCAATGTTTCTGAAAATCAAAATACTGATGTAGTTCTACTGCTTTAATTAAAGACACCTGTGGACCTGGTGCTAAGCCTAAAACAAGGCTGGGGTGGGAATGGGGACTGAAGGACAATCCAAGAGTTCTAATAAAGCAACCCCCAAACAAATTCACTAATATTCTACACAGAGCAATGTTTACACGATATTGTTTATTATGCCTTGCCTATATAAATACTGAAATTATATCAGAACTTTTTTTCACTGTAAATACTACATCCTCAGTTTTTTCAATATTACTCAGTTAACTTTGGTTTTCATGTTCTTAAGTTGGATTCACAGCAAATTAGATGGCAGGTTATGACTGCCTCTTCCATCACCAAGAACACAAATATCACTTAAGCAGGATCAACCCACAAAGGAACTGAATTTCTTTCTATCTATAAAGACTTCCACAAAATTTGATTCCAAAATTATAACTGTGACAAATCACTAGCAGTCAGTTACAAGAACACAGTCAAACAACAAAGTTTGTGTATCATAAGAAGAGGATAGCACGTATCCTTTTCTCCCAAGTAACCCTGAAGACTTCCCTTGGAGCCTACTGACTGGGACATCTGGGGCACTGAACCCAGGACTTCATGCATGCTAAGCTACCACTGAGCCACACTCCCAGCCCCTGGACACAGCTCTTACAGCTTTCATTTATCTTGGAATTTGTTACTGACCCAAGTTAGCCACATTAGTATTTATTTTTCCACTCCGATGATGATGGTGGTACCAACACACCTGCTCTGTGCTTACTACGGGCCAGGTTGGCTTTACTAAGCATCTTCATGTGCATTTATACACAGTACATCACACCTTGGACACAAAGACTCACAAGACAACTCCCAGTTAAGAAAATCCTTTTGTACTAAAGTTTTGAATTAGAATTTTTACCAAAACTGAACACAACGTGCATTTTCCATACTTTGGATGAAAGTCCTGTTGACTGATGGCGGCACTGCCTGCTGGAGAATGACTATTTAAAATAATTCTAGAAGCTCGGAAAAGGAAGTCATCTAACAATGGTTTAATGAGTGATGAACCTGGAATAGAGCATAATATTCACATTGAGGATGAACACAAGTTTTAGTTCAAAGACCCTATCTTGCACTTTCCTACTAGAGCAGCAGAAGCACCCAGAGCCCACCCATCAGTGGTGCACCCCACTGAATGTTTAGTTCTCGAGGGGTCCCTATGTGACAATGCTCTGTGGGTGGAGGGGCAGGGGACAGGGTACCAAGGTGGACAAGTGAGGGAGCTATTCTTTACGAGCCTGTGACACAGGTAAAGGGGGTTAAGCTTTCACCTTGGAAACACAGATGCCAACACCACAAGGCAGAATGGGCAACCAACTCTCACTCTCAGCATAGGGGAGTCCACAAAGGTTCATGAGACTTTTAAAGTCTTGCCTTCTTTAGGTAAAAATGATGTGCCCTTCTCTTCCTGGTTAAGAATCACTCTTTTCTATGTATCCCCTGTAGCCAAGAAGATTTTATGGAGCTTTATTTGTATTATAAAAGGGGCAGGTTTTTTTTTTTTTTTTTTGGTACCGGGGATGGAACTCAGGACCTTGCACTTGTGAGGCAGGTGGTGGCACCACTGAGCTAAATCCCTCGCCCGGTAGTTAATTTTTGGTTTGTTGCCTGGATGTAATTTACAGTATGGGACATGCTTTCAGATTACATTTGGAACCCAGGACAATCTCATGTGTACCCTGGCACTGGGGATGAAGGGGTGGGGGTCACCTCCCCAGATTAGAATCATTCTTAAAAGATATATAATAGATTATATATTATAATGTGTATATCAGCAAAAAGAGACAAATCTACTTAAATTATAATCTTGGTATTAAGAAGTTTTATAAACTAGGCGTGATGGTGCACACCTGTAATCCCAGCACTTGGGAGGGTGAGGCAGGAGGATTGCTCCGAGTTCCAGGCCAGCCTGGGCTACATAGTGAGCTCAAGGCCAGCCTAAACTACATAGGAAGACCTTGTCTCAAAATATAAAACAATAGCAAGAATTGCAAACAAACAAAAAGAAATTCTGTAATCAAACCATTTTGAACAATGCAAAATTCTCTATGTGGTTTACTGACAAAGGTAAAATACACCTTAAGTTTGCTAGCCACTAAAATTGTAGACAATTTCCTATTCCTGAAGGGTAAACTTTCAGTGGAACATTTGGCAACTATCTTATTGTCCCAATTATACACTATAGTATGGCAATAACTAAGAATTAAGGCATTCTGCCACATGGTAAAATGAAGCAATAGTTACCAAGCATTTCCTTCTCTGCCCCACAGAGTGAAAGCAGGGTCTTAATGAGCCGCAAATGTCCTGCCAGTAAGATGTTGTCTGCTTCACTAGTCTCACATTCAGCTGTGCGGTTAGGCTCAAAGTTATCTAGCCACGTAATTTCATCTTCAAGCATAGTAGCTGGGCTGATTCGTAACTGTTCCATTTCTGAAGCTAAAAAGGGGAAAAAAAGTCATTTACAAAGAAAAAAGGATTTCTCTTCATGGAGTCAAAATCCTAAATAGGGTACTGAGTACAACTAACCACACAAAGTTTCCCTTTTATCTTTGGCCTGTAGGAACCTTAAAGCAAAATTCTGACTGTAGGACTTTACAGCCTGTAAACATACATATAAGGTATGTTTTTCTCCGCCTGGCCTTGACATTCTTTTCTGATATTTTTGTTCATCCAGATTTTAATTTTATTTCCTGTAAGCTACAGCAAATTCTTGGGGAAAAGAGAGGGGAATAAGCTAGCCCTTGATTTGAACAACTAAAATTTACACAGAGCATTCCAATATACCTTTGTATTCTTTAAGAATAAATACTGATGACTAAAATCTCAATTTTAACAAAAGAATTCCTAACAATGAATTCATAAATTAAATGACTTCTAATATAAACATGCTTTAATATACCCTATCTTTCCTTCAATGATCAATCTTTAACTGTCAGAATTACACTAAAAGACCCTTCATAATAATTTTGCATTAATATAGTTAAAATATGAACTTTTGACAATTTTAAAAATGAACAAATCTCAATACAGTAATGGCTGGGTATATAACAGAAGAGCTCATTGATGCATGATGTACATGCTATTTTTTTTAAAAAAAGAACTTCCAACAATGATTATAATCTCATTTACACCTGAGATAATGTAACTCAGATTTAGCTAGGTCTACCTGGCTATTTTTTCTACTCTTCTACCTCAAACAAAATTTAGACATTTACTTACTTGTCAGATCATCTAATAATTGGCACCTCAAATCAAAATATTCCATACACTGAGATAATAGCCTAAAAAATAAATAGGTTTTAATTACTAAAAAGAATCTGATTTGAAAATAAAGAGCATTTTTCTTACAAAAACCTTATGAAATAATCAAATAAGATTTTCCTAAGCATAAAATAGCTATTTTTACATTAAGTTCTATATTTTAGTATGGATCATATTAATGATTTTGCTAATAAATATATAATACAGGAATAATAGCATAAAGAGAGAGACTTGCTAAATCTATCAACATTTAAAAATTATACATGCAATGATTCCATCTGTTCATTCAAATATTAACTGGGCCAGGGATTTAGCTTAGTGGTGCTGTGACTGCCTTGGCAAGTGGAAGGTCCTGAGTTTGATCCCTGGTACCAAAAAACACCCCCAAACAAACAAATATTAACTAATGCCTCCTAAGCACCTACAAATGCCTGGAACTGTAGGGAAACAATGAACAAAAGAACAAGGCAAATAAGACAGTTAAATAAATACACATGTCAAGTGGTGACAAACACTAGGAAGAATAAAGCAGAGTAAGAAGAGAGAGATTACGTAGGGTGATCAAAGGTGCTTTTTCTATAATTATAGTGATTAACAGCATAAGTTTTAGAATCACATAAAACACTGGTTTTAGTCCTCATTCTCCTACTTAAAGTGGGGTGTCCATGGACAATTTATTTCACTTCTAACTCTCAGCTTTCAAATTTCTAAAATGCTATTATAGTACTAGAAATAAACATGGAAGTATATACACAAATATATACATAAAAGGTTCAACCAGGTACTAATGGCAAGAATATACAATGAACCCAAAACTATGGCTATAAGAAAAGGAGATAATAAAAGGGCCAAATTAATTTGCTATTCTGAGGATTAAAAGATAAACATATATAAGCTGTATGGTACACAGCTCGTGATGATTATTAAATATATACCAATGTGGGGCATTAAAAAAAGTTGTGATACATAATTTTATGCAAAAAACAAATACTCAATTTTATATGAAATTAAACATCTCTACATTCAATGTATTTTTAGAAGATATATTTTAATATCTTTGAGATATGTTATTAATCTCATCTAATGCTGTCTGTTTCTTTCCCAATGCTTTAAGAATTTAATATTAAGAAAATTCTTAAAATTTAGTTTCATTAAATAAACTGAAGTGTAAAAAAAGAACTTTAAAAATTCAACAAAATTGAGAAACCTTTAGTTCGACAGGCTAAAATAAGAAAAGGCTAAATTTATTAAACTCAGAAATGAAAATGGTACCATTACTATTGATTTTATGAAAATAAAAGTTTGTAAAAAAGTACCATACACAACTATACACTAAAAATTTTAATTACCTGTATGAAACGAACAAATTCCTAGAAATACAAAAATTACAAAACAGAATCAGAAAGAAAAGAGAAATGTGAGTAGACCCATAATTAGCAAGAAGTATCAATAATAAAAACCTCCCAACAAAGAAAAGCCTTGGACCAGATGACTGCATCGGTGGTTTCTGCCAAACGTTTAAAAAACTAATCCCAATCCTTCTCAAACTCTTCAAAAACACTTAAGAGGAAGTTCAGTAACACCTCCTAACTTTCACAAGGCCAGCGTCACTCCACTATGAAAGCCAGACACAGATTCTACAAGAAAATCAATGTCCTTTATGAATGCTGATGCAAATCCTCATCCTTGAAAACCAAACTCCACAATGCCCTTAAAGGACTGCACACCACAAACGAGCAGGACTGACTCCTGGAGTACAAGGATGGTCCAGCATGTGAAAAATCACTGTCTACCACATTAACGGAGAGAAACAAAAAAAATCATCCCAAGATGCAGAAAAATCATTTGACAAAATTTAATGCCCTTTTGTGATAAAAACATAGAACAACTTTGGAACAGGAAGAAACTATCTCAGTATAATAAAGGCCATCTGCAAAAGACCCACAGCTAACATCACACTCAATGGTGAAAGACTGAAAGCTTTTCCTTTAAGAACAGCAACCAGGATGCCCACCCTCACCTCTATTCAACAGGGGTCTGAAGGTTCCAGTTGGGCAAGGAGAAGAAAAAAAAGGCACCCATATTGGAAAAGTAGAATTATCTGTTTGCTGATGAGATAATCTTGAATACGCAAAATCCTGAAGTTCCACAAAAAACTATATTAGAATCAATAAATTTAGCAAAGTTGAAGGATACAAAATCACACAAGTTCCATTTCTCCACCAACAATGAACAATCTGAAAACAATATCAAGACAAATTCATTTACAACAGCATCAAGAACAAAATACTTAAGAATCAACTTAAGGGCTGGGGATTTAGCTCAGTGGTTTTGCCACCTGCTGCGCAAGTGCAAGGATCTGAGTTCGATCCCTGGTACCAAAAAAAAAAGAATCAAGTTAATCAAGTAAATGAAAGCCTTGCATAGCAAACTATAAATACTACTGAAAGAAATTAAAGGTGACATATAAATGGAAATACATCTTGTGTTCCTTAATTAGGATAAATTTTGTTGAGATGTCAGTACCACTCAAAGTCTTCTAATGATAAGTCTCTATAAAAATTTCAACAACACTTGCAGTAATGAAAAAACCCATTTCAAAATTCACATGGCATCTCAAGGGACCCCACGCAGCCAAATAAATTTGAAAAAAGTAAGGTTGGAGAAGTCGTACCCTCCTTTTAAAACTTATTACAATGTTACAGTAATCAAAACAGTGTGGTAATAGCATAAAGACAAACAGAGAACATCCCTCGTACCGGAAAAAAACAAAAACAAAAACACAAGGGGCCAGGGATTTAATGCAGTGGTTCCGTCACCTGCCTTGCAAGCCCAAGGTCCCGAGTTCAATCCCTGATACCAAAAAAAAAAACACAAAAAGAAAAGACAAATACAGACCAATGGAACAGAAATAACCAAATCACCACATATATATTCAAATGATACACAACCAGGTTCCAAAACCATTGTAACGGGGAAAAAGACTGTCCTCCAAACAGGATGCTCAGAAAACTAGACATTCACATGGAAAAGAATGTAAACTCCTATCTTAAACCATTTATAAAACTTAAAAGTGGGTCAAACACCTAAACGTGCTTTAGTGCAAAAGAGTTAAAGGTATAAAATCCTTAAATGAAACCACTATGGAAAAGCTTCGTGACAGAATTTGGTGATGGTACTTGGGTATGACACCAAAAGCATCATCAACAAAAGGAACAATAATAAACTTGATTTCTTTTTTTTTAATCACCACCTTATTTTATTATTTTAATTTAATTTAATTTTTTTTTTTTTGTGGTACTGGGGATCAAATTCTGGTCCTTGCGTTTGCAAGGTAGGCGGTGGAACCACTGAGCTAAATTGCTGGCTTGATTTCTTCAAAACTGAAAATATTTGTGTGTCATTAGGACATTATCCAGAAAGTGAAAAGGCCAGCTGCAGAATGGGAGAATATACATATCTGATAAGGGATCAATACTTGAGATATACAAAGAACAACAAAATAATCCCATTTAAAAACCGGGAGCTGGGCATAGTGGTAGATGCCTTTAATCCCAGCACTATGGGAGCCTGAGGCAAGAGGATTCAAATTCAAGTCCAGCTCCAACAACTTAGTGACTCAGTGCTGATCCTGTCCCTGTCTCCAGAAAAAAAAGGACTGGAGATGTAGCTTAGGGCAAAGGCCTTGGGTTGAATTCTCAGTAACAAAACAAATAAAACAAGGTCTTTAATAGACATTTCTCCAAATAAGAAGTACAAATGGCCAAAAACATGGGCAGATGTTCACCATCACTGACCATTAGGGAAATATAGATCAAAACCACTAGGACAGCTGCTATTAATACAAAACAAAACAAGAACAAAAAAACCTCCAGAAAACAAGTCTGGTTAGGATGTAGAGAACCCCTGTGTACTGCTACAGGGAAGTAAAATGGTGTAAACACTGTGGAAAATGGTATGGTGGAACCTCAAAAGCAAAACAGGGGGCCAGGGATTTCGCTCAGTGGTTCCATCACCTGCCTCGCAAGCATAAGGTCCTGAGTTCGATCTCCAGTACCAAAAAAAAAAGCAAAACAAAACAACTCAAAACAGACTAAAAAAATAAAAAGCACATGAATTATTGTACAATCTGACAAGTCTACTCCTGGATTATTTACCCCAAAGAACTGTAAGCAAGGACTCAAACAGACACAGTATTTATACATTCACATTCATAGTGTATTATTCAAAATAGGTAGAAACAACCCAAATATTCATCTCCAGTTGAATGAATAAACATGATCTATATGTACAACAGAATATCATTCGGGCTTAAAGCAGATCCTGATATATGTGATGTGTATGAACCTTGAGGACATAATAGGAGAAATATGCCAGACACAAAAGGTCAGACATTGTATGACTCTACTTTCAGGAAGTACCTAGAGTAGCCAAATGCAGAGGCAGAAAATACAACAGCAGGTGCAAGGGGTTTGGGCAAGTGAGAAGAATGGGGAATATTATTCAATGGATACTGAGTTTCAGATTGGGATGATGAAAAAGTTGTGGAAACAGACAGTGGTGAGGGTTGCCAACAATGTGTATGCACTTAATGCCACTGAACTGTAGAGTCTCTAAAAACAGGTATAATGGTAAATTTTGTTATGTCTTTATTACATCAAAAATAAAATCCAGGCTTGGATGCTTACATGTTATAATATACATGTAATACTTGCAGCCCTATGGTCTCTTCCCTTCCAGGGTTCTAATTTGTAAAGCACATATAAAAAGTAGACACTGATTTCACAAAGCTCCATGGTTCCTTATTAGCTCCACAGCAGGGAGTGCCTGGTAAAGCTGAGTTAGATAAAGTGGCATAAATTTGGGGTCAAAGTTACCCTGGGACTGATCAAAGATCTAGCCTTGACTGATGCAGGGCGGCCTGCGGAGGTGCAGTGACTTACCTAAGTCACCCTGTGAGCCTGGACCACAAGCTCCCTTATATGATCAAGGTATATATAAAACCAAGGTGGAAAGCCAGGAGGACACTCCAGCTACCTCTAGACATGGGGCTATGAAGTATGAGAGCCAAGAAAGTGATTCTCAAGAGGACAGAGGCAGTGTGATTTTCACACAGTGACCTGATTCAAATAACTTCAGGATCTCACCAACTAGGTAAACTCCACTTTCTCTCTGGTATGGAGGAACCAGGAGCTGGGGAAGATGGAAAAAAACACAAATGCCTTCCTTCAGGGCCCAAATGTTAGAAAAATAAAGGAGAAGTTCTTCTGGCATCTCATAATGCCTATAGACTTTCAGGGAGCAATGTATCATTACTCATTCTTTCTCTTTATGTAAGGGGAGTTTTGCATATTTACTACGTACCTCTGATTGACTCCTCTCATGATGCTAGTTGGGGACCAGAGAGGCAGCTGAGCCGTGAGAATGACACCTAGAAGGAACTGATTTGGCTTTTGCACATCTGGATGAGCAGAAGTGTCCGTCTGACTGAGAGTGTATAGCTGGTCACAGGCGACCCGGCGGATCTGAAATTATGAGATAGATGACAAAGACTGTGTGTCAGCCAACAATTTAGAGATGCTTAAAGGTGATTCCTTCCAAAGTCCATACTATTTATTCATTCAAGTTACTGAAGGACAATAGAAAGGGATCAATGTTCCAATTTTTAATGATAAAGATGACAGTGAATAAATAGGCTAATTAAAAACAAGTGTGGTTTGGGAACTAATTTCACACATTAACCTACTATTCTGCTCTAATCAATATGCTTATAATTAATATAAACAACTTTTTTTCAAGTGTTTAAAAAGTGTTTTTTTTTTTTTTTTTGGTACCGGGGATTGAACTTGGGTCCTTGCGCTTGCGCAGCAGGCGGCGAAACCACTGAGCTAAATCCCTGGCCCTAAAAAGTGTATTTTTGAGGTCATGTAAAAAGTCAGAATTATGTAACAGGAAGTTCATGGCTTAATGATAGTCTTCCTGATTTTGACCAACATGTTGATGTCTACCGCCAGCTGCGCATGTAAGTTTTGGTTGATAAACACTGGCCAGAACATTCTGGATGCGATAAGCAAACATCACTTAACCATAACATTAGTCTCATACCTTCTGGTGGTATATGGAGAGGATGGAAGAAGGCAGGGCAGTACAGCCCAAATGGTCACTGTTTTTTCCAAAAGGAAAGGCCTGGGGTCCCACTGCATGACTCCCTGAGGAGGCTGAGTGCCATTCCTTCTGTCCTCCCCACAATGTCACAGCTATCTACCACAGCTCACAACAGAACAAAACCACAGAAAATCCTTACCTCAGCGCTTGGTGATCCAAGCAGAATATCAATGATAAAATCAGCAACACAGGGCAAGTTATAGAAGGATGCTAATGATAAGAACAAGGAGAATGGGGGAGAGGGTACTATATTAGATAATGCTTTTTCAAAATTTTGGATAATTTCTTGAGCTCAAGAAGAAATTTATCTTTTCTTTCTAAATGGAATACAATCCCATCTTCTACAATTGCTTCCATGTCTTTTCATTAACCTCATGAAATTTTATTATTTATTTATTTAATTAAAAACAATTTTTTTTTTCTCATGAAATTTTAAGGTGCTCGGGGAGTCATACCATAATCATCTTTATACCCCACAATTAGCACAGTGTCTCACAGGTACAGAATAAACATGTCTTGCTTTGATAAACTATTAATACCTGGGACTAAAAAATGTGCCCCCAAATAAACTACACCTAACAGTGTGGAGGGAAGTTACAATTTTTTATCTTGATTGGAAAACATTTCTAAACAATTTTAGGAAAATTAAATGAAGAGTACGGCATAGGTTTCTGAAGCAATTTCATAATGACTTATACTTCTCTTATGTAAACTTTCACAAGTATTTTGTTCAGAGAAAATAATTTTAGACATTATTTTAATGTTCCATAAATGTCTAATTTAGTCTGCTCATCTTGATTATTTTTACCTTGGTTTACGTAATTAGTTTGGGTATAATACAAAATACAATATATAATGCTCACCAATTCTACATAAATAAGTGTGAAATCAGCAGTAAAAGGTAAGACGAGGGCTCCTATGTGTTGGTACAATTTTTTAAAGTGAAGTACCTAAGAATGCATTCTTGGCTATGTATTACTGTGGGCCTACTACACGCCAGGCTGCATTTGGGTACCGGAGATTCAACAGGAAACAATGGGTAAAACTTTTTATGGAACTTAATTATAAAAGATGAATGCTACAGAAAACAAAAAATAAGATGGGTAGCAGAAGGCAGGGCAGTCCTACAGCAAAAGAAGGGTTGTAGTTTTTTAAAAAGGTGGTTTGGGGATATGTCACCAAGATGATACGTAAACAACGATTTGCATGAGATGAGAAAGGGAGAGCTAATTGAAGTGATGGGGAAAGAAGACGCCAGAAAGGTAAAACAGGCAGTACAAATGTCTTGTATGTTGGGACAGTATGGAGGCCAGTAAGTGAGGCGAGAGTACAAGGTGCAGGTGCAGCAGGACAGGCAGTGGATTGAAGGTGAAGACCATGAGAAAGATTTGGCTTTTACAGTGTGAACTGAGAGGCCACTGGAAGGTTTCTTTTAAGGAGTGACACACCTGACTTATATGTTACAAGGTCCATTCTGGTTACTGTGTGGGAAATAAACTGCAAGGGCAGAAGCAGGGAGATTAGCTAGGGCACCCACTAGTAAGTAAGAAATGATGGCATGTCAGAAGTACAACAGCGAAGGTGGTATGAAGGGTGGAATCTACATAGGTCTGTAAAGAAAACATGCTGGTAGACTAGAAGTAGGGTGTGAAAAAAACAATCAAAGGTGACTCCAAGGTTTTTGCCCAGTGACTGGAGGGTTGAAACTGTCTTTAAGTTGGGAAAACTCTTGAGTGAGATGGGGAAGATAGGAATTCAGTTCTGGTCAGGTTACATTTGGGCTATCTACTTGATATCCCAGTGGAGATGTCAGGGCAGCAGTCCAGGGCACAGATTCAGGCTGGGGTGTCACCCGCTGTCAGCATCTAGATGGAATTTAAGTTGTGAAATCAGGTAAACCCACAAGCACATGAGTGCAGACAGAGTGGGGACAGGCGGGACCAAGCCCTGAGTGCTCCAGTGCCGAAGAATGATTAGCATTAGCCCTACTTCCTCAAGCCAAAAAAGGGGAAAAATCTTAAATTTCAAAATTTCTAATAACAGAGTTATCGGGAATTGATATAGAATTCTACTTATATAATTTATGAACTAGCAATGTGGGTTGCTTTAATTCCTCGGCTAAACAGTAAGCTCCTGAAGGGCATTATGTTCCTGCAACACCTCCGGTGGAATCTCAAACGCAGAAGATGCTTGATAAACATTTATTCAGAACAATCAATTCTAGTACTATTCCTTACCTATCCACAATGCCAACTTTCCCCATTCTTTCACTTCTATTAATAGGATTTTATCTATGAAGCAATAATGGAAATAATTCCCAACAGAAACTGGGCCCTTCCCTGAAAGAAATTAATCGCAAATAAGCCTCCTCCTCCTACCCAGCTGCTGGCTCCGAAGCTGCAGGCATGTAACAAGAAGAGACAGAGCTTCTCCAGCAATCAGTGAGTCTTTGGTGGACACAGACTGCTGCCGGACACAGATTCCTGCATGCAGGGCTACTGGTTCTCCTTCACTTCCAGAGCTACAATTGCTTCCTGAGAGTAGAATGCAGAAGTTTACCATGGATCCTAAAGGTACTGTGCAGTATTTTAACATCTTTTTAATATATGATCCAGAATCCTTATGTAACATTAAATAGGTCAAGAAAGCATGTTTGTCTAAGAAATAAAATGATCTAGAGTATTACAAAGAGATTCAGGATATCTGAAACACCCTGCTTTGTATTTAAACATATTTGCAGGAATTCAAAACGCCTTCAGAAGGCAAAACAATTTCAGGTGGCAAAACAAGAACAGTGCAATTATGGAACATGAGGGAACTTTCCTGAATTATCAGAAATGGTTTCTATCTTGTAACTTGGTGTCAGTGGGTCAGAGGTTACTTTATTAAACCTCGAAAAACACTGTAGACTTAACACTTCTTCACTTTACTGTATATCATAATTTGTAAAACTTTTTTTTCTCTTAAGCTCCTTATAAAGACACAGAACAGGAAAATCACACAAAGCTAAGAGATAAAGTAATAAAAAGAAAATAAACCGTGGAAGCAAGTTTCCAAAGAACTGTCTCCCAGGTCAGGATTCTAGGTGAATTTGTGTTCATCTACAATTACCGGCCTCATGACACTTTTATAATCAGAGAAGCTAAAAACTGTTCTATTTGTTTCCTCCATTTATTCTGGGCATTTATAAATGCTTTCTCTCCTGAACTACGACATATACACAGCAATGTGCATAAATACTAAGCCTGGTGAATTTTTACTCATGCTCAAAAGCAACAGCAAAGGCTCTCCCTTTTTGTGATTCTGACAAATTTATGTGTAGATGACTCTTACAGCTATTTATTGTCTACATTTTAATTACTGCCCCTTTTAAATCAGTACCTGAACTGCTGAGTCTATTTCGAATTCCAGCAGGAAACAGAGAATTACTTTCTTTAATTGGTTGGCTACTCCCAACGAGGTCAAGTCGTCCCGCAGCCGCAGCCCACGATAATCTCATGAAACAAGCCACAGTGGAAGTGAAATCACTTACTTCCATTGTCTAAAGAAGTGTGGAAAGAGTGTTATGAGAAAAAGCAGTAGTGCACATGAACACTATTCCACGGATATCTGCAGCTTCGGTTTTGTGAGACCCTTTTTCCTTCAAGATTATTCAGAGGGACAGCTTTTTTCATGCTACCACACTGTTCAGACTTTCAGTATCTGTCATCTGTGAGACAGAAACTCTCTTATCTCCATGTTCTGGCTTCAACTGGCCCTCTACCTATTTTGTTTTTGCACTTTCCCGTTCCCACACACTACAATTTGGCCTCCGTGGACTACCCAGTGACCTTGCACACAAGCTTTTGTTTTGCTTCTAACTTTGCTCTTGTTCTTTTTGCATGGATAAGTCTCCTCTCTCCGCGTCCAAACCCCATCTTGTCTTCAAGACCCAGCTCAGATGCCACCTCCAGCACAAAATCACCCTTGACCGCACAGGTGAAGGAATCATTCCACTTACTGTGAAGGCCCACATAGCATTTTGCCTTTGTAGTTCTACAACACTCAATACCTTCTACTTTGATTTTTTTCCTTATTTTTCAGCTAGCTCTTTCTTATCATAAATTCCTTGAAAACAATATCCTTGTCTTCATCCTTTTTATATCCAGAGTCTCTTTTCCCAAGCAGGGCCCTCTAAGTAGGAGGTACTTACTAATTCTTGAATAAACCAATGACTTACTTGTATTGCAACCCGAGCAGCAGGGATGATTTCCTCAACTCTGATAGAAGACCTATCTGATACTGACAACTGTCGATAGGATGACTTTTCTGGAGTTCCGCATAAGGACATCTGTCTGCTTGTCTGCCGGCTGACATTTCGAAATGGACGAGAAGCAAGTGCTTCTATGCCATCTTTGGTGAGGTCTTCATCTAATAATGTGGGCATTGTTTGTCCAACAAGTAAAAATCTTAAAAAGAAAAAGCTAGACTTATTCAAGTTCATTTTGTAACATTCAAAATGATGATGTAGGAAGAAATAGAAAGTGAAGCATTGCCTTGTGAAACTAATGCAATAAACAGGTTTACATACCTTGCAAGTTGCAGACAGATGGAATAAACACCTTGCCTTGTCTCGTAGTCTACTTCTGATGGGATGGAATCCCTCTGCATGACATTTACAACCAAACTTTGAAGAAAAGAAAAAAAGCAGTACATAAAGACTTCTATTTTTTCACAGGAAATTTTCTGTAATTAACACAACTGGTTCATAAATGTTCTTGGTTACTTTTGATAAGATTCTTACATATAAATGAACCATGCAACAATTTCCCATGATAAATATAACGTTCCTGGTTCATTACAATTAAGACTCCTGACTTAGCCAAGAAGACACCTAGGTCAGTGATCAGATAGTTCCCCTTCTCACTGACTGCTCTGAGTTCGGTGAACAATTGCTACCATGGTATTTGCAGAACTGTCACTTCAAAAATATATCAAGACCTCGTGTATTTAGTCAAGCCTGTTTTCAAGTCCACCTATACCCTGCTTTCTAACTATTCCTCTTGTTTCTACTCTTGCCTCTTTACCTGCCAAATCTATTCTCAAAAAAAATCAACCAGAGCGATCCTTCTAAAATGTGAGTCAGATCATGGTAACCCTCTGCACACAAACCTTCAGTGGCTTCCTATATGGAGAAAAGGTAGCATCTGCACAGTAGCCCATAGATGCTGCATACCCTGACCTCTGCGATCTGTGCAATGTTATGTCCCAGCTCTGTGTCCCACTCACTCGGCCCCAACCACTCTGGCTTCCTGTGGCCTCTGCAGGGAAACACTCTGGCTGTTCCTCTGGAGAGCTTCGTCCCAGCTACTATATCTGGAGGCCTCGACCTCATCTACTTCAGGTCTCTGTATGTAAAATGTCACCCCACCAGTGAAGCTTTTCCTGATCCTTCTATCAAAACCATAACCCTCTTTATCCCAGCTTCCTTCTTTTATTTCTCGATACATATCTCAATCACCACTGGACACATACTTATTTGTTTATTTGTCTCCTCTTCTGAAAGACCACAAGCTTTGTGAAGACATGAATTTTGTCTAATGTGTTCACTACTCTGTTCCCTGAGCTTAACACAATACCTGCCACACCAATTAACTAGCATACACAAATAAGCCAAAAGTATGATGTCTTCATTATCACCAATCTATAGATGTCTGTATACTCCGAAATGAGTTTTTCCTAACACTTCTAAAGAGCTGAATAAAAAAGCTGTGCACGTATACCACACCTTTCACTGTGTGGGAATTATTTTAGTCCTCATTTTCCTCTCCCCTACATCTCCTCAAAGTTCCAGCCCAGCTTCTCTTCCCCACCAGACTTCCACAGAGGAATTCCTACAACTATTTTCTGCTCAAGCTTCAAGCTGCTCTTCAGCCCTTGCCAGAGGCCTTTCTTCTGCATTTCTCCCATGTTCTTGGTCTAGCTCACTGTAGCGCCTGTAACAGGAGAAACGCCTTCGTGCTTCACTTATGCTGCCTTCCACCCTGGCTCCGAGTTCCCTTTCCCTCCTTACTGGCCCTGGGAATTGCTAGGCATTTTTCTCAATTCTCAGCTCAACGCTCACTTTCTGTGAAGTGTTTACTAACCTTATTACCCCAGAAATTTAACCACTGCTTTTGTGCCTTCCTTCCCTCAGCACTTTTATTCTGCCTCCACTTAAGGTAAGAGAGCCAGCTGGCTGCTTGTTACTCTGTTAAACCACAAGCCTCTCAAAGGCAGAGATAATGTCTATTTTATCTTTACAACCCTGGCACGGATGCCTAACGCAACATGGATTACTGGGAATCAAATTCACCTTATTTCAAACTATAATGGGAGTTTCAAAAGAAACAGACATGGCCTCCTCACCTCTACACTTAAGAATTTCCCTAGCAGAGGTGAGAGAGACATGTTTCTCTAAGTTTTTAAAACAGTCAAAAGTCATACAATGAATTAAAATACTCTAAAGGACTGAAACATCATTCTTGTAATTATAACCCATATATACCTTGTTGAGAAGAAGCAAGGTGAAATGAACTGATACAAATATACTCATTTTCCGCAGTTCACATACCTCAAGCCACCTGCCTTGAGGAAGTTCTCACAGAAGGATTTCGCACAGCTTCTCGCCATGTCATCATCGGCTGTTGGCATGAGTTTGGAGCTTAGAACCTAGGAAACAAATAAGCATTATCAATCATTCCAACATTTTCTGCAGAAATTACTCCTTTACTAGGTAAAAGGTTTGCACAACTCAAGCCAGACTCTCTGAAATGTTACACATTATTTTCTCTCCAGAACTATATGGAGGCTTCTGTTTCACAATTAAAATAAGTTTCCATATTCTATTTAATTAGGAAGAAAAATCATTCTGTTCTAAAGAACGCTAGCAAGTTCTTCTCTTGATGACACAAATGATTCAGGCCTTCAAACTTAGATAAGAATAGCTGATTTTATGTGATATGCTAGATGTGCCCCTATTCTGTCCTCTTTTGTGGTACTGAGATTGAACCCAGGGTCATGCCCATGCTGGGCAAGCACCCTACCAGTGAGCTACATCCCTAGCCTTTTATTTTGAAGCAGGGTCTTGTTTAGTTGTTCAGGCTGGCTGTGCACTTGTGACCCTCCTATCTCACCCTCTTGAGTAGCTGGGACTACAGGTGTGTGCCATCACACCCAGCTTAGATATGTTCTTTAAAAAGCACATAAGCCCAGGTTTTATAAAACTGCCCAAATATTTAAAATGCTAGATGAGCTCCCTATCCAATGAACAATGTACTAGGAACACGTATTTTTCTTTATAGGTGAGTCGGCTGAGACTGAAGAGGTTAAGTGACCTCTCATTCAAGGTCACACGACTGCAGTTTGTACGCAGGTGTGTGTGTCACTCTAATGTCCAGGCCCCTCCTTCTCTCACAATGCAGTATTGAAGCTTACTGTGGTAGGGCAGGGAATTATTTCAAGCAAACAGTCATACTATAGCACAAGGCTACAAATTTAATTCATATTCTCATTTTATTGGCTACCAGAGAAGAGACTGTAAACATGCAATTTTCCCTTCTGCTTCAGTTTTCTCATCAGCTAAAGGAAGATAATAATTACATTCACTAGAGAACTGCTTGAATAAAGTAAGACACAAGTTTAAGGTGCTTAGTATAAGCACCAGCGCAAAGTAAGTGCTTAGTAACAATAGCTGATGCCGTCATAATTATTTAAAAGATCTCTTATTGCCTCAGTTCCAAACTAGATAATAGTTCAAGATCCATTCCTAGTCTTCAAATATGTTTCTATAAACCTATGGGCTTTAGGAGCTTAGATGATGAAAGTGGGCTTTGTGAGAGATGCCTTCTTTCTAGGTGGCTCTCTCAGGATGGTGAGTACTGTGAAGAGAAGGGGATCCCTCTGCTATTGCGGGAGCTCCTGTGCCTACACAGCTCTTCACCTACTTGTACCCACTCCCCATGCCTAATGCACAATGGTTTAGTGAAGATGAAAGTTTTTTCAAAAAATATGGGAATTTGGAATACCCACTCTGAAGCTGCTTGGTGGACAAACATGAGTTAATGAGCAAAATGCAAGCAAATTAACCTTTGGGCTAATAGCAAAAATATGCGATGTGGGGGACAAGTTAGGTTTTCCACAAATATTTTGTGTATCTAAAGCAAAACACATCTATCAAAGGAATTCTCAGTATCCTAGAAGTCCTGAAACTGTTGTGCAGATATTTTACTGCTACAGTGCTTTAGCCCTAAGACAATGCAATCCAGGAGGCAGAGGGCAAGCCAGACCCCGCTGCTGAACCATTGTTTTTCTAGTGCTCTCAAAAGAGGGTGTCAAAAATTATACCTTAACTTTTTGGAGATAATTATTCAAAAGAAATCAAGTGACAAATGTAGTCACAACTCCAAGATATAAACTTTATAAGGTTAAACTGGCCAAAATTTTCTAGGCAATTTTCTGTTTTGGAATATTGCAACTATTTTTAAATGTCCATAATGAATAAGGACATGCTTCATTTTAAAATTATTTACTAAATTTTTTTCCTTTTGAATTCAATACATCTTTTCACAAGAATGATTACTTAGGGCAAAAATGAAATGTAATCACTCTTTGAACATAAAAGAAGCAATAAGCGAACAGAAAGATGAATTACATACTACTAATAAGACTCAGATAAAAAGTAACAAAAAAAATTGCAAGTACCCCTTTACCAATTATGACCTTTGCTGTGGCCTGAAACCTACTTGAAACACAGGATGAGCAACACAGTTAACATCTAATCAAGCCTAAGGAGGGCTGCTACTTAGCCACTTATGTGGGTTCTTTAATAAATAACTGCCTCCTGGATATTAACTCCCTTGGACAAAGCAAAATCTTACAGGGCTTTATTTTCTACAAACGTGATGCAACACAAGGGTCTGAGCTATCACTCTCCATATGCAGAAATGTTTGTGGCCGGTCACTTTCCCATTTTGTTTATGCTTTGCTCTCTAGATTCGGTGTATCCCGCCTCCCCTATGTCTTCCTCCTAAGGTTACTTTCAACTCTGACCCTTTAATAACCACAATGACTTGTACACAGTAAAAATTCACTCCTATATTGTTTACTGTATAAATATTTACTGAACTAAATCTGTTAATCTATATCTACTTTTAGGGAGGTAGGTAATAACAATGGACTGAATGACTGTCCCCTCCAAAATTCCAATTTTGAAATTCTAATCCTCAATATGACACAGTATTAGGGGCTGAAGCTTTTGGGAGATGATGAGGTCATACAGATGAAAACTTTCATGAATGAGGTTAATGTACTTATATAAGAGATCCTCAGAGAGCTCAGTTGCCCACTTCCTGCCAAGTGAGGACACAGTGAGAACATAGCTGCTATGACTAGAAAGGGCCCACACAAGACACTGAATGACTCAATCTAGGACTACCCAGCCCCTGAAACTGTGAGCAATTGTTTGTTGTTTAAGCTACTGTTTAAGTCTATAGAATCTGTCATGGCATTCTGAATAGATTAAGAAACACTGTAATAAAAATAAGTTAATTTTAGTTCTCCTAATAACTTTTTTAACCTTGAAATGATAATGTTAATAATGTGATTCCTGGTAATATCTTCATAAATCTTGACTAGTGCCAGAAAACTGTAATAGATTAAAAAAAAATTAGGATGTAGTTAATCAAGAAAGTTGGAAATAGTTTTATAGACTTGTAAAACTGTCAAAGGCAAAAAAATTTTCTATTTTTTTGTTGAAACTCATTTTCTAAGAGATCATCACATAATACTATAAAAAACCCCTTTACTAATTTTTGGCATCTGAAAACATGAATCTGCAAACCAAAATGGACCTGTCAAAATGAAAAAGAAATGGCTTCTTACTTCTAAGTTGTAGAGCACTCTAAAGGTGGACATTCCTGGAGCAAAAGACCGAAACAGACTTTCTAAGATTGAACTGGCACTCGGCTGATGCTGCTGCTTTGAAGAGAGGGACGGAGATTTTGAAGACTGAGAACTTGATTCAGACAACAATGTTTTCTAAGTTTAAAAGAATGAAAAAAAGAAATGTAGGCCTTAAAAGCAAACAGATTTCAATCCACATTCTCATGTTCTTTTCTTTTAGCCACATCAATGAAATTTTCTGAAAAATTATCTTCATAAAACTATATCACTAATTATTAACAAAACACCAAACTTCATCATTCAAATTTTAAGTATTGCATGATATTCAAATATTATATACATGCTTTTGATAATGTATGTTAAGCAACACTAGCAAGGTCATTTAAATTTGTTTCTGTACATAAAATCTGTACCTCTAGATACTGATACAGAAATTTTAAGACTTCTAAAATAGTAGTTTTGAGAATTTCTTTTTAGCTAATACCAACGATGTACTTCATAGTTTCATTACTTCTCTTCTTTCTCAAATTAGTACCTAGCCACAGATGACATGACTGAGCTGATCTAAACTGCAACCTAGCTCTAACAACTTTGTTCTAAATTAATTTATTCTGAGAATAATTAAACAATATGACAGATAAAACAGTTTACCTCTACATATATCTCTTAAGGAACAACATTCTAAAAATTAAAATGAACTTTATCACTTGTGAAGAAAAAAATGATCACCCATTCTTAGAAATAACTCAGACACGCAACAATTAGAGGCTTGCTACAGAAGAAAAACATCACAACTGAATCAGAACTAGAGTCTGATCCTGGGCAAGTAACTTCATCTCTGCGGGCTCGATTCCTAATGTAAATCATAAGTAGGGAGGAGGAGATAACATTAAAGGCTCTTCCTATTCCTAAATTTGATGTCATTACTGACTCTCTCTGGATGCTTTAAAACCCAACATGAAGTTCTAATTCCACTTATAGCAAAGGTTATTTTTTAGAAGAAGAAAAAATACGGGAAACATACTAGTATGTGGCCTTAATGTGAGTTCAGCTTCTGCTTTCAGACTCACAATATAAAATTCACAAGCAGGTTAAATAACCATTGAGATACACATACCTTTCTGCCTAAAGAATCAAGTTGATCAAGGGCTTCCTGAATGGCTGGATCAGTGGGTATCAAGAGCAGAAGCTTTCGTACTCGCAGAGTTATCCTGAAAAATTTCAAATATAAATTTTGTTTCCATAAGCCAGTTTCAGTAACAGAATCATTTAATATGAAATGTAAAGTAAAATACACCTGAAGTGACATGTTACACGCCTCTTTAACCTTAGTCAGTTTCTCTCTCAAGTCCTACAAATATTTCTATGTACCTTGGCTCCTCTAGGTTGGCAAGTTGGTAAAGCATATCAAATACATTGCACACAAGAGCCATCACCACACCGGGGAGAGATTTCTCCTGAGGGAACAAAGCAAAATATTAAATACACATCTACAAAAAAAAAAATCTTCTCTTTTTCTATCAAACAGACCACAAAATTACTAGTTCTGAAAGGCTAGCCACTGTGAAGGCTGGGAGGAGCACAGCGCTCAGTGGATGGAGGAGCACAGGGCTGCTTGTGAAGGGGACACGTGAAGGTGCTGAAGGTAGAGGTAAGACAGGCAGCACACAGGAGGCACCCTGACAGCTAAGCATGGCTCGCCTGCAGCCAACTGGGTCATGACTGACTTGGAAGCAAAATTAAAGTAGTATACACACATTCACACAAACATAGAGGCGCATGTAATCAAGCTGCTGTTTCTAAAGATCAGAAAAGACGAAGTGGATATAACTGTGGAGATAAAGATGTAATTAACACACTATTTTCTGGCTCTAAGGAATAAAAAGTATATGTGGGAAGATTTTTAATACATTCAGATAAATATGACAGTTTAAAATATAAAACTTGAAGAGGGTACATATACTGTTTTTGTTATTAACTGTCATAATACCACCGAGATTTATACACACTAAGTCCCTGACTTATGAACGAGTTCTGTTCTAGGAGAACTGTTCCTACGTCAGATTTGTTCGTGAGCTGATGGTGAGTCTTACGCAGTATACCTGTGGAAGTCCGCAACTTGAGTGTTCCTAAGTCAAGGCTTACTGGATGAGTAAACCCCACAACACTCATGCTAACCCTGAAAAGCTCTTTGATATCATACAAAGCTTATGCTGTAAACTAGAACAACACAGTCACAGGAAGTCCTCACATTTGCAATTAAAGACATATTTAACATGAAAATAAAATCCCTATGTCTTTTAAATACTTTTCCCTCATATGACCTTGGTCTCTAGATAGTAAAAGCCCAAAGAGCAGAACGTCTCATTTAGTTTTGCACCCTGGAGCCAGTTCAGTCCTGACACAGAAAAGCACAAAATCAACAGACACACTGACTCATGAAGCCAATCAAGACCTGACTGAGGGCCCACAGCATGCCAGGCACTGCTAAGGTGCTGGGGAGGCGGCGGCAGTGAACAAAACACACAGAAGTCTGTTTTTGTGGAGCTCACATTTTACTGGAGGAATGAGAAACAAGATCAATAAATTTTATGTTAAAGAAAAAATAAGGCAGGGAAGGAAGATGCAGAGTGTAGGAATAGGAATGGAACTCCAGACAGGGCTGTCAGAGATGCTCACTGAGAAGGCAGGCGAGGGAAAGCATGAGGCCCTGGGAATGCACATGCGGGTGCAGGAAGAGCAAGCGTGCAGGCCTTGCTCTCAGGACCAACAGCAGCCTGTGCTGCTGGCCAGAATGAGTGAGGGCAGGGCCACCACAGCGGCCTCAGCAAGGTTCGAGGGCGGCACCTCAGGGAGGTGAAGATCCTAATAAAGACTCTGACTCTTCTTCTGAATGAGTGGAGGGACTTGAGCAGCACAATCTGACTTCTGTCAGGCCATGGCTGCTGGGTGCCCTACAGAGAATTCACTGGGCTACGGGCAGGAGCTGAGAGCAGCTGACACTCTCAGGTGTGGGATGAGGGCTGGCAGACCAGGAAGCTGTGGAGGCAGAGAAAAGCACCTGGATTCACTTGTGGATATGGTTTTGACAGCAAAGAGAGATCCAAGGACTCTGTCATAAGCAACTAGAAGAACGGAGACACCATCTAGATACAGCAAGATTATGGTATTAAGAGAATTCAGGTAGGAGCAAGGTGAGGGAAAGGGGCGATCAGGAGCTCAGCTTTGGATATCTACACCTGCGGGGGTGTCTAGTGGGCATTTAAGAGATGTCAAGTAGATGGATCTATGTGTCTGCATTAGGCTGGAGACAAACTGAGGAGTTACTGAGTTAATTATGTTTATATGGTCTGTAAAGCTTTAAGACTGGATGAGATTACCAAAGGAATGAACATAGAGACAAGGGTGGTACAAAGACTGGGCCGGGAAACGCCTCTGAGTAGAAATCAAGGAGATGATGAGGAACTAGCAAGGGACCAAAGAAGAGCAGAGAAGCAGGGGAATCAGGTGAGTCCTAAAAGCTAAGAGAAAAAAGTAGCTCAAGGGGAAGTGACTACACACAACTCTGCTGAAACATCAAGGTTCATGGTGGTGCACCCCTTTACTCCCAGCACTCAGGAGGCTGAAGCAAGAGGATCCTCAGGAGTTTGAGGCCAGCCTGGGCCACATAGTGAGTTTAAGGTCAGCCTGAACTATGTAGTGAGACAGTCTCAAAAAACAAAAAAACAGAAAAACAAAACCAAAAAGGACCGAAAAGGGGAAGAAACAAATTAACCTGAAAAGAGCCTTTTTTCAAGAGAGGATAACAAAAAAGAAACAAGTTTAGACAACTCTTTCAATGAACTCTGCTGATTTGTGAAAGAGAGAATAGGTCAATAACCAAAGAATTGGGGTGAGGGTTTTTTGGTTTTTTTTAAAGATGGCAGAAATAACCAATATGTTTGACTGGTAATGGGATGACCCAGTAGAGAGGGAAAGTCAAGGAATCAGTGAAGAGAGATGTATGAGAGGACAGTGAGTGGCCAGGCAGAATGGTTCCGGCTTCTGAAGACTCTGAGACTCAGAAGACTGGTAAGTTATATATCTTCTCCCAAATGAATCCTAGCAATTCTGAGTTACATGTTCTGAAGAGTCAGAAACTGTGAGAAAAGGGCATAAGCACCTAAACTTATCTGGGCTAAAGCTAGAGCTACTAATTATTAAACTCCTGTTTGCAAAGTGGAATCGATCACTCAGTACCTGCTCCATGGCATATGATGAACTAAAGACCCCACTGCTGCTGCTGCTGGAGCTGGTTGAAGAATCTGCTGAGCTCCCGGAGGGGGTCCCGCTGCCAGAGGTCTTTACTGTAAGGACCTGCTCATCAGAAAAGCCCAGCTGGTGGAGCAGCTTTTGATCTTTATTCACTGTCAACTGCAAAAAATGGTTTCAAAATTACTGAGAGGGAAAAGATGAAAGTATTCACAGCAGGCCAAGTGCCCAGAACTGCTAAACCTACCAGGCTATCATTCGTAAATATCTGAATATTATCCACAGGAGAGCACAACTGCTTGGCTATCTTCCACCGGACACTCCCTATGGTTTCATTGCTGTGGGCCTGTAGAAGAAAGTGCAACACTGCTGTGAGAGAATTCACTGACCTGTTCGTTTAAACAACTGATAGCTCCTACTATGCACTAGGCCCCTTTCTAGAAGCTGGGATCACAGCGGAGAAGCAACCCAAAGCAAAGAGCCTTGCCCTGTAAGGCTTCTCTCCTGCTCTAAGTCCACACTCCATCCTTGCCATCCATCACCTGCAGAGTAAAATTCCACCCCTCCACCACAGTGCCTTCCACTCTGCCCTGCTCGAGGTGCTCCACCCATGCAGCCACCCGCCTGCCCTTCGGACCTGCTTGCTGCCACCTCTGCCCAAAACACTCTTCTAAGGAATTATCACTTACTCTGTCAGTCTACTCAAGTCTTGGCTCAAATGTCACCACCTCAGAGACTTTCCCAGTCTATCTTTATCTAAAATCTCATACATACCCATCACTTTTTACCAACTTAGCCTACATTATTCTTACTCTTTATAACATTTACCACTACTTAGCATTATACATTTATATTTATTTACATATCTGCCTATACCTCTCAGTTTCCTGTTGTTTCAGGTCTTTATTTTAAATCTGTTTATCAAATAGCTTTAAAAATCATCATTCACGTGCCTCTCTCCATCAACAGTCTTATGAAAGTAACAAGACAATGAACACGGCCACAGAGCTTAGTGTAAACCTACCTCTACAGTGAATGTATCTTTGGTAGAGTCATAGGTAACATTAAGAGTTAAAAGATGTCCATGAAACGAGGCACCATGAGGTAGAATTGTTCGTGGAACAGAGTAAAAATCCTTGAAAAAGGTATAAGTCAAACAAGTCAGATGTACAGTGGTGCCATTAAACATGTAAAAAATACACTTACCACCTTTAATCTACTAATATCATGAAGCTACCTTCGACAGAGAGGCCTACCTCTATAGTGATCACATAGCGTTCTGCCAGAAGTAGCAATCTCTCAATTATTACAAGTTTGGTGGACCTATGGATTAAAAAAAATTAAATGTATTTGGAATGAATTGCTGACTTGAGCTCAATTCTAATCTGTTTCACCCAAATCACAATCACAGTCAGTGCTCACTGGTCAAAGACTGAAACCTGAAAAGATTAAATTTCTCTTTCACTCGATGAGAAGGTTCAATCTGCTCACAGCTGTAGCACACAGATGCAGCAATGGAGAAGCCTGCCCTTTCCCACATTTCCTTTTTCTTCCTTTATATTATTATTATTTTGGTTTTTTGAGACAGGGTCTCACTTTGTATTTCAGGCTGGCCTGAACTCAGTATGTAGCCCAGGCTGGCCTCAAATTTGTGATTTGTCTGCCTCTGCCTCCTGAGTGCTGGGTCTACAGGCGTGCGCCACCATGCCTAGTTCCTCTTCCTTCATTTTAATCAGCTGTTCCATATACAGAGGACCTGGGTCTCCAGGCCTAATTGTCCATCAGTCCTCCAATAATGAACAATGAGAGTTTGACTCTCAAAATTTTACAATAAAATATGCCATGAAACTCTGTAAATATGTGAAATCTTACAAAGTCTTGAACTGCCTGAAAATTAGAAGACAAATGTAAACCAGTAAGTACACCATAAATAAAAACTGAAATCTGAGGTCTCTTCTGAAGACTTATTGAATATAATCATTTGAAATAACAGCACTACAGTATTCAACAGCTAGTAGGAGTCACAGCTTTATACCTTATTAAAGAGAACACCATACATACTAACATTAATAAACAAAAACTCAAGTGCCCTTAATGTAAATAGCTATTATTCCACAAAATGCATATTTCAAATAGGTCTATTTCTAAAATTAAAGAGCGGTCCTACCATTTTCTAACAACTGGACTACTTCAATTAGTAGTCCCGGAAATGTCTTTTTTTTTTTTCCATTTGTTTGTTTTTTGAGACAAGGTCTCGTGTTGTCCAGGCTGGCTTTGAACTTGTGGTGACCCTCCTGCCCTGGCCTCCTGAGTGCTGGAATTACAGGTATGAGACACTACACCTGGCCCCTGGAAATTTTATTTTAAAAACAGTTGGTTAAACACATTTTAACAGTTCTATTAAATATAAGTTCTAAATTTTTCCAGTTTATGGGCAAGAACTGAAAGCTTGAAAATTCAGATTAATAAAATCTAAGTGCTATAATAATTTAATTGTGAACAGCTTTAATTATGTCTCAATAATTATATCACAGGTTGTATTACAAAATACTGTACAGATGAAATAACCCACCCCTCTATTAGAACAATTATGTATACTGAAAAGTTCTTTCAAAACTAGTGAAATGAGATAAACTACAATGTTCTAGTTCAAATTCAACTTTGAAATTATACATTCTTAATAACTCTACCTAAGAGTTTATAATAAGACTTTAAAATTATGTGATTTTTCTGTGTAGTCAGCCAAATGTGAAATGATTCAGAATAAAAAGCACTTAGTAAAGAGAAAACAAAAACAGAGTACACTGATTTAAGGAAGTAGCAGTCTGGAAACCCTAACCTGACAGCCCATAAATGATTTACCTGTAGATGAGTCATAAAGGAACTGAATAACACAGATGGGCTGATCTTACAAACGTGATAAGGAATTCTTACTACAAATTCTTAGTGAAAGGATATTTCCAATACACTTCCAAGAATATGAGAATTGGAAAAGCATGTCACTGCTCTCAGCATAAACTGAATCTATCATCCTTTCTGCCATTTAAAAATGAATGAGAGGGCCGGGGATTTAGTTCAGTGGTTCCGCGGCCTGCCTCGAAAGCGCAGGGACCCAAGTTCGATCCCCAGTACCAAAAAAAAAAAAAAGAGAGAGAGAGAGAGCGCTGAGTTTTATTTGCTTCCTTTGTATTAGAAGTACAGCTACACAGTATCAACTCATTTAGAAAAAGATAAAAAAGGAGAATATGGGGAATGATATTGCTTTGATTCCCCCTTTAAAGGAAGGTTTTGAAAAGAAAAGTAGTAACCCCAGTAGTGACTAAAAAGATGCAAATACACAGTGGTTCCAGGAGTAAAGAATGACTATGCGAGGACCCATCACCAGAGGACAGCAGAGTGTGGCACGGAGGGCAAACCCTTTGGCGTCCACCGGCCAAAGATCCCAGGTTATCAAGGATGTGGAGCTGCTTACCAGTCTTGAATGGCTCATAAAAGTCCATGAAAGTATGTTAGTTACTTCAACTTAATGTTTCTAAGCACACATTGTTTCTTACTATTTTAAAGAACCCAGCAAATATTTAACTCAGATTTCGCTGGTAATATCTGAAAGCTCTAAACACAGCGATGTGAGCTCAAAGTTTTAACACAAACATGCAGATAAAGTACTCTGATTGACTATGATTACATTACATGTATAATTTTAACTGATCACCATCTTCCACTTTATTTTGCTTACCCCATTAATGCCCTAGGTTTGACCAAAGAGAAAAAGTTATTGGTGAGGAAATATTTTATTCGTTATTAGTTTGTCCAATGAATGTATCTTTATTCCACCTAAACATATTACTCATGTTACATGGAATAAAAATACTATGAAATACATAAAAGCACAATTAGCCAGGCACAGTAAGTAGAATGTGCCTATAATCCTGGCTCCTTAGGAGACTAAGGCAGAGGGTCACTCGAGGCCAGGAGCTCAACACCAGCCTGGGCAACATAAGGAGAGCTTCACCTTCACAACAACAGAACTTGTCCACAAGGCAGGGGGGTAGGGCCACAGCCATACTTGGGTGTTTCTGGCGATGACCTACAGATTGTTGAGATATGGATTTGGGGGTGTATGATGTGGAAAATATAATTCCTCAGAATACGACTGTTAGTAAACACTATCACATAATATGAGGAAACCAATAATTAAGATATCCAGAGAGAAAAAAATAATTTTTTAAAAATCCGGATATGTTTTTATGTGCTTTGTATGTGTTTTTACTTCTGTAATCACTTACCTATACGGAGACTGAACTGATGTTGCTACAGTTGGCATGGCCGTTGCTGTAAGCATTTTTGTGGCTCTGGTCACAGCATGTGTTAGAGTGGGGCCACCCAGGGCTGAACTGGCTGCCTATAAAATAATAAATATTATTCTATATCAGGGTTTCTCACCCTGGACTCTACTGACTTTTGGGCTGGATAATTTTTGTTACAGAAAGCTGTCCTAGCCATTGTAGGACATTCAGCAGGATCTCGGGCCTTCATACACTAGTTACCAGCTGGACCTTTCTAGTCATGACAAACTTTTCACCATATGACCCCAGGAGGCAAAATAAGACCCAGATGAGAACCACTGCTCTTAATACTTACAAGGTACCTTATATAAGGGGACTTGAACAAAGTATTTTTAATGACATATTTGGGTAGGAAATACTGTAGAGATTACAACACATACTGATCACCAGGAAGATTAACTTATTGACATTTGAGGGCAGTAGTACTTTATGCTTTTGGAATACTCTTTATAAGATATCAAACTTAAGCAAAAAATTCCAGTAAAAATGCTTAATGTTTTTTGGAAATAAGGGATTGGAAATACATATGAGATAATATTAAACAGCAGGCTTTTAATGGACAAATACAACCAATACCACCTACAACTGAGTATCCTGCTCTGGTCTTCAATAGCATTTATTGTATAAATTATGTGAAACATGAAGGATAAGAATGGAAGCAAGTACTTATATAAAGTTCCTGGACAGAAAAACAACAAAAAAAGACTATTAAAAAGGTACAATGAGGGCTGGGGATTTAGGTCAGTGGCACTGCCGCCTGCCTCGTAAGCGCAAGGTCCTGAGTTAAATCCGTGGTACCAAAAAAAAAAAAAAAGTAGAATGAACAGTAGACCTGTTTTCTGAATATTCCAAAAGGGAAAAGGGTGGTATGGGATAGAGAGGTGGTAAAAAAGAGCTACCAAGGATAATGACTGTTCTCTGCACCTCAATATGGTACTCTTGACAAATTCTTCAATAGGATCCAGCTATAAACATCAGCATTATACATTACCTAAAAATATAACAGTATCAAAGGAAAACATTCAGTTCAAAGACAGGTTAACAAAACTTGCTACTCACTTCTAGTCTTGTGTAGCAGTCAGCAATGAATTTCTTATGTAAAGATACTGAATCCTAAAAGTAGGAAGTATATGAAAATTAACATTAGGCTTTGGCATTTAGTTATTATCATTATTAAGGACAAAACATCAAAATAAACAATTTGAGGGCATGTGAAGAATCATAACCTATCAATAAAATGTGTATAAATTTCTGCTTTTCTGTCTGAGTAACTTCTTTCCTTGGATACTCACCTTCTTTAACCTAGGATTTAGATTAATGTAACTATAATTTATGATTAACTGAATAGCTTCATTAGCAATTTCTTCATCAGGTGATTCCATGGCTATTTTCCAAATGAAATCCATTCCTATTAATTCCAGCTTTTCTACATACTGTTCAAAAGAGAAAAGTTAAAATTACATACAAATTATACAGTACATTGGAGTTATAAAATTACAGAAAACTATCTTCTGTTACAACATTGAGTCTGCACCTCTTCAGGTCAGTATGAATTAGAACTGCAAAAAACACTGCATACTGACACGGAACTTTAAAAAACAACCAACCACAGAAGCACCGCGTAAACTCTGTGGGAACCAGGAGAAAGATGAAGATTTTTCCAAACATTCATGAAACCCAGCTGGACATTACTCACAAACAGCTCAGAAGTAAGATGGACACCATCTTCATGAGCTTTTCCTCAAAAAGAAATAGTCAACCTAGAAGTGATTACTCATTCTTGGGGCTTGATCTGGTTTTCCCAATGCTCAGTGAGAAGTAGAAATTACAAGATTTTATAAATATCCATACCATCCCAGGAAGCCAGCATATGAATAAAACGGACTTAAAAAAGTTTTGCCTTTCTTTTTTAAGGGCCACATGTAAACACAGATATAAGCTATATACATTCTATAGAGCACCATTTTCCTGTTTCATTGTCTGTTCCTCATTTTTTTTCTCCAATCCCTGCCACTGAGACACCACGAATGAAGAGTACTTCTTGTTTAGGCACATGTGAACTGCTGGATCTAAGGAGTTTAAGCCTCTCCTCCAAATTCACCTAGACACAGGAGCCTACCGCTGCCCCAGCTCAGCAAGACGCCAAGAGAGCGGTGGGATAAGTGAGTAAAACAGCAACAGCCTAGGTGGCTGAGGAGGTGCAGTAGTGGGGACAGAGAGCCTCCAGTGCACTTGAAGACAGCTCTGTCTTTTTTAAAAAAATCCATGTTTTCTCCCAATTAGTACACACATGTTTTTGCTGAATATTGAGTTTTACAAGATAATCCCATTTATCTTGATTGCAGAATAATGTACTTACCAACTGAGCTCCTTGTCTTTTTAATCGATGATCACAGAGATTCACATTTTCAAAAAAAGTCTTAAATAAGTTAAAACCTGAAATTACAGAGCAATAGATAAATTTATACACTCTAAGTAACACACATAATCAATGAAAAGAGTAAAAACAGATTAGGAGGTTAAAAACATAAAACTCTTCACTATAATTTCTTAGCTATAAAATATTGAAAGCACAAACCAGGCATGGTGACATGTGCCTGTGGTCCCAGCTACTTGGGAAGCTGAGGTGGGAAGGTTGCTTGAGCCCAGGAGTCAGGAGTTCAAGACTAACCTGAGCACCAAAGCAAGATCCCACCTAAAATACAAACAAAACAAGACAAACCAGTAAGTATAAGAAGCAAAAGGACATACAGGTAAGCTGGAACTAATCAACTAACTTTTGTGCTTCAAAGGACACTATCATTACTGCATTGTTTCTCTAGTGTAAGAAACAAAGTAGAAATAAGGACTAAAATGTGTAATAGATATTGGGAAATGGGAAGAAAATGTTCAAATGGGAAGGGGAACAAGGAAGGCACGAGAAAAAAAGTGAAGATGGAAAGAATGGAAACAAAGCTTTCAAAAATAGGGAGGGGAGGGGGAATGGGATAATAGAATTTTTTAAAAAAGAAAAATAAAATGTTCCAACTACAAAAAACAAATGAAAACAACCCATGGAATAGGAAGAATTATATGCAAATTACGTATCTAATAAAAAGCTAGTATCCAGATGATATAAAGAACTCGCACAAATCACTAACACAAAGACAAATGACTCAATTAAAAAATGGATAAAAAAATTCTGAATAGACAGCAGGGCATGGTGGTACACGCATATAATCCCAGCTACTTGGGAGATGGAGGAGGATCACAAGTTCAAGGTCAGCCTGGGCAACTTAGTAAGAACCTATCTCAAAATTTAAAAAGGGTTATGGATGTAGTTCAGTGATACAGCACTTGCCTAGCATATACAAGGCTCTAGGTCCAATCCCTTGCATGCATGCATGTGCACACACACACACACACACAAATTTTGAATAGACATTTCTCCAAGGAAAATATGTAAAAAGCCAATAAACACATATGAATAGATGCTCAAAATCATTAATCATGAAGGAAAAGCAAATTGAAACTACAAGATACCACTTCATACCCACTAGGATGTCTTTACAAAAAAACTGCAGACAATAACAAGTACTGTAGAGGATATGGAGAAAATGAAATCCTCATATACTGCTGGTGGGATTATAAAATGGTGCAGCCAGTTTTCAAAACCACTGTGGTAGTGCCTCGAACATTAATTAAATGTCACAGCAATCTGACGCTGAGATACATACCCAAGAGAAATGAAAACACAAAAACTTGCAAGTGAATGTTTATAGGAATCTTACTGATAACAGCCCCAAATGGTAACAAATAAATGTCCATCCACTGATGAATAGATAAAATTCCACAGTGGAATCTTATTAAGTAGTCACAAAATGGAATGAAGTACTGATTCCTGCTACAACCTTGGGTTACCTTTGAAAACATTAACCTTTAATGTAACAAAAGAAGCCAGGTATAAATAATACAATTCCACCTATATCAAATGTCCAGATTAGGCTAATCTATAAAAAAGGAAAAGATCAGAGCTGGAGCAAGGAATAAAAAATGACTGCCAATGGGTAGAGAGTTTCCTTTTGGAGTGATAAGAATGTTCAGGGATTATACAGTAGTGAAGGTCACACAATTTTGTGAATATGCTCACAGCTGCTCACTGTAACTTTAAACACTAAACACAGTTCTATACTTTGATAAATAACCTTTTTGTATTAAGAAATTTTAAAAAGGCAATTTCATCTATTAGGCCATGCTTAATTATAAGATATCACTAATGTAAAAAGTAATTTATTTGTGTATATATCTGTCTATGTGTACAGGGAAAATTCTACAAGGATGCACCAAATTAACTGGTTGCTTCTAATAAGCTTACAAAGATAGGGAAGAATAAGAACTAAAACAAAAATTTTAAGTTTTTTCCTACCATTCATAGTGATTTCATAGGACTCCAATTTCAGAATTTTCTCCTTGAAGAGCTGCTGCTGAACATCACTCTCCAGATCATGCTGTCCTTTTGTAAACCACTCAAAGCACACCTGTGGATTAAGACAGACATTGTTCTATAGTCAACCAAACTGTTTCAGGTAAATACACATTCCATAATGGAAAGATAGTATTAATACTTCAAGAGTTAACATATTGCCAAAATATCACTAAAAACTGAAACGCTTAGAACTCTAAAACTAAATAAAGCAGTTACTAAGTAACTGCTACATAAACAAAATATGCACTCCGACTTTTCACTGAATTTTACACTTGAGTTTTGCCATCATCATGTATTAAGGCCTGCTGTGTGCCAGACACTGTCATATACTGAGTTCTTTCAACAATCTTATAAATTAGTTAATAATTATTCTGTAAGATGAGATGAGGAAAGTGAGATTGTTAGCAAACATGAAAGCAAGTGTTCTGGTTCCTGATTTAATCTGCTTTTAGTTGTCTAATTATAGTTTTAAAAGTCTGCCGAGGCACTGATTCTTCTTTAACTCCTTCTGGAAGCGCAATATCATTTTAAGGAAGTGAAAGATTTCTAGTTGTAACTTAAAATTAATTTCATTGGAGGTAGGAAACATTAAAATATATCTAGAATTCTTTATTTGTATGCATTTGGTTGAATAAGGTATTCTATCCAGAATGCTATCAAGATTATCAAAGTACTCATGTTTTTATTTATATCATGGATACATATTATATAAAATATTTTTCAGCACTTATAGTTCCCAGCCTATAGTATTTATGCTCATAAACAATAAACTTATGTGTTTAGAAACTGAAGATGTGAGACATACAAAAAATGTGAAAGAAACCAGAGTGTAATATTGAAATATTTCTGCCTTACTTTATTCACAATGCCATCTTCTTACCTCTCTATCTAGTTCACAGACATCCTGGCCTGTTACAAGGCACTCCCAGATTTCCTTGGCACGATTCCAACCTAGATAGAGGGTAGCTTCTTGCAAGAAAAATGCCAGAAATTTCAGATGTGCCTCTAAATACTGCAAAAAAAAAAGCTAATCAGTTAACTCCAGGTATTCATGCCTAAAAGAAACATTAAAACAAAGCAGAACTTTACATTAAAAAAAACCCAAGTCTGCTTATTCAATCCATATATATACATATATACACACACACACACACACACACACACACATATGGTAATATAAATGTGAGAAATCTGTTTATTAGTTGACAGTACAACATAACAGAAGCTGCCTCAAGTGTATTACAAATTCAGTTGACCTTAGATATCAATAAAATATAATTTTAGTAATTTCAAAGTAAAATACCACAAACTCATAACTGTAAAGATATTTTTCCAATATTTAAGCAACATTACTTATCAACTGATTTGAAAAATAAAACCCACTATCCACAGAACTGGCAATTATTACTTCAGATCAAAGACAAAAGTTTTTTTTTTTTTTAGTTTATTATATGCAATTCTTAAGTGAGTTCCTGCAAGATTAACTCACAAATGCCATTTTCTAAACTTCATCTTGGATAGTCTACAGCCAAGATACAGAACTGTTCCATCATTACAAAGATAGCTCATGCTACCTCTTTATAGTTACTGTCAACAAACATTACTATTATAGTTTAAGGAAAAATAAAAGGCCAAATGAATGCTCTAAATCATGAAACAGAAATGCAATGCCTGATACCTCCCGATAAGTGTATCGCCCATCCACGAGTGTCAATCCAGTGAGGCCCCCGGGCCCAGCCACAGCTGCTGCAAGTCGATGACAAGCTATCAAACTTCCTGTTACCAATTTCACTATTTCAAAATTTTTCTTCAAGTCCTGAATAATGCTCTTAGCAGAAACAATAAAAAGAAAAGTGGTATGACAATTTGCAGTTATTTTGGGATGTAATCCTAAATGAGAAAGCACTCACATTTCCTGCATAACAGCAAATATTATCAATTTGGTATGCACATTTACTAGGGAACTAATAAACTTGTCTACTATTTTATTTGCATCTAAAAGAGATTCCTTATCTTTAAAAAAATTTTTAAATCTTTGAAAAGAGCTATTTCACATTCTGTATACATTTTTGGATTTTTCTTCCCAAGTCTAGTACACTCAGGAAGCCTTCTTAGCTTCTCAGGCAAATTAATCTGTTTGCAGTACCAAACGTGTCTTTGAGCCTTTTCAAATTTCTAAAACACCATTCCAATTTTTAAAAGTGGGCTTAATTATTTCAACAAATTAGGGATAAACTGGAAAGGAGGTTAGGGATACATCAAAAGAAAAGGTCCAGAATGCTTAAGATCAAGATTATCAAATTACATAAACCAATTACATTAATAATTGTAAAGATATGATAGTGACTATAAACTCAAAGATTTTAGCCACGTTCTATTAGAAGTTATGTGAGTAACTGTATAATAATCAAAATCACTATCCTCTCACCTTGTCTTGCTTTTGATAGGTTTGCTTTATGAATGAACGGGTAATTTCATGGAGCTGACGCAAAGCTGGTACCACCCATACAAACTGGGGATTATTAAGCTGAGATGACTAAGTGAAAAAGAAGTTGCATTAATTAAATTTAGAAATAAATGGCATTCATTTATCAGCTATAAAAAATTTCCAAGTCAATTAGGTTTTACTGTTTCACATTCTATTATTTTCCTTTTCATATTGCTCATTTATAGCTATCTCCATGCACTCATAATTCAGTCTTCAATTTTATATTCTGCATGCAATTTCCTAAGTCAAGAACTGCAAACAGGAGTGGATGTGAAGTGACAGTAAAATGTAAAGGGGTATACCAGCAAAAAACAGACAACAGGGAATTAGCAACTTCAGAGGATAGATTAAGTAGCACAGGGTGCTAAGACATGTTGACACAATAAATTGACGGCAAAGCTTAATAGTGAACTGGCTGGCAAGTAAAATGGAGTAAGAATATGACCTGTTTTATATGAATAAGACATCAAGGATCTGATCCAATACTGACAGTGGTCTAAATACTGAAGGAAATAGATCTGTTTATATTTCCTAGTTAAAACAATTTCAGAAGAAGTAATTCTATTTTTATTAATAAGGGACTGGGGGCATAGTTGAGAGGCAGAGTACATGCTTAGCACGTGTGAGATCCTGGGTTCAATCCTCAGTACCCCCCACTGCCATTTTTATTAACTGTCACAATCCCCTCAGCCTGTCCTTTATACTTTTCAAAACACTTTCAAATGTATTACAGTATTTCTGAAACTGGTACCTGACAATCTAGCCTTCACAGTACAAATATGAGAAGTCTGATGTTCATGCAATACTCTTTAAAAAGAGTAATGGTTTTGAATAAATAGCAACTTCGGAACTATAAAATTTCATTATAAAATGTGGTATCAGATTACTACTAATCAGCCAAAAACTGATTAAAGCTTATTAAGCCCTTAATATTTATTTAAAAGGCTGATTTTGTTTTAAAAATTCTAGTTTTATGGAATCTTTCTGCAAAATGAAGACCCTTTGGGGTAGGAAAAATACTTCAGATGTCTTTTGCAGGAAGTATTTTATTACTGAATACATAAATGTGGGCAAGCTATTGCCAAAACAATACTCTTTTCCTTGCTTCATAATGATTAGCTGGTCAATTAACAAATCAAGTATTTCCTGGAGTCTAAGACATAGGTCTTATAAATATTAACACTTATTAAATTGACACTTCTTACATGTATGTCAAGAGAAACTTACTAGCCACTAGGCATGGGTGTAAATTTTGATACAGCTGTCCTTACCTGAGTATATACAAACTTAACCGTATAGAAGAGGTATCTCTCATATGAGCTGATTAGTTACTTTGTGGAAATAGTAACAAAAATGGCCTTTAAGGTTAAATTTGCATCACTAACTTGTTACTTAAATATTATAAAAAAAGGTTACAAAATGATGTAACACTGACTATCCTGTTGTGTCCACCAATTAAGACCAAAGAAAATGTTAATGGTCTCAGACTAAACCTAAAAGTGTTTTTTTCAAAGTGTGATGGACTCGGGCCATGTGGAGGGATGTATCACTCAGCACTAAACGTCTGTCTTAAGTTGTACCTTAATGCAAAGGAGCTGTTTAATGTAGTATCCATCACTCAGTTAAGGAAAAGCAGCTTGAGTTTAATGAAAGAGGACAAGCACACAAAATTCCATATTCTTCAACATGTCTCAAAATTATACAGCCAGCGTGAAAGACTTCAGAGTGATCCAAAGCATGACTATAGACCACGACAGGCAGTTGTCCATAGCTAGTCAAAGAGGTTTGAATTTAGCCTCTGACTGTAAAACTAAACAATGTGTAGTAAAACTTAATTATAAAGTTCTCTACAAATTTATGATCTGTGATGCGGGCTGCACTGACTAGCTCTTAGAATCACAGAAAAAACGTATTTATTCAAGGCCAACTACTCGTGAGACTAGCTAGAATATTTCTGCTAAAATAAAAAAGTTACAAGGGCCAGTTGCCGCTGCCTGCCTCGCAAGCACAAGGTCCCGAGTTTGATCCCCGGTACCAAAAAAAAAAAAAAAAAAAAAAATTGCAAAATGACAACAATCAAACTTTGAGGCTGCTGTTCAAACTGATACCAACATATTATAAAAGTCAGGATATAAATATGAACCCTTTAGCAATAAGCAGATAGAGTAGTAATTATCATTATGACCAATTAAGTCAATTATGGTTAGAATACTTTTAGTTAACAATGAAATTTATTATTGAATGCAACTTACTATATAAAAAAATTCTAAAACAAATTTAAGAATTTTTTTATATAGCCTTCTAAGGTTTAGCAACTAGGAAAGATGTTATTAATTTCATCTTGTCATGGCATTATATTGCCAAGTTACAAGAACAATTTAAACTATTCTTCCCCAATTAAATTTTGCTCTTCCAATGCGACTGTGGTAAACAAAAGGAACATATCTAATGATGTCCTGGAATTAAGGTTTCATAAGGAGGAGTAGTTAATGGGACATCCAATTTAGATTAATGTTAGATGAAGCCTGTGAGGTCAACTGGGTTAACCTGTAAATCTATGTGTAAATTTTCTTCATTCATTTTTTGTTAAGTGACTTACTAGTCTTTTAGTATTTCCAGTGATGAAGAACTCACTACCTCGGAAGGCAGTGCATTCTGTTTTCATACTATTCTCACAAGCAAGTTCACTGATCTACTCCACTGAAACATGTCTCTGGGTAACTCTCAGGAGAAAAAGGTTGAATCAAATTTCTCTGTAACAATCTTCTAAACACCTAAATAAAGCATTCATTTTCTTCTTCAGTTCTATCTTCTGAAAGCTGAACTTCCTCACTTTCTTATCTGTCTTGTTTTTCCACATTTAGCCTTTTATCTGGAACCAAAGCAGAAATTTTCCCATGAGAGGAAACTTTTTAAAAAGTATCTCCTCATCTATTAACACATCACTGTTTGTCCTGAGGACAGATACCCTGTTACTTTTACTTTCTGTTACATCTTTTGGCAAATAGAAGCAACTCAACCATGTACAAGTTGAGCGTCCCTAATCAAAAAATCTGAACTTTGGAGTGCTCAGAAACAACTCTCTGGGTGCTAACAGCATGCTCAAAGTTTCCTATTTTGTAGCACTTATGATTTCAGAATTTTGCAGTAAATTCTTTGCAAATATTCTAGAATGAAAAAAAAATCTTTAAAATCTGAAACACTTCTGATTCCAAGCATTTCACATAAGGGATACTCAATCTGTATAAGTGAGGCTTTGAGCACTCTCACAGGGAAAAGGGGAAGAAATAAGAGGAAGGGGACTAGAATTTACAGAAAGCCTGCCAGGCACTGACTGCGCTAGGAGGCCTAAAGATAACAACTTAAAGAATATGCAAATACTACTGACTGAATTTAAAAAATACTTTTTTTTTTTGGTTTAGTAAATTTTTTTGGATGAGCGCATTTAAATTTTTAATTGAAGGAAAAAAGAAGTGAAATTCAGAGGGAAGGAGTTGGGATGGACAGTGGAAGGTCTGAAAGAAGCAAAGGAAAGAAAGAGGACCAAGGAGGCTGAGGGAGCCCTGCCAGAATCTACAGAAATAAAGGTCAGAGTTTCTGAACACAACAGTGGGACTTGGGAATTTTATGAGTGTCAAAAGCAGAGGGAAAGGGAATCAGTTGGGGGAACAGAGGTAGCTGAGGGTGGGAGGGGAATAAGAGGTGGGAGATCTTGTCTTACCCTTTGCTTAGTTTCTGTGTAGCCTGGCAGGGAGACATAATCCCCAGTCAGCCCACCTTGCTGCCTGGCAGGAAAGGGCATAGCATAGAAAAACACCTTTAGTGGCATTAAATGATTCACTCCCCTGCCTGGAGCCGTATCCAGGGGACTTTGATCTTCCCACTGACCCCCTTCAGCAACGTGTACTTTAAAAAAGTATCTGTGAAAGCACTTAGTAAACTAGCAAGTGCTATATAAAAGTGTAAGATATCATTTAGAAGGGAATAATGGTACACCAGAATTTCTTTACTGGGAGCAGTAGGGAAATAAAAAAGGAAGACTATTCCTTTCAAGTCTCACAAAATGACTCCAGAAATGTTCCTGTTACTTTCTGAGTTTTGTTATAAAACAACAAGCATGAATGAAGTGACTGCAAGAGGAGCAATAAAAGATGCAATGATGCAACGGACTGCAAGAGCTGGGTAATGCAGCTACAACAAGGGAGGAATAATGGTTCAGAAAGATTTCTGGTTTCAGAAGCCATTTCCCTGGAGGGAAAGAAGAGTCCTTTCAGCTTTGACCTTCACATCTGTCAGGAAACACATCTGTTGCTGAGGAGAAAAGACCATTTTTCTGCAGAGTCCCTTTTCCTGTTATATTACTGAGGACCTAAACTTCTCTGATAATTTGATGAAAATGCTTTAGTCATAAGAAGCTACTAAATTATATGAGTCACTGAGCTGAGAAAATTGGAAAAATTTAAATCACATCTGAGTAGAAAGACAGCAATGTTGTTGAATTAAAGGAATAATTTCTTATACCTCCAGCACTACTAGTTCTAGTCTGTGGATGCTTTTAAAAATCTCTAAAGCTGGGTCATATGCAGAATGTTCACCTGATAAAATTTTAGTGTCAGAAATATGAAACACAACATTCTCAAACAGTCCCAACTAAACCTTTTGACCAAATACAACTCCAGAGTATATAAGCCCCTTAAGTCATCAAACCCTGTTAATAAGAGTTTTTGAATATACCAATGAAAATTAGCAGCATCTCAAATTCTTTAAAGAAATATCAGTGAAAACCAAGGAATATGATTGACTAATGAAATACTAAGCCACTCACTGTTGTACCACAAACTTTCCTCATGTTAATAAAATGAAATAGTTTGGTCTGGGCAAACCAGGGGCTCTGTGGGAAGATAATATTGCTCAGGGCAGAACTGCTGCAACCAGGAAAGCCCACTGCACTGAGCTGGCGACCATGAGAATCGCTCTCAAGAGGAGAGTGGAAGGTTAGTGACTGGAGCAACGGAAAGCACAATCGCTACTGCTGTATCTGTTCACCAGAACATTCCACAAGCTCACAGCACAGGAGGCAGGGGAGGCTGCAGGACAGGCTTCCACAGCCCCAATCCCTCTTGCTGCCACCATCCAATCCTCCCTTCTGAAATCCAGTGCCTGCACCAGGCTTTCATCTCACCGATGGCCTAAAACCTAGCATCTGAAGTGCTACTTATGTGCCAGCATTGAATGAACGTCTTTCCTTTCTTCCTGTCCAAACTATGAATGTTCCTCCACTTCTCTTAGGAGAGAAAAATGGGCCTGTTATTTTAAAATCCATTGTACTTATTAAAGTTGTACACATTAGATCAAATTTAAGAGGGAAAACCAAAGATGAAAGTCTTATAATTTTATGAAAGTTATACAAAACTACTCTTTCAATGTGACACTAAGTTTTCCCCTTTAAGAGTAACAACCAAGCTTTAAATAAAGCATAGATTGTGAACATAAAGTTTGTATATGGATATTAATTTTAAAACACTGAAGTATATTAGTATTTTAAAACTGTGGTGCAATTTATTCAAAATAATTATTAAATCAGTATACCTTTTAGTTGCATCCATCTGCAAATTCTTACCTTGAATCCATCCTTCTTGTTTTTATCCAAACCTGACCATTCTCCAGGCTGAAAATTTATTGTAAGAGAAATGTAAGTGACTTGTAAAAGCAGTACTTATAATTTCCCCAATCTTAGACTCTAAGGTAAGAGCTTCCAGATAGAGCACTTAGTTTAATTTATATAATAGGCGGGAACGTTACTTGGCTCTAACTTCCCAGGCAGTATTGTTGCTCTGACAATAAAGTTAGACCAAAGATGTTAGACCAACCCTTTTAATATCTTCTATGCACTTAATGATGTAGCTCCTCTTGATTGCTTCTTTCACTGCATATGCATCACTAAGGATTGTCAGGTGCTCCTCCAGGGCTTGCTGAATAAGGCTGCTGGGCAGGGTTGGAAGATGAGCCAGTTCCCAGAGTACATCCAACACCTACAATAATATCATTAGCGTGAGCCAGCCGAGCTCCAAACAAAACTGCATCAAGCATTTATAACTAAAAAGATCCATTTGATTCTCCTGCCTTTCCAGAAGTAGTCTCAAAGCGAGCTTCCCGGCCTATTCGTCCAATCAGGCTCAAAAGCTTCTGTCTTACTCTATCACTCTCAGTCTCCCAGCTCTGTAGAACAGCAAAAGAAACAGGAATTTTTTTAGAGTCAAATTGGTAAAATGAACAAAAACTTTAACCTTGAAAGAAAAATAACAGAGAAAAGTAACACTGCGGGGGTCTCAAAAGAGTTGCAAGGGTAACTGAATGCATACCTTCTGAATGAGGACAAACAAATGATTAAGCTGATCGGAATTAAATTTCACAGCTGCTGCAGCAATGATAGTGTGAATGTTCTCAATCACGGTAGATGATTGTCCTGACTAGAAAATAGCAGACATTGGAAAAAAGTTAAGTCTTAGAACTTGGCAAACCTAAGCCTAAGCCTTCTTTCTGGTAATTTATACAAGCAAAAGCAAAAATAAACTGATTGTAGTCTAATCAGCATACACTTGCATGATAGTATTGGCAAGACTACATGAAGCAACCATTTTTTTTTTTTTGGTACCGGGGATTGAACTCCGGTCCTTGCGCTTGTGCAGCAGGTGGCAAAACCACTGAGCTAAATCCCCAGCCATTATTAAAGCAACCATTATTAATGGTTATCAGCTGACCTTATTTAAATTCCTAGCAGCATTAAATCTTTAACAGAACAGTGTAAAAAAATACCAGAACCAAGTTCTCAGTCTGACATACACTCTAAGGGGAGAACAAAATACAGTAATGCCCTGGGTTCATGAACACTTCTGCTTACAAACAATTTGGATCTCAAACAAAAGCGTTTGGCAAAATTTTGTTTCAGTTTCCCAACTCTGCAGCAGGCGACAAACATGACCAGGGCCATCTTCCCCACACAAACACAAACGCAGCCATCTTACTCCAAAACACAAAACAAATTAAGTTCATAAACCAAGGTACAGTACTACTGTATTTTCAACTAGGTAAGAGAGTCAAACTGATTAAATCACAAGACAAGGGTACTCGCTTTCAGTATTTTAAAAATAATTTCAAGGACTTCAAATGGGAGTATCATCTGCCCTACTTCTAATTTTGCTCATAAACACTGTGACTTACTCAATCGACATGTATCTATCTTACGGACAGTAAGTCAGAGCTGCAGACCCTCCTGCTGACCCCTCCTGCTGACCTGTCAACACTCGCTTTAAAATTTCAATGGTGGAACTGTTATGCCTCACTGTTCCCCATGTGAGAAACTTGAAAAGTAGGGAGGTATTTATAGATTCTTTAATTTTCTTGCACCTGCTATGCGCAGAGCTGTTTAATGAATGTAGCACGTATACACAATGCAGACATCATGATCTCTAATCTTCAACCTTATACAGATTCAAAATTTAAACTCACAGAACAAAATTACACGAGGACAGTCAACAAAGGCTGAGACGTAGAAGTAAAATCTGTGGGACCTCGGAGTGGTTTTTTTTCACTCTTGCTTCCTCCCTCCCTTCTGTAGATTGCTCTGTAATGCTGGGCTGGGAGAATAAACTACACTTTTCAGAATCCTTTCCTAGCTATCTTCCCATTACTGTATGCTCTATCGGTGAGGGGCAGTTCTGAGAGCTAAGACAGGGGAAGGAAGGAGCATCTCTGGTCTAGGCTCAGAGAGTAAAAACAGGGTGGGCTGAGGCAGCAAGGTGTTTTCAAAAGTGCTGGTAGCAAAAGCACTCCTGACAGTTCAAGCCCTTGTAAGGAAAGCACCTCTCGGAGCAGCGCTCTCTTCTTGGGCTTACCACTCTTTCTTCCTTTTCACTTCTCCAGCATTCTTTGCTCTTTTTCCTATTTTTATTTTTAATCATCCACCTTAGCAACACCTTTGTAAACAATCCCCTGTAGTCAATTCCTTGTGTTTGAAATACATGGTATAATTTGTTTCCTAATGAGACTGATTCATATAGTGACTAAGTGGACACGGACCACTAGGATTTTTTCTGGCTTCCCAGTTGGAGAAGGATAATATCATTACAGAACGACAATGAGAATAAGTAGATTTGGGCTTAATGAATTTGAGATATTAATGAGATACACATTTAGATGTACTGCACTGGGGCTCAAAGAAGAGGTCTGAATTAAAGATATGATTTAGAGTCAAAAAGCCACAGGAATAGGTGAAACTGACTAAAGAAAGCTTATATAGTAGAGTTAAAAACTAAGGCTTGAAAAAAAGAAAAAAGCTGTTATTAGGCAAAATAGAAGAGATGTTATTAAAGGAGATTGAAGAAGGAATGCCTGAAAAACAGTAGAATAAATAATGGCCAAAGCGAAGGAAAAGGAAAATGAAGGGCATGTTAAGATTCTGTCACACCTCTCCAGAATCCCAATGAGAGAAGACAGTTTTACTATTGTCCTCATTTATTAAGTTAAACTGGAAAAAGTTACCAATAAAAATTAATAAACAGTACAGTGAAAAGAGCACTGGACTGATAAAAGGCATACACCTAACCTAGTTAGGTGATAATAACCTAGTTAACTGATAAATAATCTTCAGGAAAGTTTTTAATTACCTAATCTAAAAACAAGACAACCAGACAATATTGGTAGTCTGAAACTTCTTGGAGTAGTGGAACCCTTTTTATGTCAGCAATCTTAATATGAACCTAAAACTATAAAACAGAATAGGTTCAGCTACATAGGTTAAAGCAAGACACAGGTCCCCTTTCCTGTGCACACCACTCTCTTCCCTCTCCAGTCACCCATACATGTCAGAAAAGGGCAAAAATAATTCTGATCAACTTACCTGTATCTTCCAAATTTTAGTGAGCTCATCTAATGATAATTTACTGCCCAAGAGTTCAATAATCCCCTTTATACGATCACAGTATTGTGCTTGGTCTATGTTGCCTAATAGAAAAAACACCAGAGAGGAAGACACCAGATGCAGTGAACACGGACTCTAAATATAATTCTGTTAATTCAAAGTCACAGTTACTTGCTAAAAGATTGTTTAAAAGTTAATATAAAGAAACAATTTGCACCTTTTAAAATAGTGTTTTTATTTTTTGAAAGCAACTTACCTTCCAGTGCAATCGACAAAACTGAGTTTTCAACTAGCCAGTCTAACAATCTGTCTGTATCTATAGCATTCTTCACGGATTTGGATAAAGTGCTGTCTTCTATCAGTTTGGTTACCTGAAAAGACAGGATTGTTGTGATCGAATCTAGTATGTGTAATTAAAATCTTCATATCGATGTAAAATCTATAAAACTTATAAGCAACTAGTTTGACAACTAGCCAACATGTATCAAAAGCCAATAATCAGACATCAGCAGACTACTATCTGTGATATGTCTAGGAAGAACATGTTGCCATCCTTTCTGCTTCTACTCCTTGAACCACTGCTAACTGGCTCAGAAATGTACACCTAACCCAAACTTCAGTCAGGACACAGCCTCCAAAATTTACAACTGGTACGAGAAGGAAAGAGTCAGTCTCTCACTGACAACGAGAACTGCAGGGTGTGCAGCTCGGGAGTTATCCATGGCGCTGGGCTCTACTGTACGAAAGATGTCACACTGCATATAGAGAGGGAACAAGGCCAACATGCTCAGAAAAGCAGAGGCAAGACTTGGACAAAGTCCTGGCAACAGTCAGGTCTCAAATTCTATTTACTCACTCGTGCCTTTTTGTAATTTGCCTATTTAATCTTTTATTTATGTGAAAGAGCCAAGTCTCCTTCCAATAAATTCCTCTTTTGGCTTAAAATGGTTCAAGATTAGTTTATTTCACATGCAGCTAAGAATCCTGAATCCTAACTAAACCTTCAGTGATCTGAAGGACAGATCACTGGAATTACAATTGAACTGTCTTGGCTTCACTTGTCATTCACCAAACCCACTGCACTGTTTTAGTAGATTTAATACAAGTTTAGGGAGCCACAAAAAATTACTTCCATTGTTTTGCTCAGACCAACACAGTTGTAGGTGCTTTGTTTTCTTTGTCCCAACACTAATTACAAGATTTGGTTTAACCCATATGTGAAATAAAAAGGAACTGTCCCTTGGGTAAAAAGTAAATCTCAAACCAAATATTCTGAGAGATTTTATAGTAGCAAATGTCACAATAACATTAAATACTTCAGAGAATACAAACAAGATGGTTTTATTAGCAATTATAAATCATTTCTACATAATCATTTCTACATAGTCACTGTTCTCTCCTTTATATGATTAAGAGAAACATTCTGTTTTTCTCAATACCTTTACATTGATAACCACAAGTTTTGGCAGAGCTTAAGGTCCTGAGTATTTTCACTTGTAGAAACAAATGTAAAGCTTACTTCTTTAAGGGAATTCATTTTAGCACTGAAGTGTGGTGACTTCAGCATGCGCAGTAGGATGTCAAGTCGAAGGTCATCCACAATCGTCACAAGGTCAGGTTGGAAGCGCATGCAAAGTAACTTAACGGCAGACAAGAGCTCAGGGATGCTAACCAGTCTCTTTAATTCAATAGAAATAGAAAAAAGAACTGTAAAAACATTTTGATCCCAATTCGCACAACACACACAAGAGTATAGGCTAAGAAGTCTGGGAGTATCTGATATTCCACATGACTAGTGAACTATACTTTGCTCACCAGAAATTAGGTATACTGGTGAGTGAGCAACCAAACCAAACCAAACCATCCGGAGAAATCTAAGACAGATAAATCATGTTAAATGTTAAAACTGTTTGAAACAACAACTCCAAAAACAAAACAAAAACAAAAACTTTTAATACAAAATTATTTTAATGTTTCTTCTACTCTATTATACTGACTGCAAAATCTAGTCAGTAGAATTCTGAATGGTGGTCACATACCAAGAATACTTTCTGTTGACTGCGGTTAACACCAAACTTTTTGAGTGAGGGAATGTAAAATTAATTTGATGAGAATCATTATGTGACCAGACTCCAGACAGCAATGCTGTGCAAATGTTTCCAAGTCCTGGCTCTGGTAGATGGACTATTTTGGCACTAGGGTCTACCTAGCTGGCAACAGAACTTACCTTGTCTTTGAGGTCTTTCTCTTCCACACTCCGCACATCCTGGATTGTAGTAAGGATGACTGGGTCTAGCATGGGCTGTAGAAACAAAATGGTGCAGTTAATAATAACTGAATCCTGTTGGTTGTGGTGACAAACGCCTATAATCCCGGCACTTGGGGAGGCTGAGGCAGGAGGACTGCTAGTTCAAGCTCAGCTTAGGCAACTTAATGACTCAACAAGTCCCTGTCTCAAAACTGAAAAAAAGACTTGAGGGCAGGGGATTTAGCTCAGTGGTTTCGCCGCCTGCTGCGCAAGCACAAGGACCGGAGTTGGATCCCCGGTACCAAAAAAAAAAAAAAAGACTTGAGATGTAATTCAGTGCAAAGGACTTGGATTCAATTCCCAGTACTGCAAAACAAAGTTAAAAATTTACGAACACCTGAATTTGTCCAAGAAGTAGAGAGAAGCTATGTTTTCATTCACCATTCACAAAGCAGTGAATGCCACAAAAAATGTGAATTTTAGTTCAAGAACCACCACTACCTAGACAGTCCCTGCTATTCCATCTTACAAGAATGATTTGAAGAACATCTCAAGACACACAGGCAAACTTTCAAAACATTAACCACAAGAACGTATTGTTCTTAGAATAAGTATTTTGCATTTAACTTTTTAAAATGAACACAGACCAGGTAAAATGCACTTCATACAAACTACTTTTGCTTGCTGATATGAATGAGACCCATAATGAGACTATCCTAACACAACGCTCCAGAATGGCAATCCAGTCAGGTAACTAAATAGTATGTCACAAGCGGTGAAATACTAGCTCAACTACCGCTTTCATCTAAGTAAGATAATCTTAAACATTTGGCTGGTAAGGTTTAAGAAAGACAATATTTGACTGTCAGAGCCACCAATACATTACCAATGAATTAAAATGATATCACACAATTATCCAGACAGAATTTCTTCATTTACACTTATGCCAACTGTACAGTAAGGACTGAGGGCTGTAAGAGTTAAGAGGTGGGTCAGTGTCCTTGTCAGCAAGTGTCAGGCTGTTTAATCCTCATCGCAACTCTGTAAGATGGGTATTATTACTATCACCATTCTTCAGATGAGGGACAGAAGAGAAAGAGTAAAATAACTCTCCCACATCATGCAAGCAGCATGTGGTGAATGAAATTGTTAGTTTATGCCAGGTAACATATATCATGGTATAAATTCACTGCTGAATGAATTTAAGTTTGGCCAGCCAGGTATAATTACAAGAAAGATTAATTTCTATATACTTTTGTTGAAAATTAGTATCTTTCTTATTCTTTTTAAACAATGCTCTTATATGTACTTTTTAAAGAACTTAATCAGAAGGTAGAATATTTATGCTCAGTTCCTTTCCATAGAGCAAGGCATGGATAAATGCACTTAAAATCCTACCTAGAACCTGATTATTTTAAAAAATCAATCAATCAATTATTAATTATTGAATTTTTAAACAAATCACTTTGCTTCTGTACGTCTTAGTGTTTTGGCTACAAAACTAATAGCCATACTTATGTGCTTAATAAACTGGGAAGAATGGCAGATGTTGCTAAAGAGGTTAATAGAATGAAGAAAACATTTAAACAAGCCATCCTACTTCACTTAAAAATCTTATAGTCTAAACCTGACATCTAAAGAAAGTATCTAACATTTACAAATGGTAGGAATTTTTAGTACCTACTATGAAAAAAACACCCTTATCTCCCTGATTAAAATGGTCCTAAGTAAATTTGGCGTTAGAAAGATGGAATAATGCATATGTGCATATGGAAACATTGCTCACAAGGATATTATGCTTCTAAAACCATTTATGATCATTTTTTTTTGAAGTATGCAAAAGTTACAATGCATTAGCATTAGAAAACTTGACACTAATATTTTGATTATTCTTGACCAGCTGGCTTAAACATCTGCAGAGCCAGAAAATTAGACAAGATGTGCTGTAAAGCTGTTATTCAGAAGTGAGTGACTTATTAGCTGAAAGCTCAACACTGACCTGAAGTAACTCATAAAGGCACCGACCCCTGACACACCCATGAAGAGGATAGGGATATATGTTGCCTAATCTATACATGAGAAAATAAAAAGAGTTGATACAATGATTAGGTTAGAGGTCTCATACTTTGAATTATTAAGCATTTTTATCATCTTCAGATGATATTTTTATAAGAACAGCAGCTATTTTGAAAAAAAATTTACCTCAGATTAAGCACAATTCTCAACAATCTGATAAAAAGAAAAAGGCTACTATTTGTACGTCTTCAGTCAATCAGCTGTGCATTCATGTAAAATGGCTCATCCTACCTGCACCACTGAGGGACTCAGGTACTCTGCACACACTCCTAAGGGCTGTACCAGTGCTGAGACGGCCTGTGAAGACAGTGAAGGTTACAAAGATTTGTGAGAAAGGATTTTCCTGCCAAAATTAAGCAAATCCTTTTTCCTACATTGGAGAAAAATTTAAAGAGCAATTTGATTATAAATGGATAAGTAAACTATTTGATAAGTGGTTGATATGAAGATGTTGATCTTTTTAAATTACAGAAATTTAATGTAATTAAAACCAGAATATGTTAATAAAGCTCCTGTGAAGGACTAGACAGACAAAAGTGATTCTAATTGTACAACATTAAAATTTTTTTTTTGAGGCCGGGGATTTAGCTCAGTGATTTTGCTACCTGCTGTGCAAGCGGCAAGGACCCAAGTTTGATCCCTGGTACCAAAAAAAAAATTTTTTTTTTGAAAAGGAGAGTACAGCCGGGATGTAGATCAGTGGTGCTGCCACCTGCCTTGCAAGCGCAAGGTCCTGAGTTCAATCCCCGGTACTAAAAAAGAAAAAGAAAAGGAGAGTATAGTTGGGGAAAAACTGAAATATGCCTTTAACAAAAACTGCCCAAGGCTCATTTGAAGAAAATTATAAAATGTACTAAAAAAAGAAGGATCAAAATTTCAAATGATCAGGTACCATATTCCTGAACGGAAAGTACCAGTCCTGTAAAAACATCAATTCTCCAGCTGACCAATACATGTAATGTAATTCCAAGCATTCCCTCAGTAGGATTTTCTGTAGTGGAACCTCACAGGTAGACTGCCTGCCAAAGAATGAAAATATGAGAACAATCAAGATGATTTTATTTTATATTACTTTATTTTTAAAAGAGGCATGAGAAGGGTTTATCAGAGGTAGATGTAGGCCACATTCAAGAGCAGAGTGCAGGTCTCAGAGAAAGGAGGCACTCAGATGATTTTAAAAAGGTAGAAGTGGTACTGCCAATAATTAAAACACTTGAGTACTCGTACAGAAAAATGGTTTAAGCACAAATAACAGGAATAGATGTCCAGGATCAAGTTCACACACACATAGAGTCAGCAAGTACAAAGAGAGCAGAGAAGAAGAATTATTCAGTACAGGATCTTAAAATAGCTGATCATCTATCTGAATGAAAGTAAAACTGGATTACAAATATATGAACAATTCTAAATACATTTAAGAACTAAGTTGTAAAAATTGACCTTGAAGTGGAAGAAACATTCTCTTAGCAAATTATAAAATTTTAAATCATTAAGTAAAATCTAACTACATAAAAATGTGTAACTTCTGTACAGCAAAAGACATGATCAATAAAAATGAAGTGATGCAAAACAATGGGAGAAAAAAATTACAAACATAAAATAGGTAACAGCCTTTATAGGCTTAATATTAAAAAAAAATTCCTAAAACTAGTAAGATACACCATCTAATAGAGACCTAAATAACTAGGTTAATTTACAGAAGGAATGCAAACAGACAATAATTATATGATGAAATGATTAAGTTCACAGGAAATCAGAGTACTATAAAATATCATTTTTGTCTCATATTGAAAAATTAAAGATTTAAAATATTTAGCACTATTGAGAATGTCATGAAATGGGTTTGGGGGAATATAGATTGGATTGTATAGATCGGATGGTATAAGCTTTTTTTTTTTGGTACTGGGGATCGAACTCAGGATCTTGCGCTTGTGAGGCAGGTGGCAGAACCACTGAGCTAAATCCCCGGCTCCGGTATAAGCTTTTTCAAAACAGATATAACACTGTCAATTACAATTTCATAATGTATAGTCTTTATCCCAGAAATTCTACTTTCTAGGAATTGGTCCTTCAGAAATAGAAGCACATTGTACCTGAAAGCTCTGTAACAGCAAATATTTAGAAATAACCTAATGTCCATCAATAAGTGACTGCATCATGGTACAGCCTTTCCAGAAATACACTGCAGTCACAAAAGCTCTGCAAGAATCTACCTGAAAGTGCAGATTCATTAGCTGAGGAAAAAGTTAAACAAGGGCATAAACTAAATGGATAAACCTAGGAGGGGTGCTGGTGAAGGACAAGCAACTTTCACTTCTTACTTGGTTACAGATGTTTTTAACTAGTATAATTTAGTTTTTTCCCAGTATTTTTCAAACTCAAAAATATGTGATTTATACTCTTATATTATGCCCTGAATTTATTCTGGGACACAGCCACCTTCCTAACTGGACAGAAGTCAGATACCTATTGAGGAATTTTAATTATACTTGTTTGCTAAAATGAGTCTCAACCTTTTGATTTCTTTCTCTGATGCCTGAATTCTGTCATCTTAATCCAACCAAACAATAAAATTCCACATCACTACAGTCAAAACATAGTTGTTCCGAAAATATGGTCTGATTTAAGCCAAAAAATTTTGGAATTATCTCTAACTTTATGGCATTTGACAATAATGAAACATAAGCCCTGAATCCTATATATCTATCCTTAGGCAATTTTCATTCAAGGGGGGGTAGAAATTTGGGGCTACTCTGGTTTTTTGTTTGTTTTAAAGAAAATGGACGACATATAATTGTCAAGTATTTTAACTCTTGAAAAATGAAATTAATGTCTGGTATTGCCTGATGGTCTAAACAATCAGTTCTTCAGAAGTAAGCAAGATAAAATCCTGACTTGTGAAGCTTTTTCTTTCTTTTCCTTTTAAATCACTGTCTATTTTCTTCCAGGTCACTCCTAATGTATTTGCTGTACTCAATGGGCATCAAAATGATAGTCCAACAGTCTGATACTCCTTCCATGCAGGAAGAGGAGGCCCCTGGCTAATATCAGTGACAAGGCACACATCTGATCTTAAAGATGGACAGAGTGTCAAGAAAGGGTGAGGCTATTAACACATCAGCAGTCTTTCTCCCTGACCAATGTTAAAACCTCATCAAAGCAGGGACCAAGGGAGTTGATGAGTCATGGTACCACAGAAATAACTGCTACTGTGAGAACATTTCCAATTCATAGTTATATTATTTTACATCATTTTTTGCACTGATAAAATTATGGTAGCCAGCAGAGGGATATATATATATGCCAAGTATCTAATAGGTTTTTTTGGTACCAGGGATAGAACTAGGGTCCTTGCGCTTCCGCAGCAGGTGGTGAAACCACTGAGCTAAATGCCCGGCCCTATAATAGTTTTGTTTTTAGTTTTGTTTTGTGTTTTTGGTACCAGGGATCAAACTTGAGTCCTTGCGCTTGTGCAGCAGGCGGTGAAACCACTGAGCTAAGTCCCCGGCCCCCTCTTAATGGTTTTTAACTGAATGATTAATTAACCTTTCAATGCCTAGTATTCCATTTGGAATGCCAGTAACAATGACACATGATGAAATTTTTTCTCTTCAAATTCTTGTTCCTCGAATTTTTCTAGGTAACATATATGAAGTTCATGCAAAAATTCAAAATACTGCAATCTTTCATATAAATAGGTTGATTAGAGATCAAAATGAAGTGCTCTCAGTGACAAACAGGTCCACAGTCTGAAAAAAATCAATGGTAAGCTTATTTGCCTCACAAGGTTAAAATCTTTAAGAAAATGAAGGTAACATAAGAAGAGTAAATCCTGCTTAATTCAAATACAAGTTCTAGGGGCTCCTAGAGATTTCTTAGTATTTTCTCTGTAGATGATCATTTCTTCTACATATAAAGATTCTGCTTCTACCTTGCCAATCCTATCCTAATTGTGTCATTTTATTGCCAGACTATTTTGGTTTGGGCCTATGTTTCAAAGTTTAATAGACAGATGAAGAGTGGGCATATCTGCCCTTGTTCCCCACCTGAGGGAGAAAGTATTGTATCTTCTCCATTCATATAAGGTGTTTTTGCTGGAAGTATGGAGTACATGGCTTATCTGTTGAGAAGGTTCTGTTCTACTTCTAGTCTCCTGATAGCTTTTACCATGAACAACTGTAGAATTTAGTTC